AACCATTTATCAGTTGACACATTTTTGATATCTTTATCAAGAACCGAGATAATTGAGCTCAAAGTTGAAAGTCAGGGGGCACTTCTATTACAGGTTTTACAGTATATAAGCTCAAAGTTGAAGATTTCGGAGAGTTCTATTAAGGTGTTTAGACTATTTGTAAAGATTTCTTCTGTTCATTGATCAATTCTTTGGATCAAAAAACCTGCAAATCAAAAGAACTGCTTTGTTTCAAAGTGATCCTCTGAAGTAGGCATCAAAATACCTGCAAATTATAATCAACCTGTTTCATCTCCGAGTGTCCTTCAGAATTTCTTTTCCACTTCGTCGTCACCCAGAACGTTCTTCAGGACTGAGATGGTCAGAAGGACATGCAAAACAATTTTGTTTTGTCACATCTTCATGCTTCTCTTTCTTCTAACACTTGGTAGTGGTGGCGAAAAGCGATATGAAATATTCCATCTCAAATTCATAGATTCATTCATAGGTCGTCGTGGTCATGTCCGTCTGTCCGTCCGTCCCTTTTTCATCTTTCTCCTCTTCTCCTTCTTTCCACCGACACTTTATTCCTTCTTTTTCTTGGACCGCCTGTCACCAACTTTGATACTACGACTACTAGCTAGTAAGAATGCTATCCCACAACTCTTTGGGAGAAGGAAACAGAAAGTTGGAGTGACGACTAACTGGATTATTAGCCGTTTTTGATATATAGCCATTTTTCACCTGTTCCCCGAAATTTCGGCGTTTGAAAGTTTTTGAATTATTCAACCACCAATGGAGACGTCGAAGTGTTGTTTCTAAATTCTTACCAACATCACCCACAAACCACTTATAAGATTTATATAAAAGTTTGCCTAAACGCCGTAAAACCTAAAAGAGAATAGCCCGCTAATTTTAAAATTTGAGCCAATTTATCTCGGTTCCTGTCAAAGACATAAAAAACTTGTTAACTGAACAATTGTTCATCATAATATCACAAACGTTTTACCAGTTGACACATTTTCGATATCTCTTACAGTAACATAGATAAATTAGATAAGATCGATAAGGTCACCAAGAAGATCCTTCACACCAAAGTCAAGTCAAATATCCACAATGCACGAAAAACGGATTTCCAAAACCGTATCAATAGATAAATTAGGTCAAAGATGGAAGTGTGGGACACCTTCTTATAAGGTACCGTAGATCTACCAATCTCCGTTTTTGCTGGATCTCGAATATCCGACCTCGCGCCTTTTCTAACGAACTCTCATCACCCGAATTTCATTAAATCTTATAAATTTCCAGACAAATACTCCAGACGGTCATGCTCGAGCGCCGATGAGCGTCGGCGTCTCACTTTTTCTCGTTCTCATAATTATGTGTCGTGACAGTCATCAGATGTGGTGTCTTGACGGTTCGGACTGTGAAACATCTGACACATGTTCTCTGTGCGAAGGAGCCGCCTGTCTCAGAGTGCAGAGGTAAGATTTTTGAACCGATAGTTCGTAGTTCTCCAGTTCTCTTGGTTCTTAATCGGAACGTCTTGTAAATGCTCTCAAACGCGAGTATCGTCATATCACAGCAAAATTAGCGTTTGTCTCGATGAAGTTGAACTGCTGAGTCGCTACTCAGCGGTGCCTGCATTCTATCGAAAAAGCGCGGGAAAAATTATTTTTAGCAAACCTTCCAAAAAAAAACATCGTGTAGTTTGTAGTTCTCCAATTCAAAAACGTTAACTTTCCAGAAATCAACCTGGACGAGGCGTCACAGTTGCTTTGACGTGCTTACCACACGACTCATTAATCCACACGTACCATCCGGAAGGCTGCCGAACGGAGCTCTCTTCTGGTGACAAGCTGTGTTTATGTTCGGGACGTGAATTTTGTAATACATCTTCACGGCAGATGATGTCAATCGGTTTACTTGTATTTTCTCTCTTTCTTCTATGATATTCATGTTCCCCTGGTTCTTATAGTCCAAAATGAAAAATATGAAAACTTCATAATACATCCAGATCGAGAACAAACACATCGGATAAAACAAAGAAATAAATTAGGTGGATGAAAATTAATCGAGATACTTGTTCATGAGTTCCTGTTTCTTCTGCTCCAACAACATCTCCTCAATGTCCTGTTGCGTTGGAAGTAGCACGTGTCGGATGGTCATCGGTCTTCCATCTTCTCCGATAACGGTCGATTCTTGTGTCGCCAAATCATCATCATCTTCCTCGTCTTCAACTTTGTAAATGTTTTCGGGAGCTGCCTCCGTAGCATACTGCTGCTTCTGCGCTTGCTTTTCAGCAAACTCCTTTGCAATCTTCTCGAGGTTTTTCTCTTCTACAAGCTTCTCAAGTGGAATGAGCCGGCCATCTTCATCGTCCAAGTAACCGAAATAATGAGCATCGACATTTCTGATCAGATCGGCACGATGCCTCCGTTGATCTTCGCCTTCAGTACCTTTCTCAAAAAGTTCACGAACTCCGGGAAGGTCTTTTGCTGCTCCGAAGTACTTGTAACCTCGTGAATTGCCTGTCTCTCTTCCTATCGCATCTAGTTCTTTTTGCGCATATTTCCTGAAAAAAACGAGATGAGTGTATGATCTCTATTTGGAAATAATATTACCGATAGTCTGTGCCACCTAATTCTCGAATTCGTTGCTCCCAAGCGTGTTTCAGTTTTATGAGTCGATTGATCTCGTCGTTCAAATCACGGAGTTTGAATTCACCAAGTCCAGGATTTTGAATCGCGGTAATTTTTTTCGCTGCATCACGAACAATCTGAAGTTCTTTTGTTAGGCAATAAAAATACGATGCCAAACTAACTTCTCTTCGGAACCTTTCCGCGTCTGACAAATTTCTGCAATCTTTCACATCGTGTGGTCTTCGAGCAATGGGTCCCTGAAAATAATATTATGTTGACGAAATTATTCATTGTTCCAGGCTAAAAACTATACTGATACTCACTCGTTCCTCTTCTTCTTTCATTCTCCGCCATCTCGCCAACGCGGTCATCGCTTTTTCAGCATTTCTAGCCATTTTGACGGTTTAAGCAAGTTGTCTAGAGCTGAAAATGTTATAGTTTGATTTTTTAGAAGTAAATAAAGGAAAAGCGAAGATACTCAGAATTTGGAGATTTTCTTTGTTTCGAAAAAATGTTTTTTGAAAGAAGCTACCCGCTAAACAGGGCGCAGTGGCGGGATAGCGGAGTGTCGTTGCTAGCCGTAAGAAGGAAACTGAATTCAGCGAATCTTCTAATTTCTTCTTCAGCTCTTTTCTGAAAAAGCTTGAAAAAATAACTCGGATTATGTGTGGGAAAGTATTTATTTTTTAAAAATTCAAGCAACATAAACAAATCAGTGTCAGAGCATAATTAATTAATGTTGAAAAGACATTGCTCTCGAACCAAAACGTGTTTTCTTCTCCAAGATCTTCGAATTCAAATCAGCTGGAAGTGGAACAGCGTTCAGCCCAAATGGTAAACTCTGACGCCGAAGAAATACTTCTGGCTGATGTGCAGGCGGCTCACAAATTGACTCTTGCGGCGATTGTTCTCGATCCTCCACTTCTGAATTTAATAATAGTTTACAGTTAAGAATTATTCACAAAACCTGGTTCAATTTCACTGAGAGCCGGAGCTGGTTGAAAATTGATTCTGCTAAGAATAGAGTGACGGTGACGAGTATGTCTCGGAGGAGTAGCTGGTACGGTCAACATTTTGTCATCTTCTATCTTCGGTTGCTCCCCCTGATCGAGTGGCGGGTTGGGAGCAGCGAGTGCAGGAGGAATTGCTTCCCTACAAACAACAATAATCTGAGTAATAGGGGATGATGATGAATAAGGAAGCAATAAGGCAGCTCCTCTTTTTGAGCTTCGTGTGTAATATATTTAGATAATCTCCCAGACAAGTTTGTAATCTTCTCAAAAGTTGTTTAGTTTGAAAATAAGGAACTTTTAGTTTGTCAACTGACAAGAATAGTATTTATTTTTTAGTTCCTAGTTTTCAGTGAAAATGACTCACCGAAGATATCGGATGAAGGTGTGACGAGAAGCTTTGCTGTTCTTCGCGTACCACGGACAACGATAGAATATTCCAGCGGAACAGAGTGATAGTATCAGGAAAAATACTTTAATAAGATACAGTATATTAGTGAGCATTAAGTGTTTTACCTATAAATGAGCCATTCAATGCGAAAAATCCAATGAGCATGATCTGACTGGATGAAAGAGCATCCCTACCGTACCGATAAGATGTGTGAGGGGTGCGTGGCTGGAAAAATGAATATTTTTCAGGAACTCTTTTGATTATTCTTGCATTTATAAAAGTGCAACTCGATTCATCTTCTCCACAAGTATCAAGCCCATCACACTCCAAATTTGTTGAGAAACAGTATTTTGAGCAATCTGAAACTATCCATAAAACATTCGTAACTCAGCTGTGACTTACTATAACAGAGACTATACTCCGGACATCGCATAGTGTTTTCAGATGTACAATCTCTGGGATTGGAAAACAAAAAAATCGAACGAAAGTTTAAATTCATTGGAATGATAAGCCATATTGGAGTCTTCATGAGCTGGTATCCCTGAACAGCAATGTTTATATTGTCTATCAGATCTCTCTGGATACCTTCGGCTTAGTATCTAAAATAAATTGCATGTCGTTGTTCCTCACAATAATATCATTTGGATTTCTTGGTCTTCTGTGTGAAAACATGAGGAAATTCGTGATGGAAACCAAAAGAAGATCTCCGCTTGAACTGTGAATTTCTATTTCACAAACTTCTGCAGATTCATCTTGCTCTACAGATAAGTAATCATCTGTGGGAATGAGTAGGATGTCATCTACAACGGCTCTGGAAGTTTTAGTTTCAATTCTCCATGCACCGTAAAACCTGTAATAGAAGGGCCCACTAACTTAACTTTGAGCCACGCTTACTTGGTTCCTGTCAAATATATAAACAAGGTGCCAACTGATAAATTGTTTATCATAATTTCAGAAATGTTTTATCAGTTGACACATTTTTGATTTCTTGCATAGGAATCGAGATAATTGAGCTCAAATTTGACAGTGTGGGGGCCCTGTTACATATTACAGGTTTATGGTAAACAACTTGGAATCCTACTTTTTGAATGGGCAGTATTCAATAGATTCAGGAATCAGAAAGATAAGAGGAAGAAGTATGATGTTCCTGACGAGCGGCATTTCGGAAAATGATGAAGACGAGAAAATGATGCATCTGAGTGTAGAAGGAGAAAAAGGAGACAAGGTGAAGAGCAATTGAGATTCGAAGTATCATCAAGCGTCGCTCCGGATATTCATCATCTTCTCTCTGCCCCCGTACCAATTCAAACTTATTTTTCCCTTTGCTGTTTTTTGCAGTTCTAACACTGAATGCGGAAGACGTTGACTAATTGAGAGTGAAACAGGGAAGTTATTTGAATACCTTCCGTTGCAGACAGAAGTAACATTAGTTTGGTTGAAAAAAATAATGTGGTTTGGTTGAAAAAAGAATGATTACCTGATCTCGGTTTCATTTGTCATTCTGTTCCAAACCAGACGAAAACATTTTTTTAAAAGTAAAGGTGTTGGTCATACGGCAGAAGGTGTATTCTTTGATGCCAATTGGAAGCACTTTTTGGAAGAAGTTTATTTCAAGCTGGAAACATTTTCCATTTAGAAAACAAACGATGTCATAAAAACTTTGCAGGGTTTGAGAAGTTTATTTTCAGGAAATCCGTATTATATTTATTATTTCCAGCTCTGGAAAATGGTATTTGAATGTCTTGGAATAATTTTTTTAGAAAAACAGGATGTATGAACGGATGTTATAATTTCAAGAGGCTATGAAGGGATGCGATGATTGAAAAAATTATAAATCAAAATAGAATTTAGAAACTAGAAATTTATTTGTGGGTTTTCAATAATTTTTTGTAGTACAGTAATATCGCAAATTCTGTAATAGAAGGGCACCCTAACTTCTAACTTTCTGCCAATTTTCCTCGCTTCCTGCCAATAATATGAAAAAGTTGTCAACTGACGAATTTCTTTTCATAACATCAGAAGTGTCAAACTTGACAGTATGGGTCTTCTAGAGTTTACAGTACTTGTGATTTTTGCATTTTTCTAATTTATGTCAGCCCTTTCTTCCTATGCATGTCATTGAATTATCAGCCAAAGTATGATCGCTCGTGAATTTTCCAGTTTTTATTCGGCTCAGTTTCGAATCGAGCAGCTTCGACTTATAATTAGGGCTTTATCAATTGGAAGCACTCTGCCTCCTGAAATTGGAATTCCGAAAATCCCGAAATGTTCATAATCGGAATGTTGCGGAATTCATAAGCCTTCAAAATCGGAATATTCCAAAGAAATTTTGAAACTCAGAGTTTTCGGCATTCCGAATAATCCTGAGAAGGCCATTCCGGAACATTCCTGTTACACCCCTGAATGAGCTTTTAAAATTATTTTCTAAGGATCTGATCCGAATTGTACGAAAATATTATTCGTCCAGACCACAGGACACAGTTTCCATCCCAAGTTCAGAAATCTTTGAAATATTTGCAACACCTTTGTGTCTAGACACAAGACATAATTAAAAAGGTCTGTAGGAATTCACATCAAGAGCATCGCAACTTTTCATCTGTGATCAGATGCAAGTCCACTGCAGATGTATTGATCCGGTTTCATTGTTCTGCAAGTTCTCTCTGCAAGTTCGCCGAACTGAAAATCGTTGCTGATCATGAAGAATTCCATTCCTTTCAGATTCGTCATTCCGATGAAACAACCCTGATGTGTCCCTCTGCAACGATGATTTTATCCAGAAAACACTTCTCCAAAAGATATTTTTCCAAAAGATGAAGATTGCTGTCGTCACCCTATTATCCTTTTGAAGTGTTTCCATATTTGACCATCGAAATCCGTCACCTTTTAACTATGAGGGATTATTTGCATACATACAAATCCCCGACATTTATTATCAAAGCTTTGAATTCAACGCTAATGGTTAGCTTATTTCTATTTCTAGAGGAAAGAGTGTATGTGAAAATCCCATCGCATTCTCTCTTCTTTTTCTATTTTCAGAATGTTAACTTGGTGTGGGAATCGGAAACATATTAATCGAAAAAAAAGAACCTGGTCGCTTCTGAATTTATTAATAGCCAAATAAACGTTTCCGTCAGAAGCAAAACGAGTGCGCGGAGGAGTTTATGATTGTTGATTTCCTAAGAAAAAAAGGAAAAAAGAAGCATTTCAACTCATTTCCAGAATGATGATATTTTCAGAGAAAAAATAAGAAAATTGGAGAATGATTTTGAAGACAATGAGCTTGTGACTGGGGGTGGAAGACTGAGATTTCCCTGAAATTCGAATGATTTTAATTGTTGTTTTTTCTGGAATCATCCTTAATATTGTGGTACAAATGGAAACCCCCAGGATAGTTTGAACTTTGAGAAAAATGAAATCATTTTTCTGTAGGCAATACGATTTTTTCTGAAACTAGAAGTACCTACTTCCAAAGAATTCTTGAACCAAATAACCTTGGAATAATTGGAAAAAAGGTGAATCGGTACTTCACCCAAATCACTTTTTGAACGAGAATAGTCAATTGAGTGGACGTTCCAAAAACCGAGTACTAAGGATTGGAACTGAACTATTTGCAAAAAAATGCGGAACTGGAAATGATGTTATGGTCAAAGTTCTTTGGAATCTGATGCTTACCAGAAATGTTCGCAACGGAATTCCGAATTCCGCAAAAGAGAACTTCGAAAAAAAAAGAAAAAAAATTCGAAATATTTTCGAAAGGTTTTTTTTTTGAAAATCTCTGAACTTTTTTTTCGGAGTTAGAGCTTTTTGGACAACGATAGGGGATTTCGAAATTCCAAAGATCCGAAATAGGTAAAACGAAAAGGTCATTCCGAACATCTTACAGACACTTACAGACACTTGGAACATTTTAAAATTGAGCCCTACACAACATCATCCCCAAATGATATCATTTCGAACTTTATTATTTAGGTTTTCCAATTCAAGTTAAACTTCTCACGCTCGTTCTGAACCCCATTAAAATTCTCACAACAATTCACCATTATACTATTCCAAGAAGTTTCCAAGAACTCTGGTGAGAGACAAACCAATAAAATTGGTCCCTATTTTTTGTTTCAATGATTTATCACAAATCAGAGTGCCTCATGTGTACCTGATCTAAAACCCTATTGGATTGATATCAACCCACGTCATTTCTGTGGTACTGTTAGCTGAACACAAAAAAACGTTCCTCGCCAATCTAGGCTGTCGCCTAGAAGCAACGTGACCATTTCGTTCACAATGAACAAATTCTCGACATTCTTTATTCACCCAGTCTAATACATACTATACTATCTCTTTTCCGGTCACTCACTCATCATCGCTTTTTCGTTCGTTCAATCATTGTTGTCTCAACCCACTCAAAACGTTTTTTTTGTCTCTTCTTTTGTCTCTTCTTTCGACCCCCAGTCACCTTCCGCCTGTTTCTTTAAAAACAAATGAGTCAACTTTTCGTTTCCTGGCCAGGGTTAGTTTTGAAATCTAGACAGAAAGATCGCTTAATTGACACCTCGACCACTACAACATTTTGTCTTCTTTCTAGAGTTGTCCCTTGTTGATAAACAATCATTTCCGAAAAGAAAATGTAGGATTGATGGTAGTGGTAGTAAACAAAAACAAGCAATCACAAAGGTTGATGTTCCCTTTTACCAACGATCAACTTTTAAGAAACTAGTCACCTTTACAAAGGAATACGGAAGTTTGCTTTGCACTAATGCTCCAGGAGAACTTCCGGAGAGCATTTCAAAAGTTTCAAAAATTTTTTCGGTTAGCACTAGCAGCAAAGATCAAAGCATACTGGTCCCTTTTCCCCGGAAATTTCCTCTACAAGATCAAGCCATTTCCACCCTCAACAGAGATATTCAAAAAACCTTTTTTCTGCTAATCCACTTGTTTTTACCTGAAAAAGTGAGAGCCCGAGAATGAAGATGTGCGTAGACACCCACGTTTTATGAATAAAAGTCGAACGAACATCTAAAATTAGATAGAACAATGGAAGGTATGGGTGTTCAAAAAAAGAAGGAAGAAGGCTAGACAAAAAATAGCGGGTGGATAAAAAGGTTATAGAGATATAGATAGTCTGGATGACTAAAGTAAGAGATTACCAAGAGAATAGATCTGGTATGGTAGGAAGAAACAAGAGGGCAGTTAGGTGGGAAGACGTTTGCTTAAACTGCAACTCCTGAATCGATAATTAGTTCATGATTACATTTTGAAATCCAGATCAATCAGCCTCTTAGAGGGGAGCTCCGAAAATTTTTAATGCACATGTTTCCAATGTTATGTAATCTCCTAAAATTAGATATTTTTTTTAAAGTCCGAAATCCCCCAAAAACGCCGTTGAAAGCAAAAAGTTTGCCAGAAAAATTCGGGAGGAGGGACAAGGATTTGAGTTGTGAGAAACCTAGGCCATGGCGGAGGGACGTCGTTTTTAAGTGACCTTGGGTTCTCACTGCGCGGGATCTCGAATCCTGTTTTTTTCGACGGCGTTTTCGAGGATTTTGGATGTTTTTTTTTGAATGTTTAATATTTGGAAACTTATCAATATATATCTTTTGAAAAGTTTTAATGCAATACACATTTTTGGTAGGAGTCTCCCTTTTCAATCCAGATCAATTAGTTTCTTGAGATATAAAGTTTCCTGTTTACATCATGAAACTTTTAGAACTTGATAGCATTTTCGAAAATCTCCCTGACAATCAAAAGGCTTTTTTATCTCAAATCTTTCTAGATCTAAAGGTGTAAGGCTTTTTTAACTGATCTCTTCCTCCTTGCTTATGTTTTATTTATATTCTGGGAAATCCTAACAAAAGTTTTCCGGATCTCAAGAATATAATTTTTCCCTTCCTTCCAAATGTTCCCACGATCCGAAATTTCCAGAAAACAATGAGCCGAACTATGAGTGCCCACATGTTCTCGTGTCAGGTTGACCCAATTGTTAACAGCTTGAAAGAAATACGCGTGTAGAAAATTCAGCTCATCATAATCCGACTCGTCTCTGATCAATTAGAAATGTGCGATCTACGACATCACACTTTTGGAAAAAAACATGAAGTGGAAGAAAAGAAGAGTTCAAATTCTAATCCACACATTCGAAGTTTTTGGATTATGACAAAAGGAGTAGTACAATAGAAAAAATAATAGTGGGTGTACACAGCCGTCCAACATCTCTGCTCAGAAATCGTGCTCCATTGAACCTCGAGACCTTGCTGCTTTTTCCTATGGGTGTAAATAATGAAAATTAGTTAGATACTTCGTTCTTTATTCCATGTACCCAGTTGCAGGAACACGCTTGTACCGTATCGGTTATCACAAAGTAGAAAACCCCAAATGATAATAAGACTCCAAATAGACCATAGTACATTCTGTTCTATCTTCATCTACAGTTTTTTCTTCCGTTTTCTATTATTTGTTTACCTTCTCATCTACTAGATGTTTCATTTTTTGCTGACCCTGGAAAAACGTGCACACCATTCTTTTTTGGGGAAAACAATTTGCTGGTGGAGAGAGAAAGTCTTCCCACTTTCCCCTATTTCCTTATCAAAATCACCCAGAAAATCGGTGAATATGATGATGATAAGTGCCCTATGCTCCCTTGATTGATGGTCAAAAATTGGGGGAATTCTCTTTTTTTCAAATTCGTTGTAGTGTGATTTCTAAATTGAGTTTTTTCGCAACATCATCAGGTACACAACAAAGAAAGAGTGGGTCGGGAGCAGCAGTTTTTTTGAAAATTATCGGATATAATTAAATGAGCAGGTGCAAAACTTTGATATTGCGTAACTCAATAAGGTTTCATGATGTCAATTCAAACACATCGTGTTCTCAGACACCAGGACACAATTAGTTCTCTTCCTCCAGAATTCAGAATACATTAGAAGGACCCGAGTAGTTGTTTTGATCTGGATTCAGAAGCTACGTGAACAGTGTCAAGCGGATTGGTAAGGCATCACAAAGTGTTTTGGACAGTTTATGAACCACCGAAATGGCAAGAATGATGAAAAAAAAGCTGGGTTTATGACACAAAATCTCATGTTTTGAGGCTCTTCTCGAAACCAGGATTTATAGCTTTTTCTAGATTACTGTAGTTACGTGTCATAGACATTTAAGTCCCTTCAAGGAAGGTTATGACAAACATATGAGTTTCTTCCTGAACCTTATCTGAATGTGATTTCCGGATTTAGGTCAACATTGAAGTTCAGAGGACTCCTGACTCATCAATAATGAGCAATAACCCTGTTCTCTATCCTGAAATAGTTTTTTTCGGAGAAGTTGCCATTTGTGTTGAAAACTATATTTTCTATTTGATCAGTTTCTAGATAACGCACTAGTTCTCTGTTCTTCTTGTCAGAAAGCTGTCAACATATAAAAATCTGACCACTTTTTTCTCCGAGTTACTTTCCCATCACACCCTTTGCCCCCCGGGTTTCCCGGACAACTTGGGGAAGAGATACCATGTGAATCGCACGACATGCCAAACTTTCCACGTACTATTCACCAGCAGACACGGCTGGAAAACAGTTACACTTCTCAATCAATGACATATAAATATGTAATTTGCAAGACATGCATTATCACAAATGCCCTCTGTCCTTTCTCTTTCTCCCACCCGGTCAAGATGAACGAGCATCGTGATGTGTGTGCTTGGCGTGTTATCAACACACACACACACATTCTTTCAATTATTCAATTTTCCAAATGGTTACCTCTTCCCTCTCTCTTTGTCTGTCATAAAGATGCTAGACAGGAATTCCGATTGCTTATAGACAGACTGCAAAAAAGGAAAACGAAAATGAGGTTGCATACCGGTTAGAAGAGGGAAGAAGAACCCTTGAGAGTGTTGATGTTTCACACTTTTCTCCCTTCCAATGCCATCTACAACACTAATTGATATGTTCCGTCTATTACAAAAATTTTGGGAAGGGCAGCAATTGAATGCTTCTTCTTCTTCACTTTTTTCCCCTTCTTCGGTTCTTTTCGTTCCGATTCGGGAACCGATCGTTCCCTATTTTCTTCTTCTTTGTGTTTTCTGACCGCGACCGAATTCGTTTGATTCCCATTTATACTTTGCTTCCATACAATTTTAATGTAGTATTGGTACATAGTGTGTTCCCTTGGAAGCAGAATATGAACATATGTGATATCAGAAGTGAAGGTGTATTCAAAACAAGAAGACAGAGATGATCAAACTTGAAAGCAGGTGACCCAGATGGTCTTAGACTTCTGAACTTTTGTGAGGAAGTTGAGCTGAACTCTCCAGCACAAAAAATACACTTGCGCATAGATTTTACAAATTCTTCTCCTAGTAGACATTGAAATACGGGTTTTTTAAAAGATTAGTCTGGCTATCAGCGCTTTCATACCCACCTATGTATATTTTTCGTGGTTTTGACAAAGATACTACAATCTGGATTAAATATTGAATGCACAGATTTGACGTTAGCAAATTTTAGAAGACAACTTTTGTGTTATCTATCAGTTGACCAGAACTATGAATGAACTCTTCAGAAGTGCTACCTGTCCCACTGGGAATATTAAGTACTTGACCAGGGATCATTATGTTTCGATGAGCTATGAAATTGTTTTGTTCCAGATCTTGACCACTTTTGGAACTTCCTTATCCATCTGTATTCAAACTTTATATCTCCAATCCAGACAAAAACTATAAATCGAGTGATTTATTTTGTCGCTTCTCCCTCTCAGAATCCTTCCTTATCCTACAATTTTCAGCTCACTCGTGCGTAAGTGTCTCTTAAAATTGTAGGTATATATGGGATCAGAATGGTGAATAATCTTCGAATTTTCCGGGAATCAAAGTGTCTTTTGAGTGGGTTGGGGCAGAAGATGCGTACGTGTAGATGATCTGAATCCAAAACGACTCAAAGATGATGTGATTTGATCTGATAAAGGTAGCGTAAAGCCGAAATGCCGACTGGGGTGCGACCGACCGGAAAAATGTAGCGTAGATTGATGTCACTGGAGCCATGAGCCGGAAACTGATTTGAGTACTATGCTGCTAATGCTACTCCGTCGTTCTTTTTCCGCAAACACACATCAGTAGAAAAAGGCATCGTGAGATTTGCAAATTTGAAAAACATCGTGAGATATTTGCCAGCTAGTACCGACTAGTACGATTGTGAAAAAACGGAAACGAATTCAGGAACTTCAGAAGTCTCGCGTGCAATGGAAACGGAAAATGTGCCTAACCGATAAGGGTTAGAGTTGACCCAGAAAACATTCTATCTGAAAAAGAAAACAATCTTTGTGCACCGGTGATGAGGAAACGATAAAAATCTGTGAAACACCAAAGAACTGTTATCTACTGGAACTGAGCCAATTTCTTGTGCTGTTAGTGTTGCTCATCGAAAACAGCAGCAAAAAATTGCAGAGCTGTTATTTTCCTGTTTTTTTTTCGTGACTGCAAAAAAGACCTAAAAATAGTATTTCAAGACATCATTTATTATTGTTATTATTATTTTCAGTCTTATCTATATCACTGACAGATACACGTAGTATTCCATATTTGTTATTAGCTTTTGTTCGAAACTGGGATTCGGGAGGATCATCATCAAGAAGGGACCGGTTTACAAATCATATCAGAGAGATCCAAAGGAAAAGAGAGATTCGATGGTTGGGGAGGACCCGATAGGCATAGGAAGAAAATGGGAAACAGGGGTGGGAAGTGATGAAACATGAAGATAATCAAATAAATTAGGTGGATGGCCTAAGATTGCTACTGATTATGCCAGTTGGTGCAAAGATACTGCCGTGGATAAGAGTCGAGATGGCATTTTGAACAGATCACTTCGGAGTAGGTCACTGACAGAATTGTTCCGACTTGTTTGGGAAGATGGGTTGGATGCTTTGCGAACCAAGTTAAGGTTGAGATGTTGTACTGGAAGCGCCGGACTGGTGAGAGCTCTCTTGAGTGGTGGAATGGATGCTCGGACCTTTGGAAGAGCAGTCTTCTGAACTTCAGCAGAGAAGTTGAATTGAGATCGGCGTACTGAAAAATGAGATGGGTAAGGAAATGAATGGATTGAAGGAAGTAGTTTACCTGATGGGCTCAATGGAGCAACTGCAGCATTGACTTCTTTCGAGTGAAGTGAAACAGTCGAGAGTCGGAGTGGCTTGTTCTCACGAGCTTTAGAAACTTGTTGAGATGAAGCCGGGAAGTGGTCAATTGGAACTTCGAATATCATTTTGAATGAAGTGTATAAAGTTTCGAAAGTGAAGAGGAAGGTTTCGAATGAAAAGAGAAGAAGAAGAATGTGAGAGTAGGAGGTGGAGTTAACAAATGTTCTTCGAGGCTAGCTGCTTCTCTCCGATGCCTTATATACTTTTGCCATTTCCTCCACGCCCCGCCCCCTTCCGCGAAAAAAATTCAGCGAGGCGGCGAGAGGGAGGAGTGAGATTGTTATTGTTTGCGGGTCGAGGGGCGGAGCAAGATGCAGGAGGAGAGGAGAGAGTAGGCGAGAGGAAGAGGCGCAGAGAGCGTGTACTTTGTAGGCGGCGTGAAGGAAGAAGATGATGGGAAGAAGGTGTTGGAGAAAATGAAACAAATGATGAGTGGGAGTGATTTGACCCATGTTCTGTGAAGCGAACCAAGGAATGTGTGGGTTTCAAGGAGCAGTAGAGAAAGTTCTAGAACCAATTAAAACCACGTGGGAAGCCTTTCATCATGACTTTCGAAAATTCGCCTGATAGGTATACAAACCAATTTCTCAATGTTAGTCATAATTGTTTCGCTAGATATATAATGAAAATCTGATTTCAAGAATTGTTTCGAAAGGTTTCAGGAGGGTACATCTTGAAAGTTCTTTGGATCCACGTTCAACTGGCCAAACATCTGGATAATACTCCCTCCTGGGAACTTCTTTAAATTACTGGTACATAACCTGTCACCTGGTTTTTGGATTTTGTATGTAATAGATTTTTGAACTTCTAATGAAAAACAGATCTGCAATTTTTCATGGTTTGTATTCAGGATTGTTGAGCATTTAATAACCCTCATGGCCCCGTCCAAAAAAAAAATTTTCTTTCTGTTATTTCATCCTCCTTCCGCGACAGGTTAAGCATATTTTTTGAATCATTAACAACGGGTCAAGACCCAAATCTCAGGATAAACTCTGAGCAATTCTTGGATGTTTTGAATGTTGCTCAAACGATGTATGTATTACCGATTTCAAAATCTTTCCAAACTTCCAGAGATCTTCTAAAGTTGATTGCTCTTTCCGGGTAATCACACTTTTCGTTTCCTTTTCAATATTAATGAGATCCAGGTGAAAATCGAGAGGGTGGCAGCAATTAATTCTTCGATCGGTGCTTTGACCTGAAAAATAAACCAAACGGTTGAGCTGCTGATTTTGGCAAGAATTTTTGAGTAGAAGATGCAGTTATTAAGTCCAAAACAAAGAGCATCAGGCATGACAAATGAGTTCAGATGATGTGAAGAAATTCAATTTTTGAAGGTGTGAACTCTTTCCACTCGAACACTTTTTTGTAGTTAATTTACTTCTACTTCTTCTCGGAACACTATTGAAATATTATAGTCACCCCCATTCCATCAAATCAAAGAATCAAATAAATTTTCAAGAAGGAGAACATCAAAGATCCATCTCAATTGGAACGTTGTAGTCAATTTGTTGTCTTTCTAGTCAAATATGACCTCTGAAAGATTGATCTTACATGTTTCCCGGAGTCATCTGGAAAAGTCCTTCCCGCCTAATCACATCAAATTTCCCACCCTTGAAATGCTCAACGACGTCAATGGGCCCTCCTCGGTCTTTTTTTTCCAGAATCATCAGTTCAAGACTAAATTTGCATGGTGATTGAATTTTGGTTATTTTTCTTCGCGATGTTGGTTTGGAGTTGGTACAAATTACGAAATTCGGCATGAAATTTGATGACATGCATGCTTGGATTGAATTATACTAGTACATGGTAGTGCCAGGCACTTCTAGTATAGTTTACGTATTTTAAGAGGGGGCCCCTTTCAATTTCACAAAATGTCACCTTCGTCTTGGAGTACATCCCTGTAGGTGTGTAGCAGGAGGTGATTCAATTACTCAACCGCCTTCCCCCACTTTTTTTCCAATTTGAACTCTATTCTTCTCGTTTATCTTTTCGTTTTTTTGCTTGATTGGGATGATCTTTAGGTATGTCTAGGTGGTTTGATCTTCCTTTAACTTTTTAGCTCAATTATAAAATTTCAATTGGGTGATGTGTGTTTGTCAGTCAGAGACACCCACGGGCCAAAATATCTACTTGACAGAAATCAAGTGGCATTCAAAAACAGAACACCACACACATAGAAATAATCTGAAAATTCTCGGTATGAGTGCAACGACGCACAAGCGAATATTGTGAGCTGGATTATTTGCGGGCGGCCCACTGTTTTTTGTCAAATTTCCAAAGTAGCTCAATCGGATTTATATTCAAAAATAAAAAATCTATTGTAAGCGTGTTGGTGGTGGATTGGAATGAGCTGATCGTCGAAATTAGCAAGGATCAGATCCTGAGTCAGTCTAGAAAGAAAAATATGGTCTAAATTTGATGCATACCGATTTCTCAGAACAGAACGTGCGTCAAAAAAGATTCAGAAGTCGAAATACGCGTGAAGTGGGCGATGGTTTTAAATTTATAGCATTCGTCACTGTTTCACAGTTCTAGTGTGATACGGGAATCTATGATACCCCCAATGTGATTTGAACTTTTTCAAGGTCGGTAGATCCATGGTAAACATATTTGAGAGAAACTATAGATTCCGATTTGGATCAGATGAGAAAAGTGTGAAATCATTCATGATTGATAGATCAGCTTGTTACAGTTTCATAACCTTGGGTGCGTCTTTTCCTTCCTCTATCTGAATCACCCTCTCAAAGAAATATTACCTACAGTAGTCAACAAAAGGTTATGCTTTTCCAAGAGCCGTCTGCATATTTTCAGTCTAGAAATTTCCCGGATGGTATTGTTTTTCAGAATTTTTTCAAAAACGTTTCACCTGCCAACCCAGAAAAGTGTTAAAGTGAAAACAAGAGAAAGTAGCTAGAGAAAAAGAAGACAGAAATGATATTTGGTTTTTTGGATGCAGCTATTCGATGACTTTTTTGAAAAGAAGGACGAACAAATTTGAAAAATAAAAGTAGATATAACTTTTATCATCATTTCAAGGTCATTTCCCTTTTTTAGCCCTTCTGATAAGGTCTCAGAGACCTACTAGGTGGAATTCCAGTTTTCCATTTATCTGCAGAGGGCACATTTCACATTTCTGAGGAAAGGATATACCGATTCGTACAATATTTTCAACCTGGATCTTTGCGAATTCAAACTTTTCCACTTTTCAAGAAATTCTCAATGATCACAGCTTCTTTTACAAAGGATTTTGTTGAAGTCTTCACTGATTGTGTTTTATCGTTTCCATCCTTTTTCATTCTTCATATACATCAAAAGAAGAAGAAGGGATGTGTTGTTTTTTTTTCAAGTTTCAAAAATCAAAGAGTGTGTACCTTCTCTCGTGAGTCCCAACTGCTCACTGATTTCTTTCAGACAGATTAGGAAACCGCCAAACAACGTGGAAGGCTGTTTTTGCCATGCCATCGAGACACTGTGTTTTCCACCCTCTGCCTGATTTCGGTCCGTAAATGTACTCCGAATTGTATTCGTGTCGGGCAGCTGATTTTATATGGTTCAATTGTCTACCGATAATTGATAAACACAATTGGATGTGAAAATTGCTTCTGTTTCATTAGAGAGAGGTACTAAGCAAAAACAACTAGTTCATGTACCCTGGATTCTTAGAAAACACTTTCTTCCGGATTTTTTCTTGCTGCCAGCAAAAAATTTCGAGGATGGAATGTTAATGTGTGGAGGAGGAAAGCAGGAATCTTTTATCTTTGATCGGAATTCAAAATGTTTCCGGAAATGAAATAATTGAACGGAAGGCTCTCTTCTTCTTTTCAAATGTTGTTTGTTTCCCCAGTTTTTCAAGATGGCGCATTTCAGATGATGGCTAGATTGAAAGAAGGTTTGGAAGGGAAATACCATGGAAAAATACAAAAGTGCACGAATACAGGGAATTCCATGTGACTAGACTTTTTGCGTCATCATTAACTGGAATGTGGATCGTCACATCGAACAGTTTCACGTGGAAGGGATGTCAGGTGATCCAGAACCTTCCGAGATAGAATATGGTCCGACCCGAGCATGATGATTCATCGGTCTGGAAGAGAGTGGTCGTGTTGGGAACCGAACTTAGCGGGGGCCATTTTCAAGTATTTGACAGACTAGTTAGATGAGCTCCGCAATGGATCCTAAAGGATAATTCAAAACGTTCCTTCTAACAGAATTCGTCATTTCTACCGAATCTAAGATCAAAGCTGGTCTCTTTGTAGGTTACGATAGTCGCTATCTTTCTTTGGGAAACAGTATGATCTAGGTCTTGGATCAGAACATTCCACCATCATCTGTTCGCTCGATACACATCAAGAAGAGCTCGTGACTATATTCCATTAGTTATTCCATCATCATCATCATTACAATTTAAGAAGTGTTGATTGTTTATCCTAGTCAACCAATTTCAGAGAGGTTACAATAATTTGTCGAAAAACATTCGAACAACAAAATTTTGTAGATCCAAATTGATGACATCATGGCTGGTACACAAACCCAGAACGTCATCCGAGTCACTCAGACCAGAACGAAAATTTTTGAGTTGAACCAATTCCATCGTCATTTTCATCTTCATCGTTTATCTTAGCTGTTTCATTTGGCCCAAGCCACACCAATCATCGAACATTTTTGTAGTACTCCATATCACGAGGGAGCGTCTTCGACTGGAACCGAAAACTGACACAGGAGAGACCGTTCCAAAGTGACCGATAAATAAAAAAAACCGTTTTGGTTCTTTCGATAAAGAACCTATCAACCGTTTTTCTGTCTTTTTCTTCTTTGTTCCCTTTTCTATGTCTCTTGCATTCTTGTTTCAATACATATCAACCAACTACCACACCCCAAATAATGAAGATGTGTCTGGTTTAGAGGGAAGGAAGAAAAGTGGATGAGGGGACGATTGAATAGTGCCTTGACTAGACTTTGAATTTTTCAATAGCTGCTGAATGTAAAAGTACGCGAAACGTGCGAAAGTTCAAGAAACCTATGAATAAAGATTGCATTTTGACACAAAAAATGTGAGGGAGGAGGAGAAGGAATCTGGAAAAATAATAATCAGAAGATATTATGAAAATCAGGTAAATAAGGAAGACAAACTAGAAAAAAAAGAAGAAGAAAAAGTCAGGTAACAAGTGGATACAGAAAACAGGGGACTTGTAGTTTGTTGTCAACCCGTACAGTACTACACATCGGACAGACTATGACGTGAGACCCGATCAAAATGTGTTGATCGTGATTTGAGGAGAGATCGGAGAATCACCTAGTTTGGCTACGCTAGAGGATGTTGATGGGAAATCAGAAGAAACTTTTTGTAGAATTCGTGATTCAGAATGTTCGGGATTCAAAATTTGAAGATGACGAAAGGTTTGGGTCAAAACTAAACAAAAAACAAATATCTCAACTCGTAATCTAATTTCGCGAACTGCAGAATTTTCGACAAAAAATCAGAACCAAAACATTGGGAAAAAATGGGTATGTAATTATCAGACATACGTCATTCTTACAGTAATCCCATATCAAAAACGGTTTCACCTATCAATCACCCGGAACTAAATAACCAATTGAAGCTAATAAAACTCGACAAAAGTTTGAAGATTGATTGGCAGGTGGAATCTTGAATTCAATCTACATTTTTTGAAACTGATTTCAGACTTTTAAGCTCTCCGGAACTGAAAAAAAAACTTTTAAATTTTCAGGCTCTGCTTTGTGATTTGGTTTTGACTTGTAAGAATTCAGCAGATGGCGAACTCAAGAGTTAAACTGAAATGTTCCAAACGGGATTGAGAACTCCGAAATTTCGACCATCCTATGAATGAAATTTCGAACTGAATATTCCTGAAGCTTTTTTTCTGAATCAAATTCCGATCACAATATTTTCAAAAAATTTTCGGATTTAGAGGCTTTTGGAATACAGTGTGCCGAAGGCAAACTCTCACAATTTTTCTCGCTTTTGTGATGGGAAAGTGGGATTCCAAAATTTCGAAATTTTGATACTACGAGTTTCCGACATTTCGAACAATTCCGAAAAGGCCAAACCGAACATAACTGGATACAATTTCAAAGATCATCAGGACGTATAAATGAATTCTTTGACTTTTGGGTGTACTCAAATATTCAGTAGTCGTAGTTTACATAAATTAATATCTTCTTCTTTTTCTTTTTTTCCGGACTTTAAAATGTTTATGAAGATATTCATATATTGACCTGGATAGGGTCAATTTTTGAAAACCAAGGGTCACTTGAGACTAATTTCATTAGCCAGGGAGATTTTGGTCTTCGAGCAACATGAAGGGAAAATAAATAGTTGATCATCCCAGTGCAACACATAAATATCGGATGTTCTTATCCTGGTCATCGCCCATTCATTTATTTTTTGTTTTGATTATCCAAATTCTTTCATTCTGATTTCCTGTAATGCACACAATGACGCAAATGAAAGATAAAATAGCCTCAGATTTTTCAACAGTGCCGGATCTTCTGTTTAAAGACCAAGATTAAAGGGGAAAGAAGATGAACAAAAAAGAAGAAGCTCCAAAAGTCTCACGAGGCACTTCTGGGGCGCTTAATGATGAATCAATCTACTACTAGGTCATCCTATTTTTGTTTTTTTCGGTATCTTTTTTCTATTTTTTTTTTCGAAAACAATGAAATGACAGAATGAAGGCTTCTCAGATGAAGCCAGCAATTTTCAAAAAAAGAATCGAAAAATGATTTAAAAAAGGGAGAATCTCTCTCAAAAATCTAACCAAGGGATTATTGTGAAACTTATGAAACTCCTAGTGATGACTCATTTCTCTCTCAAGTATCTCTTTTTGATTATTTGCCAACATCCGGTTTTGTGTTTCAAAACTCTTTTCTATTTCCACAAAAAAAAAGAGTCTTTCTTTTTTGAAAATTCGATTTCCAGAATCAAATCATTTCCTTTGTGATCAGAAATTTGGAAACCCAGAGCTTCCAGAGCACAACTCGAATTTTGACCGGAAATTAAGGAATATTCCCAATCAAGAATCGAGAACTTTGAGGTTGAATCGAGTAGATCTGAGTCATTGAAAGCAATCCGTGCTCTTGTACTTTTTTTCAAAAAAAAAACTAAATTTAATAAAGATTTGCTGTGGGTGGTCATCGAAAGTTGTTGTGAGTAAATTTAATCCAGATTATCTGAAGCTTTTGTCGTCTATTCAAAGTACTCAATGAGAAGAACCTGACTAGGTCAGAGTTCTGAGAACGTTCACTAAAAGGGACTGGCAAGAATGTTTCAGGCAAGAATGCTTTTTTTTTAATAATAAATTCACAGAAACGGATCATTATGCTTCTGATTCTCTTGCGCTCTGAAAAGTTGTAACTCAAGTTCATTCTTGAAAAAGCCCAAATTTGAATTTCGATCAAGGAAACAATATTTGAACTAGAAAAAGTTGTTTTTTTTCGATTTTTCAAAGATCCGTTTGTTTTATTCAGAGGCTCTTTACTTTATTCATAAAGCATTCGTTTAAAATTCTTGTTCCAATCTTACGTGGGTGTCGTTCTAACAAGTCTTAAATCTTTGAGTTCAACATTTGCCTAACGAAAATGAAAAGCAGAGTTTATACAGCACGGAAAAAGTTTTCAGACACATTAATTGAATGATAAAAGCATCAAACTCCAGACTAGAGAAGACAAGGAAAACATGAATTTTGCATTTGAAGTGGAAAGTTGGAGGACATTTCTTTCTTCGTTCATGTAAACCTTCAGAATCTTGGATTTTCCAAATGAGTATGGTTTTGGAAGGACATCCGGCATAGGCATTGTGTTACAGTAGTCTCCATGACATGTACAAACCACGTAATCCATAGTGACGGTGTTCGCGTACATTGGAAGTGATCTCAATAGGTAGCAGCTGAAAATTTACGTAGTTTCAACATAAGTGATGTTGATAGTACCCGTCCTGTTGCAGTTGTTCCTCATTTCTTCGACTATGACGGAGTATACTCTCGAAACATCCACGAACCATAAATGTGGAACCTTGAAGATTTGGGAACAAAGTAATACACATGGGGTACTTTGAGCATAGTTCGCCTTCAATGATATGTGGATCTTCGGCGTCTATGGATTCACTGAAAATCGAAATGAAGTTAAAGTCATAAAAATGTCACAATACCTGCAATATGGTGATTTCACACCGAGCGGGTAGAAGAATATATCTGTCTGAGTAGCTAGTTGTCTTCGAACAGTTGCATTATAGTTTTTATCCGGGGAGATGCAGTGAAAACAACTGGTTGCTGAACAAAAAACATTTCTTCAAAATCATCTCTTATTGTTTGACATTTAGTTTTGCAGATTGTGTACGGAATTCTTAATTTCAGGAGGTTATGAACTTTTAAAATCAAAATCTGATTCTCAATTTCAGACATCAGGTGTACTTGAAAAACCAAGATAATTGGTCTACTTAGCAGGCATTCGTGATTTGTGTTTGCCCTACTTTCTCTCTCTCTTTTTTTCAGACTCAATTGCCTACAAAATTCTCTTCCAGACCACGAAAATGTGTAGTTGTGTCTAGTGGAACAGTGGAATTGAACATTGCAGACTTTCCACTTTGATCACATTAATTCCAAACGGAAGTTCAATAACGAATCGAGGGATTGGAAATATTGAAGAGGGACTTGTGTAGGTTTTATGCGTTATTCTATTACTACAAAACTTCCAGTACGGATTATGAACTTTAAGTGTTCAACACTTTGAAATGAATCACTACTTGTCTTGCGCTTTTGATTTTTAACAACTTGAAAACGATTTGAACACAGACTACATACTCATACTTCAGTATCAGGGATGGAGGGGAGAAAACTGTTTCACTTTATTTTCAGATTTTTATCTCAAAATCCTGTGCAAGATATCGAAAATCTTACAACTGATACTTTTTTGATATTATAATAAGCAATCCATTTGTTGACAACTTTTTCATGTCTTTGACAGGAACCAAGATAATATGGCTCAAATTTAAAAGTTAGCCCTTCTATTACAGGCTTTACGGTAGTTTTTCTTCAAAAAATGAAGTCATTACTGGAAACGAAACAAAAAATAAACTCACCAAATACATTTTCAAATAGAAATGCATAAATAACAGCAAACTGTAGAAAATATGTTTGATTTTTCATGTTGTGATCTCCAACTGTTCTACCGTACCATCCACTTCTTCCGAGGGAACATTCGGCACACTTTGATTATAACTATGAATGAAACCAAATATAAATGTGAGTAGAAGGTTAAACGAGAAGGTAATGGAAGGGATGACTCTCTAATTATTTAACGGGGGATGGTTCGGGAGAGACGCACGCAAACTCTCGTGCTTGGATACCTGTCCTTCTAATTATAACCAGACGAGTATTCATGTGAAAAGAGGAAGGAGATGTGCATGTTTTGGAAGAGTTACCGTCAACTACGGCAATTAGCAAATTAGACGAATAGAGCGTAAAGAGCAGGAGAGAGGGAGAGAAAGAGTTTCATGATGCAAAGTGACACATTTTGAATTTGAAAAGGTCTCGTTTTCACTCAAAGTGAAAAGAAAAGTGTTCGTCGTTCAAAAATAAAAAGTTGTGGAGATATTCGGAAGAAAACTTGACATAAGAGCAAGAAAAAGGGAAGGGCCCTTTGGGAATTATTGGGTGCTGCGAATGACAACAATGCTGCGACCGGATACTCATGTCTTTGTGGGATGTTTATGCGCCGGTTTTGGTTTTGAAAAGAAACATACATCCAGGACGAAAAAGAAGAAGAATAAGGTAATTAGTTAAGCGGTGGGAAGTCATAGAAAAATGTTGGAACATTACAAAATACTATTCTTTCATTTGACGAGCATTTTTTTTTCAAAAAAAACCATCTGCACTTGGGTTCAAGCGAGGGGGTCAGAAAGCGCGCCCCGGGTCCAGTAAATTTTTCAAAAATTCTCAATTCGCTGCCGAACTTCGTTGGCTGAGTATCACAGTTTTAAACGATGAGCGAGAATACGCGCGTTGCAACCCGTTGATTTTTAAGAAATAGATCATGATCTAGTTCAAACCCGCGTTCATTTTAAAATTATTAAATTTCTTCTGGCCTACGAGTTTGCTGGGGCGCAAATTTAGTGAATATGTGGAATTTCATATTTTCAACTGAAAACATACGGAAATTTTTAATTTCAAACAACAAACTTTGAAAAGGAAATCTTCTATTTTTCCGAGCCTCTCTCCGAGAACCCTTCTATTATAGTGTCTTTCCTATCAAAGGGGTTCTTCTAATACAGGTTTTACGCTATATGAAGATCAAAACTTTGGACAAGTATTTCTCTGTTTAATATCTTAGTTCTGAATTTGTCATTTTCAGAGTTTCAGGTGAAAGCATAGTTTTGAGAAAAATATTTGCGATACAAACTTTCTTCAGCACAATTTCAGGATAGTTCTTTAAAAAAAGTAGTAGGGAATCCATTTATAAATCTCATGTTCGTTTGAAAATATGACAAAAAGTTGAAAGTTGAGAGTGCTCGGAAATATCAATTTACATACATATTACTACACAGTATACATCGAGGGAACATGCTTCAGCTATTGAAAATGGTGACTACTTGCAAAAAAAAATGGATCGAAAATATTATCTTCTGCAGTTTTCCGAAAAGCCTTACCTCTGCGATTCAGAGCGTCAGGTTAGCGTTTTTCATGGCATTCAAAGATGAATTATTTTAAGCTCTTTATTTTTCCTTTAAAATTTTGGAGGAAGTGAAAGAATTGAAAAATAGAAATTACGTAGTCATAGTGCGTTGGAATAAGAGAATAATAGAAAAAGAGAACCGTGTTGTGGCTCAAGAATTAATTGCGGAGAGAAGCTGGAAGATAGATGATCCCTCTGTTTTGGAGAACTCCATCTGCCTCTCAAGTGAGATGAATTTCTGAAGGAAAACAAGAAAAAAAGAGAATAAAGAAAAAGAAAAAGGGAAGAACTTTAGAGGTAAAGAAAAAGAAAAAAGGAATTATAAGTATTTTGAAGGAAACCTAAAAAATGACTGGGTTCCGATGGGAATGAATAAATGATTTATTGTGAGAATACGGAAAACAAAAAAGGGCAGAAAAGATACCCAGAGGATTCTTTTTCAAAACTTGACTGGTAGAAATGTCTCGTGACAGAAGCCATTTGTTCTGGCGACGAAGACGTTTTGATAGATGGAAGAAGGCTTCGTTGAAAAAAAGAGAACTAAAAAATAGAAAAAAAGAAACATTTCAATTTGAAAAAAGTGACGACCACATGCAAAGAAGAACTGAAGTTCCGTTGGGAGTGACTGGAAGAGAATATTTGAATCTGATTCACGACTGAATAAAGTTGATTAAAATACAAGGCGCCAGATTTTTGCTTGCAAACAAAAGCCTTAAGGAAAAGAACAGGAATACAGAAAATCCCACTTTTCGTGCAGTTCAGCATTTTTACAATCTCATATTTAGACTCATCATGGGATGTGACCCAAATGAGAAATTGCAAGAAACCAATTTCGAAAACTTCAAAAAAAAGAAGCAGCAGATTTCAATAATCCTCAAAAGAATATGATCCTCCTCTGGCAGAGCAATAACGAAGACTAGTTCCAAAACGAATGACGTCACGAAGATCATTCTTTAGCCGAAATGTTTACAGTGGTGCTGTGATGATTTTAACCAAAAAATTTTAGATTGACTTGGCAATTTAAATAAGCTTATATTTGTATGGAAAGTTATCTTTGGATGAAACGAGTGTCTAATCATACGGTTCTTTTTTTAACCCTGACCAGAATGAAACATTAGATTTAAGGTCCCAAATGCCCTAGGAGTACAATATCGGAGCCCTTACAGAACATTGAGGTTTCGATTAAAAACTCTTAAAATTGCAGCTGCATTCATGGAATTGTCCCAAAAATCGGTTATTTGACATTTTCTTGTCATTGAACCCTGTTTCCGGATAGTCGTTCTACGAATTTTGAAAATTTCTCAAGGTCTACCTATCATTTTTTAGAATGTTAATTCGCCAAATTTCGAATTTTCGCAAAAACCTAATATAACTCGAGTATCACATTCACTGACGAATATGACTTTCATTTTAGTATTGTCAATTCAAAAAGATCGCACCGGTGAACACACAAACAAACAAGTAAAGAAGGGGGCGGAGCGATCCGTGATGAACGACTAATAGACAAGCGCGCTCACCTCTGCACCAAACAGCGCTTGTCGGCTTCTGCCGCTAGAACGATTATAAAACGAGGAGTGGGCGACGCTTGAGCCGCTGCTTGGAAGAACTGTCGCGTTCTCGCTTGTGCAGTAACAAGGAGGTATGTTTTGGTGTCCATTGTTATTTTCTGACTGTACTGTGCCATATATCAAAAAACTAGAATTTTGAAAATTTTCATGTCTGGCCTCCTTTAATAGTTTTCGAAAAATAGTTATGGGAAGTGAGTGTAGAATACGGAATCCGGAGACAATATATTTCATGGAATCCGGACATCTCTGATGGCTAGGTTGAATATTAATTTTTTCAAATGGGTTTTTTTTTCAATTTATTACTACATAGAACTGTCTCCATTTTCACATGCTTGAAAAAACTTTTCGGATATAATAAGGTTTTCAAAAGAAACCGAACATGTGACCAGAAGCCGAATGAGCAGAAAAAGAGAACAAATGATTAGGGAATGTCACTCATTGTCTCACATATTCTCCCATCATATTGCGGTTGTCATTCATTTGTCTCAGAACCCCTCCCCTTATTATTTCTCAACACACTTTTATTACTCTCATCATCATCTCAATTCATTTCTATCCGGCTGTGGCTTATTTTCTATTGTTGCAACTTGTTGGAATTTAATTCAAATGCGAACCTTCTTTGGGGTTCTATGGCTTAGGTTCAGAAAAAAGTTCATTACCTATTTACTAGGGAGAGCCAATTAATACAGAAGCTTTTTGAATGAACATGCAGAAATAATAAGACAACAAAAATCGAAAAATACGAGAAAAACTGAGCAAAATGTCAGAAACAAACAAAATTCGGACTCATTGAGAAGGATTTCTCCTCTTCTTTTTCAGAATTCTGTTCATTTGTTTATACCGCCCAACATCTCTGGTACATCCTCAACTTTTCGCATATTTCTTACATAAGTGCATTCTTGTTGTGAAGAAATGAAAAAGACGCCGAGGAGCAAAACATTGAACAACATGAGAGACTTTCAAGTTAGTAGCAATAAGCTATAGAAACGAAATTTGACGGCATGGTCCCAAGATGATTATTCCATGTTTTCGGGGTCTTTCAATGAATACTTTTGGCAGATTGTCTGAAATGGTGTCTTAAAAGCTACAGATTTTAAAAAGACGGAAAATTGTAATTCCAATTTGAAGAGCATTTTTTTGGTCTGACCCTAATTATAAAATCACACACCATTTTAACGAACTCCTTCTTGAAATTGGTTTCAATTAAAACATTATTCTGGTACGAAGCATCGGAGCTGGGGAAGAGAACTGCTGGTGGCCGTGGCCGAAGGTTACACAACGACAACTACCGTATCCTAAAAGGAAATTCCCTTTTCCGGATATGTTTCTCGATTTTCGTGCGTTTTCAGACAATTTTTTCACTATCAAAAATGTTTATCTTCCGACTTTTTTGTGGAAAAATAACAGAAATTTCGTTGAAAAGCGATGAACAGCGAGAAAATAAATACGGAAAATTAAAAATTTTTTACTACTTATTAGGTTACTGTAGTTGTCGCTGTGGGATTTTCGACTAGTTTTTTGAAGTTTTTTTTTTCTCTTCCACTTCTCTGATGTTTTATACAAGCATACGTATTCGATAGCATTTGATGTACACATTTGCGCAACACTTCATTGTACTGATCGTCCTTGCGATGATCGAAGAAATGACATCGTCCTGACCTGAAAATTCTGTTACCGATGTTGAGATAATATTGAACGTCATCTCAATTCATTAATTGCGTCTAAATCCAATTGCCAATTATGTTCAAGGAAGCACACACAATACACAATAAGAAAAGCATGAGGGTGGAGAAAATGAGTGTGGAGAGAGATTTTAACGCAAAGATGATGGTAGAACATGGATGAGACTGTTTTATGGTACATATTGATAAAACTAGATTTAAATGAAGAGCGAAGTATTATGTACACGAACTGGAGCATAGATGTGATTAAGGACAATCAATTGAGTGAGAAAGGGGAGCAAGTAAATGATTACTGGGAAGTCATGGAATGGACAATTTCTAGGGAACGGAACGAGAGAAGAGAGGATTTTTGAATTTATCGAATTATCATCATCAAGAGAAACCCGGAACAAAATGGAGAAATCAGCACCAGTTAATAGGCATTTGCATCACTGTTCGTCGGAGCTCGTCACTTTTTTCAGGAACTGATCGTGACGCTTGTACTCGCCGAGAGCTCTCGTCGTTTGCTCGTCTGGAGGAAAATCAGACTGTTTATGATTCGGCCCGAAGTCGCGATCTTCTTTCAACGAACTCTGAAAATGAATAAGTGAAAGATTTGTTTTGATTTTGAAACACTCACCACTCCCACAGCATTGTTCAATATTTCTTCTTTACTAAGCTCGGTTGATGATTTTGTTGCTTCATCTGTTCCATTCTGTCGGGTACAGATAATATCATCTGGGTTGAAGCGAGCGAACAGGGCCTTGACTTCCATGTACTGTGGATTTCCCATCGCTCTCTTTTCAATGTTATCCCACATTTTCTCTTTTTCTTCATTTTGTGTTTTTTCATTGGTTCTCTCCTTTTGATAAGCCTGCGAACATTCGTCGAACAATTTCTGGTTCATTTCCATGAACATTTTTAGAGCGTTGTAGATGAGTCCGTGGATGGTCTTGTTCCAGTGTGACTTGCTGTTTTTGAACAGAACTGGAAACATGATGGGGATAATAGCACGCGCATTATCAGCAACCAGAGACATCACATATTCATTGTTCCAATAGTATAACGCCCGTTCGGCAACTTGGAAGTGAGGACTACTCACACATCGAGCAATTTGGGTGAACAGTGGAATCATAATCTTTTGGAATTCAACAGGTTCAATCACATCGAGAACTTCTTCCAACTCATTCAAAAACATGACCTCTTTTGGACTGTGCTGTTTCGGCCAAAATCTGAGCATTCCATTGATTACAGGTTCAGTCAGAGAAGAATCTTTCTCGATGAATTGTACGACGCAGTAGGCGAGTTGAGGATGATAGACCGAGAGTGATTTGACTTTATGCAATGGTAGGAGAACTCGCAGTAAGAATGTCTTGTGTTCTTCTTTAAGAGGAAGGGCAAATCCATTAATAATACTTCCAAGGATTTCGAGTAACTCGGCGATCCCGTTATGTCGTTCAGTTTCGTAGATGAATGAGTAGAAAATGTTGTTGATTTGTTTCCGAATATATGCACGATGTCCAAGGAATTTTCCGTATATTCTGTGTAGCGTTGTTTTAAGGAAGTCGCGTTCTCGTGGATCCTCACTGTCCATGATCATGAGAAGACGGAGAATGAAGTTCTGATCGATGTATCTCTTAGCTACTTGTGATTGAAAGTCTGGGCACTCGAGGAATCGCAGGAAGAACTCGTAGACCAACTGCAAAAAATGAGAAGTTGAGAAAAATAGAATCTTCAACAAACCTGAAGATGTGGCCACGCGGCTTCTAAAGTTGGCTCATCCTCATCTGGGTCAAATTCAGCGCCAATCGGATTTGTTGGAGGACTCAAAGGACGGAACAGATTCGTAGAAAACATGTTGATGGCCTCCGGGTAAACGGCATCGGAAAGGGTGCCTTTGGAAGCAGCGGAAACGTAGTCGACGAGTTCGTTCAATGCAGCTCGCTTGACTTCTTTGAATTTCAAATCGCTGAGAGCATCGTTGGCAAAGTCAAAAACGACACAACACTGTCGTAACTTCTGGATGAACAGAGTCTCTTTCTCGCTTCCCTCGGCATCTGAATAGAGAACGAAAATTGAACAAATGCGTTAAAGATAGACTGGTACCTTTTATGGATGGTAGTTTTTGCAGCTCTCTGTTTTGGGAGATGTTGAACATGCTGCTGGACTGACGGCGTTCTCGTCGAGGAATCATCGGACCTGAATTTCATGAAATAAATATTCATTTTTATTCTGGGGATAAAAAAGTACCTCCACCGTAATTATTCACTCGCCCAATACTTGCGGGTGGTGGTGCATCGGCAGGTATCATGTCGCCTGAAAATATTGCATTTTAATATTTACTTCAGAACCGACTGAATAAAAAGGAAAATATCGAAAATTCGGTTTAAAACTGAGTTGTCCGAGAGGAGTACACCATGCCGTGGACTAGGAAAACGCATGAGACGTGTCCTCAACTTCATGATAACTTTGCGCGGTAACTCAAAATTTAGGTTTTGACCATGTTTTTAAAAAGAAATTCAGACTTTTGGTTGTATTTGAAGCAGTTTTGAACTTCACACTGTCTGGATATAAATTTTGATTCAATATATTCAACGCAGAAGTGTTGTCAACATATCCGAAAATATATTCTTAGAAAATGACTGAAAAGAACGGAAACGGAGGCGTGACGAGCTAAAAAAAAACACAATCAAACTAATTGAGCTGGAGACCTAATCCGTTCCAACTGCCTCATTCGAATGCTGCCTCTAATACCTTCTTCTTTTGCGATTTAAAATGCGCGCGAAAATCAGGAGAAGGGTAAACCAAATTGATGAGAAAAGAAGAGAAATCTGTGAGGGCGCAAAAGGACTAACTAAAAGCGCATAGAAGAAAGAAGAACGTTTTTTTCTTCTTCTTTTTTCTTCTGTGAGAAATAAAGAAAATGACGAGCAAAAAGAAGAAGAGACATCAAGGATATGGGAAGAAAAAAGTTGGTCATCAATAATGTGTTTGTGCTTCATGGGCTCCCACATTTCTTGTTGTCAAACTGGCTCCTCCTCCAGTCTCACTGATAAATGTTTTTTTTTATTCAGTCGTAGTCGACTCCAAAAAATATAGTCGAGTTTTTTCGGCAAAAAAATCGGCTTCAAATTTTGTTTGCAAATTCAGTGAAAACGAAAATATTGAGGCTTGCAAATTCTCTCTCTCTCTCTCTCTCTCTAGTCGCCTTCAGAGAGATCGAACTAAGCTAATTTAGGCCTACCTACTTCGATTGATTCTAAAGTTTTTTTGCACTCTCTAATTAGCACAATCTTCTTTTTTTTTCATTTTTCCCAGAATAAACCTCCAAGATCTTCTGTCCGAATCATGGGAATCGCAGGGCCTTTACTGCTTCCAGGACCATCATCCTTCGATTGCTTCTTTTCCTTTTCTTTATCTTTCTTCTCCACTTTTCCGTTCTCCTTATCCTTTTTTTTGGATCTCAACATTGCAGATGCGGAACCGACCGCCTGGAATTTAATTTTGAACTGTTAAAAAATTTCAGTAATTTTGAGGATTATAAGAACAATAACACAAAAATGGACAGTAGGACAGAAGTTAGTTATTCAAACGATTTTTGGTTAACAGGAAATTTAAAAGTTCAAAAAATCAAAAAAGAATAATTTAGAGTATCGGATTCCAGGAAAGGCTCTTACTAGAATAAATTAATTCTATTGAAAACTGGAACAGGAAATTCTGGGATTCAAGGAAATGATATCATCACTTGAAGAAGATGGAATGGGCACCATCTACTAAACAGCGGAAATCAGAAGAAAAAAGAGTAAAAAACGGATGGCGCCGTCCCTCTTCCCACGCTTCTTCGTCTTCTACCCGACAGCTCTTCCTCAGCCTTTTTTCAGCGCATTTTTCGATTAACCAGCCCTCTTCTTTTTGTCGTTTTTCCTTTAAAAAAGCGGAGCTTCATTCTCTTCAATTTCCAATTACTGCTTCTTTGTAAAGAAGACACGATGATGCTGTCAAGGATCAGATTCTGATGAGCAGGCTGAAGAAGAAAGCAGAAGACGAAAAATGAATGAATTTGGGGAAAAGAAGGGAACCTAGTGCACGACTACTTGACAGATACGAAATATTTATAGCTCGAGTAAAGCTGGAGAAGAGAAGAAAATGACTATGCTGACACCGGGATAACACGAAAAAAAGAAGAAAGCAGGTGGAATTTTTTGTTTGGTATCCAGTATAGAAACAAGCAATTAGTAAGCTGTTGAGGCCTTGCGTGTCTTTTGACAAACTGAACAAAAATGGAAAAAAGGGTTGTGTGGGATGGAAGAATGAGAATATGGGGGAAGAAAAATACTGAAATGCTGAAAAAAGACAAACTGGGAGATTTTAAAATCAAAATTTGAGATTTTGGTTGTCACCTATGTGTAACCTATGTGAAAAAACTAGGTCATCACGTCGAACAATGAAAATAGTTCCTCGCTGCTATTCTAGTATGAAGGTGTGGAAGAGAAACGTTGACGTCAGTGGCTAAAGGTCCCGAAACGACAACAACAGTAACCTAAAAATGATTCTATCTTCATGATTTTGTCTCGTTTTATTGATTTTTACCGATTTTTCTGTTGTTTTTTCCCAAATCGGTGGAAAAATTAACTTTTTTGACAGTAAGAATATTGTCTGAAATCGTTCGAAAATCGAGAAAACAAACCCAGAAAATAACGAAATTTTTAGGTTACTGTAGTTGTCGTTGTGTGACCTTCGGCCACGTTGAACCGGTAAGCGAACATTCTTTTCCACAACGCCGATTTTTTGTGCTAGCATAATAAGGTCTCGAGACATATGAAAAAAATTTGGCATTTTTTTCTAAGTTTCTGGATTGTTACGGTAATTGGTCAAACATGATCACAGATATTTATTTTTAAAATTTGATATTTGATAAGATAAAATATTCAACCATAGAATAAAAATGGAACTTTGAAATGCGGATATCTAGATCGGATTGCACTTTGAGCCCTATTAGAAATCTTTGAAATCTAGGATCATTTCAATTATAAAATAGAAATTCTATTGATTAGCACAGAGTTTTTTTTTCAAAAAAATCAAACGGGGCGAAGAAGTTCTCAGAGCAAGGTTTTCTAACTGGTTTCAAATTTCTTGAACCTTTTTTTTCTGGAACACAACAATTTTCAAAACGAGCAACATCCAACTTTAAGTTAGGTTAGAAAGTCTAGACGAAACAAAAAACAGAAGAAAATTTCTCGTCTGATGTCGTTAAAAAACCAAGGGGAGAACACAACGGAAAGAAATGAAATCTTGTCTGGGTGCCCGGTATTGGCATCATATTTCAATTTTGAAAATCAAAGAGCACAAAGGAATTCGCCTATATTGCGCGGAAGTATGAGCCAGTGTAAAATCCCCAAGTCCCTCACGTGCGGAAATAATGCGCATCCGTCTTCCATATAGTCTATGGGAATATTTGAAAAATAACCAGAAGAACATGCTGTCGAAATGGGCAATTCATTTTATTGGGAGTAAACCGAGTCAGAGAGGGGAAACACTAGATGGTATCTCAAGAGCTCATTAAATCTAAAAACAAAAAAGTAAAAACCAAACAACTCTCTAACCTCTTTCCGATCTGCTTAGAAGTGATTAAAAGTAATAATCACTCGGGAAAGATTCTGTTATCGCAATGTTATGATTGACATCGAATAAGAACTTAATTGAAAGAGAAATGATACCCCATGATTCTCATGTTTTCCTAGAATCTGATCCAAAAAAACAAGTAAAACGATTTCACTTGCCTCGTGATTTCTAGTTGCTAATTGCATGCAGTTTCAAAGGGTAGTTTCAGAAAAGGACTTGAGCACAAGTACTATCAAAAATTGAATGAAAAACGGAAAGTCAACCCGGAATAGAATAACCAAAAACGAATTGAAAGTGAGCGCAAAACGAAGACACACGAAAAGACATGCTGCACACACATACAGCCTATTCTTATTCTTCTTTTTTCTTCTCCCTTGACGTTTTTATTTTCTTTTTTGTGCTTGGTGATGGTGGTGTGGCGCCCCGCGGCCAACGAAAAAAAAACGAAGCTCGTCAAAATTCGGGTCGTCTCTGGTGCCTCTCTGATTGAAAATTCTACCACCATATTTTGTTTTTTTTTGAGTTGTTTTATGCGCTTTGGAATGGGAGTTTTGGGAGAAAATGCTGATTGTGAAAACTAAATAAAATTTTTAAGGTATTGAGCTACGTAACTCTGGAAGCAATAAGAATATGGAAAAGGGGTATTATCATTACAACGAGTTTACACTGATAAACGATTCTTCTACAGTAATCATTGAGCTAAAATTGAAGAAAAAACAATGAATTTTAGACACTGTTTTTTTTTCTCTATTTTTCACTTTCAAAGGTGATAAAAAATTTACAGTAAAAAAACTAGTCGTCATCTGTCTTATCACTACCACATAACAAGTTTCTTTCAAATGTTCCACATTTTTTGAGGAGGAAATTTTTGAGTTAGGGACTGTGTATTATTATGGTACAAAAAATCGAATCTGTGGAGGAGAAACGCTGGTGGTCGTGGCCAAAAATCACACAACTACCGTAACCTAAAAATTCTGAATTTATTGTCTCGATTTTCGTGTTTTTTCAGTGAAGTTTTTCATTATATCAAAATATATCAACATGCTTTTTTCCGACTTGTTTGAGAAAAAATAACAGAAAACTTGACGAAAAGCAGTGAAACGAGAAAAAAAATACGAAAAAAAAATTGTTTGGTTACGGTAGTTATCGTTGTGGAACCTTCGGCCACCGGTGTTTCTCTTCCACAGCATTTTTTTCAAGAATAAGTTCCAGGTTATCTGGCACAGTATGATTTTTATTGGTCGTTGTGATGAGTCACTGATGACTTATTTTTTCATATGTTTTATAACTGCAATCTCAACAAGAGTTAGACACGAATAATCATTTCGGTTGAGCTAAAGAGCCTTGACAGAAACTTGCAAAAAAGTAAAACCACTCTTCAAAGAAAAGCCCAAAAAAGTGGGGTCGTAACTTACCCGGCTCCGCAAACTAAGAGTAGATGAAGCACCAGCGAACATGAATTGAAATGAGAAACAAAAAAGAGAAAAAAGAAGTAAAAGAAGAGTTCAGGAACAACCAATTCTGTGCTCTTTGGGCTTTCTACCCAGTCTTATGTCGTCTTGTCTCTTCCTGTGTCTTGATCTCTATCTCTCTAACTTTTTGAGGTCCTGCAACAATTTGATTTGATTGGAAAGTGACAAGTGGCCATCGAGTGAGCAATTGAGATAGAGAGAGAAGAGAGGGTTTCAAAAGAGAAACAAAAAGGGAAAGATGAAGAAAAATATGTGATACCTCTAGTAAAAAAGTTAATGTTCACTAATCATCGACTTGTCAGACTAAAAGATGAACAAGATGACAAGGAAGTTACCTATTAATCATCTCAAAAATGTAACAAGTTGTCTGATATTTAGAGAAAGGATAAAAGAAAAAGAAATCGATCAAAGAAGATTTTTTAGAAGAAAAGAAATCACTGAACAGATTTTGGGGAACAGAAAGTGCGAAACGTGAGCATTCTCAGCAAATCATGCGACCTGTAGTTTTACAAGAAGATGCTTGAAAACAAATCACATGTGAGGAGGAAACTTTTCTGTTAGCCCACAAACAAATATATGGCTATAGCAAACAACAAATATTAAAAGTGGAAAATTTGAAAATTTTTGGAGGAACGGAAGTGTGGCTTTTGAAAGTTGCTGACTAACTGTAATACTGGATCGACAACAACTACGGTAGTTTCGAGAATGAAGAGTTTTGGGTGGATTTCGAAATTTTGAAAATTGGTTTTAAAATTTGGTTTTGAAATTGAAATACCCAGAAAAATATCACTGGGATTTATAAAGGTGGAATGGGAGCTGTGGAAGAGAAACACCGGTGGCCGTGGCCAAAGGTCTCACAACGACAACTACAGTAATCAAAAAAGTATTGCAACTTACCGTATTTATTTTTTCGATTTTCGAGCGTTTTCTGTCAATTTTCCACTATAAAAATGGTTTTATTTTCCTTTTTTTGTGGAAAAGTAGCAGAAAATTTGACAAAAAGCAGTGAAAAACGAGAAAAAAAATACAAAAAAATGAAAGTATTTTTAGGTTACTGTAGTTGTTGTTGTGGGACCTTCAGCCACGGCCACTACACACCAGAATATCAGGAAGTAAAAAAAAACTGATCTGGAATTTTCTCAGTCTTTTCAAATTGCGAAGTACTAAATTCTTGTGCACTTTGAGAACAATAACCTCTCTTTACTATCTCAAATTGGAGCAATTTCAAATGAAACGAGTAAAACAGAATGGGTCGCCTCAGGGCTATAAAATTGATATAAAAAAGAGAAAAGAACTGCGGAAAAGCGACGAGACGCTGCTCCTCTGAATCTCGATGAGACACAACGGGGGACCACGGGATTCCGATTGAGAGCTGATAATAGTGATAAAGAGTGCCCGAGCACCATGGCGGCGGCAACGACTACGGAGCACAAAAAGATAGAAGCGGAGCCTGCCTGCCGCCATGGCTCCGGACCCCAAGACTCGAGATGACATTTGTAAATTTCGCGGGATCCGACAATGACACGGGACGCGAGGAGAGCAGCAGGCGCGTCGAGATGAGGAGGAGCTGTGTTTTTGTGAGAGGAAAAGAAACGGAAAGTTCGTTGGAAGTTCGAAATTTTGTGTTTTTTGATTTTGATTTATTAAGAAAAAAAAACAATATAATTAGGTTTTTCTGAAAGGAAAATTGGTGGAGAACCGAGAGAACCGACCCGTGAGGACTTGTATATTTCGAACGAACATACAAAAAAAATGCAGAAAATATTTGGGCACCCTCTCGTATTGGTTAGTGTCATTATACAAGCAATACATACAAAAAATACCAAGAGGTCAGGGGAAGGGAAAGTAAAAAAAAAAGTAAATACTGATCTGAATGTAAGAGAGTGAAACATTGTGATGATATGAAAACGGTACGAGAAATGTGAATAAAATTGAAAATAATTATTGAATAACGGTTGTTATTTGTGCTGAATGATGATGTTGAATATTATTTCCATTGATGGTGTTACCCTGAAGTTGCAGTAAAAGTGGAGCAATTGATGATGAGTGCTGGGCTTTGACGAAAAACGGGTGATGGAGTAGGTCTCGAGATGACCACCGTTGGTTGATGTCTTTGACAATGCAGTGACTCAATAGATCAGTCAACCGTGAGAGACCTGAAGCGATGCGATGATCTGGGTCGATTTATTTTGTTTTGAAAATTACCTTTGCATGTCTACTGAATCGAGATTCTGGTTCATCTCGTATTCTCTTCATGGCCTGGAATGGCTGATCATTGAAAAACGGTGGTTCTCCTTCGACCATTTCAATCAGCATCACTCCAAATGACCAGATGTCAGCACGTGTGTCGTATGGTTCTCGAGCAATCACTTCAGCTGCTGTCCAATATGGAGTACCGACCAGAGACCGACGACGAGGAACTTCTTCAGACAGCTGGCCACAAAACCCAAAATCTGTTAGTTTGACAGTACCGTCTCGTTTTAAAAGAATCGAATCACTCTTGATATCCCTAAAGTAGAGAAAAATTAAGATGAAGTTCCTTTGTGAATAATACCTGTGAATAACTTTTCTCGCGTGAAGAAAATCTAGAGCACCAAGAACTTGACGAGAGATAGTTGCGATCTGTGGTTCTGTCATCCGAGTAGATGTCACGATATCCGTCAAAGAACCCCCTTCCATGAACTCCATGACCACCCAAAGTTCTTCGTCGACGAGATGTGACGAGAAGAATCGAACAATATTCGGATGTTGATACTGTCGAAGTATGGAGACTTCGTTAAACAGAAGCTCTCTCCGCTGTTGCTTTTTTAGATTCATCCGTTTCACAGCTACTATTTGTTTTGTCGATATCTTGAAAGCAGCGTCAACGACTCCTGTAGACCCTTCTCCAATTTGTTTGTAATCTGTTAAGTCAGAACGTGGATCGTCGCTGTCTACTACAAACTTCAGCGCGTTTCGGAACTGAAGAAAAACGAATAAGGCTTTCTTGTTTAATGCTGAAACTTACATCTTCATCACTGACACCTTCTCCACATTTCGGTTGTGTGCGAACCGTCTGAGGAGTTGTTGGCGTTTTCGGTCGCATCTGTGGTGTCATTGTTCGTGATGGTGGAGCTACAATCGTTGTTATTTGATGCGCTTGACGAGGTTGTTCTACTCCGAACGTCGTTGTTGTTGCCGTTGGAGGCCTTTGATTACGGAGAGGCAATGGTGCGTAGCTTGGATCATTGAATGGGTATCCTCTTTGACTAACTGGTGGGAGAGATGGACGAAATGATTGCCGAGATACATTTATAACTGGTGACGCAGTGGCTGATATCCGAAGACTGTTACTTCTGGCAACACTTGGAAAAGGTGAGTTGGTGATTCCGAATGGAAGAGGCGTGTTATACCTGAAAGTATTGGTGTTCAAAGAAGAGCTAAAATATTATTTGAAAACCTGGATGATGGTCCTCGGATCACAGTTTTGAGTTCAGCGACATCCACTGGTGTAATACACGATGGATCGACCATCGGTTTCGGTCTCGATATGGATCGTGGTGGACCGAGAAGAGCTTGCCATTGCTGAAAAATGATTTAATGAGCTACAAATTAAACGAGAAAAACACTTACTTTCGGCAGCCCTGTGTAGGTACCCGTTCTGGCATCGAAACCAGCATGTATTCTATGTTCGAAGTTGCTTGGCGTCGAGATTTCCGACTTTTTCACTTTTCGACGCAACGAGAAAGTTCGATTCATTTCCTAATGTGCATACTGTTATCTGAAAATCGACAAAATAACCGAACGAGAATGGTAAGACTCTACCAGAAGAGGCAACGAGGAAAACCAATAACATTCTTAGTATATCGGCACAGTGTGTAAAGAAGACCCATAAACCGAATGAGATGCTGAAGCGCAAATATTTGAATCGGAAATACATAATTTCGGGGAAAAAGCGAGAAAAGGTGGATGTAAAAAGTGGTTTTTCCAGTTACGAGAACGAACAAACCGTATTTTTATGACCAATAAGGAAAGAGTTAAATGAAAAAACGGATATAAAAAGTTTTTAAGGATCTAAACACATAATTAGCTAGAATTGTGTTTACAAAACGTCGAATACACACTCAAAATAATTAAAACAGTGTTTATCGAACTTTTCAGTAACTTTCCAATTGGATTTCCAATAATTCTTGACAATAATTGGCACTTGATATCCGCAACGATACTCCGATATCCCGCCACGCGCGTTGTTTATCGTAAATCTACACTCATTCAGAAAGTCAATCTCAAAAAAAGGAAGTAGGAATCACTTTGGTTTCATGTCAAAAATAGGTTTCAAACTACTTGATGATTATAATTAGAATCCTTTCATTCCCCATCCATTTAAAACTTCTAGAAGAATAAAGGCGAAACCGGAACATAGCAAAAGACCGCGTTTAATAACGCAAATGCAACTATTTACAAAAAATATAAAAATACATTATTTTCCGAAACTCGAGACAGAGCTGGCAAGCAATGTCAGTTTCTACAACAACAAGAGAAACTTGGGACAATGTTAATGTCGAAATTGTAAACATTTATAATGAAAACTCAGTAAGACTAATAAGTCTGCTACTCAGTGAGACAATCATTGATTTCCAGTTTTCTCGTATGATGCTAGCTACTTTTTGTATGATATTATTCATCGCATGTGGATTCTGGTGCATCTGTGCTTCTTGTGAACTTAGAAAAGAAGAAGAAAACAGTTATAATAGAGATAAGGACTTTGAGAAAGATGAAGTGAACCCTTCGAGATCAAACGCTGGATCGGAAGTATAGACGATTAATTATTGAACTCTAGTTGATTTTCTAGTGACCTGAATAAAATATGAACTCCAAACGCATTGAACTCGTAAATCTATGATTTTCGTGAACTTGAAAATATCCAAGTTTAGTTTCGATTTTCCATTATTTCACCAATAGGGACTTGATCGTAAAACTCTCTTCGTGACGCGAAACTTGAACAATGACTCCCAAAACGGCAAAACAGGCAATAAAATCAACGACGATGGAAACCTTCAATCATGTCGTCATTGAAATCACGAATTTTCATACCATCGAGATGGTAAGATCAGCTTTTTGAGTTGGAATAAACTGAGTTTTTGTTTCCAGTGGTTCCTTATACTCGTCGGAGTTCTGATTCTTATTATTTCTGTTTTGTGTGGAATTTGGTGTTTAGTTGCTGCGAAAAATGTGAAAAACGACGGGAAAACTCACTTCGACGATGATGATGAGTCTAAAGGATCAAGGTCTAGATCTACTGCTGGCTCGGATTTCTCTGTGATTGAAGTTGAAGAGCTAAACGTTGAAAATTCGGGAGGCATCAGAAACTATTTGAATGGGGTCAGAGTTATGAATTGTAGATGATATACTAACTTTAAAAGTTTTCAGATTGGAAAAAGTTTGATGTTCAAGGAGTAATACTTGATGAATTTTCAATTCAGCGACCTCAATGTCTTTTCATTTTTTTCTATGTCAGACTGACCAATAAACTGTATTATTTATATAGTTTTCTTAACGTAGTGACACAGATTTAAAATCAAAATTTTAATAACTACAAATCTAAAAAATCTAAACACGCTGTCATTTCACGATCTTGTTACTGAAACAAATGTCTTTTAATCCGGATAACTCTACTGAAATATTCAATAATGTCGAGCTGACAATCGAAAATCATGATTATAATGAATTGGTGATATCTTAAAAACTATTGACATAAAAAAGGATTATTTCAGAGGTCCACTATTGTGATAACTTTTTTCGTCATTTACATACTAGTCTCATGTGGGTCTTGGTGCATTTATGCAGCTGGAAAGATCAGTGGTGGGATTAAAAAAGAGCTAGATTTGAATTTTTCTGTTTCAGAAGAAGCTAATGTGTATCATTTTGAAAACGAATTCAAGCCAGATAACGAAGAATCAAAGTCTAAGTTCAAAAGAAAGGCAGCTGGTATTTGTGAAATTGAAATTGAAAACGGGAGTTATCAGACTAGAACCCAAACTTATCTGACTACAGTAAGAAAAAATTTGAGTGAAATATTTGATGAACTAAATATACTTTCAGTTAGCAAGAAGTTTTATGATTTGGAAGGAATGAGAGAGGATGGAATCAATACCTCGTTTTTTTAAATTTTTTCCCCAAGATCCGTGTGTCAATTGTTTGTTTTGACAATAAACCTTATCTCCGTTTTTCCGTTTGATGTCAATATTAGCTCATTGAGTTGTAACGAGAGAAGACCAAAATAATAACCTTTTTTAGTCTGTTTTCTTATTCCCTGAACGGATCAACCGTGAACCCTGTGATAGCAGCACCCCTTAGCTCTTAACTCTGAGCCAAATCTCGGTTCCTGTTTAAGATATCGAAAAGTTGTGGCTCAAAGTTAAAAGTTAGGATGGCCTTCTATTAAAGGTTTACGGAATTTAGATTATTCCCATCAAATTTGAGATCAATTTATTTTGAAACGATTGTTGAATGAACTGCAAAAATTAGGATATGGTTGGCAGATAGTTCCGATTCAATCCATTTCCATTGTTATTGAGATTGCTTCCATGGCTGGTGTGTAGGCTGAAGTTCTTTGAGACCAAATTATTGGTGTTTCCATTCAGAAGAGGAAGATAATTGGGACTCTGAAAATGAAAGATAACTAAATATTTATAAAACAAAAAATAATACATACCCTCTTGGAAGTGAGATTTGTTGGAGTACTGTCATCGAGACGTAATCTGAGAGTCCAGTTTTGGAAAATCGCATGCTGCATGAGCTCACTGCAAGACCAACGTCGCTCTGGAGACATTTCGAAGCACTTCTGAAAATAAAACGTTTTTATTTATTTTATCTTTTAAAACCATACATAGAGAAAGTCTAGCTGCCCACTGCTAGCATTTGGAAGTTTTGAAGGAAGGGGTTCCAGATGCTCTGGTTCAGGAATCGAGAGACCGAAGAAGAACTGATTGGTTCGAAAAATGGAAATGTGTCTGGGTAGGAATTCTCCCAAAGTTTTACGAATATGGTACAACTGATCGATATCACTTCTTCCTGGCCACAATGCTTCTCCAGTCATCAATTCTGCATAGACACATCCAACAGCCCAGATGTCTACGGGCGGTCCATACTGCACATCTCCAACAAGAAGCTCTGGACTACGGTACCATCGAGTTGCCACGTAGTCAGTGTACATTTCAGTGGTATCTGAAGGAAAGTATGATTTAAGATTTGATTCATATACATGACTTACTGATTATTCTGGCAAATCCAAAATCTCCAAGTTTGACTTGATCGTTTCGTGTTAGAAAAATGTTCTCTGGCTTTACATCTCGATGTATGCATTTGTTACTGTGACAGAACCTCAAGGCGTCTAACAGCTGATAGATTATTTTCTTAATGAGGTCATCGCCAACTCTGAAATCTCACAGATACTGAAAATGGCTAAGCCTAGATTAGACTAACCCGGTGGGATTCTTTTCCAACTCGTGAAGAACTGTCCGATCACACAATTCAAAAACGAGATGAAGCTTCCGGTTTCTTTTGAAAACTTCGATCAGGCCAACCAGGTTTTGATGTTTCAGTTGCTGAAACAATTAGATTATAGGTGGATTTCAAAAATAACCTTACTTTCAACATTCGAATTTCCCTCAACGCAATCTTTTTAATATGCGGATCATCCTCCGTCTCTACGAACTTCTTAATTGCTACTATCTGTCCTGTATCCTTATTCTTGCACTTGTAGACAACTCCATAGGAGCCTTCTCCCAGTTTCGAAATTCTATCGTACTTGTCCATAGCGTCACAACGGCGTTTTGAAGAGCTGGAAACATCAAAAATTAAAAAAGAAAGTTGTCAGTTCAATAATTGACTCGATGTGGTGAAAGCAAATCTTGAGCTTTTTCTTTCTAGAACTCAAAAACCAAATCATGAGAAAAAAAAGAGAGTGAATAATAGGGTTTGGTGAATATATTTGAGAAGTGAAGAGGAGGCTGGAATTACATGTTCTGGTACAATTAGTGTTCTCAATTTTTATATACGAAAATACAGACAGAAAAATAACAAAGATGAATTCTCTTGTGATGTATAGATTCTTCTATAACAGTCTAGAATCGACTAATATTTTAATTAATCCAAACATCTTCAAACAACAACTAATTGGATCTCATGAGTGGTTTCTAGTTCGGTTTCTAGTAAAAAATGGCTGGGCCACAAAATCACGAGAGGAAATTGTAGTATAGTCAGAAAACGGGAAACAAATCCACTCACTACTTGTTCGTAAAAGTAAGGTATTGATAAGGCGGGGGAGACAAGGCGAGCGAGAGATTTCAGAGATTCGCAGAGCATGCATCGCCATGGGAACAAGATGTATGCAGAAGAAGAAAAAGAAGAAGAAAAAATAAAACGGGAAAATGGAGAGACGAGAAATTGACAGCAGTTTTACGAGTGATATGTATTGCCTGGGAAATTTTTATAATTATCAAATTTCTTGTAGAAAATTAGGAGGCATTTGAGACGCTGGTATGAAATGGAATTTAGGGGAATACGATTGCAAAGGAAAAACATGTCAATTCGGACTACTTGGAGATGTTTTCTATTACCGTAAAACCTGTAATAGAAGAGCCCCTAACTTTTAACTTTGAGCCATTTATCTATGTTCCTGACAAAGATATGAAAAAGTGGTCAAGTGATAAATCGTTTATCATAATATCAGAAGTGTTCTGTCATTTGACACATTTTTGATACCTAGAATTGGAACCAAGAAGAATGAGCTCAAACTTGACAATGTGGGGCGCTTCTATTGCAGGTTTTACAGTTGTTGGAAATTATCATGTATCTTCAAAAACCTATGGTTCTGAAAAATTGAAGATCACTTTCATTATCTAGGTGCATTCAATTGGGCGTTTTAAAAATTTCAACAGGACCCAAAAGTGAAAAAAAAATCAGGTGGCACTGGAGTAATAAATTTCCAAATTTTCTAAAATTCCAAAAATTTTAATTCTGGTTCACTGAAGTTTAAAATTCTGAATTATACTTGAATACGTACACTTCTGAATATCTAATATCTCGAATTTCTTAAATTATTGAATTTTCGAACTTCTGAAAATTCAAATTCTCGAATTTCTAGATTTTCGATTTTCAAAAATTTTGAATTCCCGGATTACCGAATTTGAAATAGACACATTTGAAATACGTCACCCAAGCCAACCGAACCGGGACGGGCCTGGCTCTGAAATTCTCGACCATGGCCCCTGATTTTTCAAATATGCTAATTTGTTTATTACAGTTCCTAACCTCAATTCGTGTTCCCTTAACCATCATTTCATTCCCATTTTTCTGAACTTTGCGCTTTCGTTGCAAAACTTTTCCACTGCGTTTTGTCCAGTCATGTCTCTCCCAGAAAATACGCTAAATGGGGGACCAAAATTGTGTGGAGCCACCATGGATACTGACACAAAGAGACACCACTCTCTTCCCGTTTATTCTCTACTTCTTCTTCTTTCGCAAGACTCTTGTCCAGGAAATGACGCTTTTATTTACGGGACCCTCGTGTGCTATGATGTGAGCTTTCCGGGTCTCGTAAAGACTTATTTCTTAAAGTGACAGTTTCAGCCAATACTCCAGATTTACAGAAATTAAAAAAGAAAATAAAAACGTACTTTTTCAGAGAACAAAACAAGTTGTTTTCCATCACTGTCAGTGCTTCGATCTCAGCAAAAACCATGTCGTCGCTGAAAAAAAGAACTGAAATAACATGAAAAGCAGAAAATAGGTCCGACGAAACGTGCAAGTGATGAAAAAGAAGATAGCTTTGGCTTTAAATAATTTATCAACACGAAAAGGTGAAAGATGGATGGAGCTGTAATCAGGAAATATCATTTGTAGGAATACATTTGAGATGTTATTAGATAGACATGAAAGTATAATTTTTTCCAGTAGGACTCTATTGATATTCAAAAGTTGTAAGATTGAGTTGTATCCCAATTGAATGAATAGAATGTGCCATTCGAAAAAAAAATGAATAGACAGTTTATAAAAATCAGCTTATCTAACAATTGAGACATGCTAACCTCAGGTGAGACAGTCAATAAAAAACCTGAGCACGAGTCCAAGTAGTTGTCCGGATAATCCGAGTAGCTATCTTCTTCTCAATAAGAAATTCTGAGAAAGCCAATCGACTGACGTACAACAATACAACGCAAATTTGTATTCATAAGACGACGAGTATATGTGAATTAGCCAGAAAGAAAAAAAATCGAATGTGAAATGGACGTACCTTTTCGTTTTTTCGAGTCGTGGTGCACTCAATTTCTTCCTGCTCAACGAATTCAACGGAGATTTGGACTGGTCCCGACAGATGTCAGATGGTGTGAGAAACAGAGAATTCTCCTTCGAAGAGGAGCACGATGTGCCAGAGGTGTCGATCCGCAGAAGCTCCAGTTTGGATAACGGATCATCGACGCGGATGTCCTGGAATTAGATGAAGTTATTAGAACGTGTTTTTGAGAAGCATTTTTTAAAAACTTAGTGAGAGCTCTTATCACATCTCTCGAGCAGGAGTTAGAAAATGATAATCCGTACCTAGAATCCTAGAAAATAAATCCATACTCCTTCTATTCAAAGTATTATTTGTCAATTGTTCACAAATCCTCCAACCAACTAACCTTGCTTTTCCTCCTTTCGGAATTCGTCTCCAGTTTGACTGCAGTCAAAAAAGAAAGAGCTGTGCGGGAAGGTCCCTTTCCAATTTTAGTCGCTTCTTCCGGCGTCATGGTTTCCAAACGCCACTTTTGGAACATTGACTATTTAAGAGACGAAGAGTTGAAAAAGTGGGGGAAGAAGAAGAAGAAGACCAGTCGACGAATTTCGAATTCTGGATGATGCTATGTGGTTGGGATGAAGAAATATCGAGGATGGAAAAAGTGGAAAGTGTAATGAAAAATCATTAACCACTCAATGGAAAATATTTTGGTGGAAAACAGATCAGAAGTGCAATCAGAGTACTTTTAATGTCTGGAAAACGCTAATACCGTAAAACCTGTAATAATAGAAGGGCCCCTAACTTTTAATTTTCAGCCAATTTTTACTTACAGATTTTTTGATTACAGATTTCACCGTATACAGTGTGTTGCAGGTTCTTACGTCCACCCATGTTTTAGGTCATAACTTTTTATGGTAGCTTGAAAACCAAAAAAAAATCCAGATTAGTCAAATTAATAGATTCCATAGCATGCCTTATTTGGTAGCTGTAGTTTTACGAAATATGGAAGATAAACTAACTTCTCAGAGAGCAAAAATGTACTTTGACTTATAAATGCAAATCTCGCTAATCAAGACTTATCGTTGCTTTCTGAATAAAAGTAAACAGCCTTCTCGCTTGTAACTTTGATTTGAAATTTCCGGCATTCGAGAAGTTACAGATCGGAAGTTGCAAATCGACCCGGATGAAGAAGAAAGAAGTGAAAAAAGAAAACATCTGAAAAAGAAAAACAAGTATTTCCAGACGCGACCCACTTCTCGACCCATCCACCTGGAACAGAACATGAAGAAAATAAAAAAGAAGAAGTAGGAAACGAATGACGGCAGAAAATGGGGGGGACCCATTGACAAGACCTGGCTGGCACAAGTGGAAGCACGGGAAAGGACCCAAATTATCCTTTTGCTCTTTTTCTTTTTGCCATACTTCTCGTCATCTTTTGACCTCTCTAAAAGTATGTGAATGCATCTTTATTTATGTACAACTTATTTCGAAGACAAGGAAAAAGAAAACCACAGACACGTAATGGATTAAGCAGATAACAGGAGATCGTAAATGACAAAAAGTTCAAAATGACAAAGATAAATAATGAATTGAGAATGAAGTTTGAAAGAGATTCTGTGGTTTGTACATGGTACAAGATCATATGAATTCACTGGGGAAGATCACTATGGAGAAATGGATTGGATCACGATAATTGGGGTTTTCAGTCAAATGAGTGTATATTTTTATTATTTGAATTGCTTCTGAAGCGTTTCCAGCAAAATATGGAGCTACGTCTTGGCGCCAAACTATTCTACCAAGTGCCTGGGATCGGTATTTAGCAAGGAATCTTATCAAATCTTTATATGGTTTTAATACATTATCCATCTGAACAAATATCGGTTTAGTTCTATCATTGTTTCTATGTGAAAACTTACCCTTTTGACATCTTTCTCGAATTGCATATTTCGGTAGATTAGTATCATAACAGCGCTTAGATCGTTAGCAGCTGTTTCAACACTGAAAAAAACAATGGTTTCTTTGATTTCCTGTTATTTCTTCCTTACAGTTCTTTCATATATTCAGGCTGCTCTTCAAACATATCCAAGAGTAAAGTATCATTGAACATAGTTTTGGAACAAGCAACACATCTCAATAAGATATTTTCTCTTGCGCGGTTCTTCATTAGTCTTTTCCAAGCTCTGAAAATGAACTGAAACGTTTCCAGTGTCCCAATCTCACCACTCACAAATCACTTTTTTCCCTGAAGCGGGTGCTACAGAGACCATTGAAAATACTATCTCTTTCCATCATATAATGTTCCATGTTCCATTTTTCGAACAGAAAATCAAAATCATCCTCTGTTCCGTGCTTGATCGCAGCAGAATAAACCCAAGGGCGGAGGTAGTATGGAATTCTAAAATTATAAATACATTTACTATGGTCAGATCGAGAAGGAGATACATACTTGTTACAATCCGAACCACTCAACAACTGAAATTTTCCAGAACAATTTCTCCGAACCTCTTGGAATCTCTCTGTAGCCATTTGAATGCATGGTTCGTAATCGATTATACATGCTCTTAATACAACGATATCTCGAGCGGAGCTTAAAAAATACGTTTTTAAAGAGCTCAAACAGTCGTTACTTACAACAAATCATGTTGTATGTCCATGTCCGCATCTAGTCCTTGAGCGTTAAACTGGTCGAATAGTTTTCCAATAATGAGTGACAAATATTCCTTTAATAATAATTATGCTAAACTCAAGAACGTCTTCGTTTCCTTACTTGGTATTCTGACCAGAATTCAAGACCATACATTCTCGGGAGGAAATAGTCCATATAAGCACTGAACGTCTGTAGCGGGCGGTACTCGGTCTGAAAGGTCAATCCGTTAAGATATGATATCATCGATCACATCAATCAACTTTCTGATCTACGCGTCTGTGCTTTGGTTCTAAAGAGATGATATAAGGGAAACAAAAAGTGTCCGATGGTATTTTTTCTTCTTCATTTTCACTCTTCTTCTCTTCAATATCACATCTAATATCTTCATTTTTCATCGTCTTTGCCTTTTTGGGTGTACCCTGTTTGTTTTGCCTTTTTCAATACTTTTCTTACTTTACTAGGTGTGTATGCTTACATTTTCACCTCTATTCCTATATAACACCTTTTAAATAATCAGATTCAAAAAATGAATACGCTGCTCTTATTGTCAATTCTACTGGCTGGAACATCGGCAACGTCAGTTCTTAGCCGTTATTTCAACGAAGCAGATGGTATTCCATTGGCCAGAACTCCTAATGAAGACGCAAGAGTTTCAGATGCTGATGTTGGAATGAAATCAGTGAGTTATAAGTTAGGTTGTACTTTATCTTATTACTTTGAACGACTCAGGACTTATTCATCGGAACATTTGGAGGCCGACCAATCGTAACAAGACAAGAAAATACATTCATAGATCAGGACGGGTACGTAATTTTATCAGTTAGTCTAAAGATCGATAATTCCGTTTCAGTGTCCCAGTCCCAATTCTTCCTTATCACAAAACGTATCACAATTCTGATCAGTTGACCGCATACAAGCGTTTCATGGAAAGATCAAGAGGAGCGCCGACACCAGCTTAATTGTTATAATGATTGAAAACATTAAGATCTCTGATATCATCTTAAACCGAGTGATAACATTCTAAACTTGATAAAAGATGTATTAAAAACTCACCTCTTTACTCATGTACATCGTGACATTGAAGGCAACCTTGTAACTCATTTGATCATGCTCTGCCATTGAAAATGTATCATCAATTAATCGACTTCTGGAGTTGGTTGGAATCACACGATAATCGTGAAGCAGTGCCATAGTGATATCCGAATACATCTCAATGTCATATCGTATACGCATATATGTCAGCTGATGCGGATCCACGACGTACTGTCCAGCCATATCAAAAACGTGTGGCTGCTTATCAGTTAACCAGAACACTTTGTGTTTTGCGGATACGGGATCGTCGTAGAATATCGGAATCTTCCATACTTGATCATTTACTTTGGCTAGATATGGAACGTGCTGAAAAAGCAGTTAATGCTCGAGGAGGTACAGTAATCCCTAAAAAGTTGCGATATTTTCATATGGATCCATATAGAGAGTATTGGGAGTTTCGTTAATTAGTTTGCTTATTGAAAGCTTGATTCGAAGAACATTAGGTTCAATAAAATTACTACGGATTTTTTTGTTGGATTCATCCGAACCTTATCGAGTTCTTGTTTGTTTGGTAAAGCAAAAAATAATAAAAAGTACTCGAAAAATATTTAACCTCAAAAATTAGAATCCTCCCCTCTAATATCTGGACATATACGGAGGAAAGGGCGATGCAATTTATAATTGTGAGGTCGCTAAACTTTTTATCATACTTGTGGAAAAGATGGCCGGGCCGAGATTTTTTTGAAAGCGGGCCGGGCCGGGCCGGGCCGGAAAAATTAGGGCATGGCCGGCCCGCTTTTTGAAAATTTCGAAATTTTAGAGCAAATCGTCATTTTTCAAGATGACTCTTCTTCTTAATAAATGAAAATCCACACTAGAGGCTGATTCTGTTGAAAAAAACAGTTTTGAGGTCGTAATTAGAAAAAAACTTCACCCTTGGCTTAATCAAGTTTGATTTTTTTGCTAAAAATTCAACTAAATTGACTTTTTCGGATGGTTGTATGCATTTGGATTAATATTTGTGCTATTGAAACTATTTTGGCACATTTGAAAAGTAAAATTTTCGAAAAGTTGTACTAGGCGGGCCGAGAGGGCCGGGCCGGGCCGGGCCGAGGGTTTTGAGGCAAACGGGCCGGCCCGGCCATCCACATGTATGCTTTTTATGACTGGATTTCGGAAACGTTTTCTTTACTGAAACTACCGATATTTTTAGATTCTATATTGATCCATGTAAAAATATGTACCGTGAAATGTGTTAGCCGCCCACACTGTTAAGTTTCGGCTCAATTATCTTAATTCTTATGCAAGACATCAAAAATATGCCACGGATAAAAAAACTTCTGATATCATAATGAACAGTTTGTCAGTTGACAACGGTTTTATATCTTTAACAGGAACCAAGACAAATTGGCTCAAAATTAAAAATTTGGTGCCCTTTTGAAATACTTCAGTACCCCTTATAAAAAAGTTATCTTGTTACCTACTTCGTACTTCTCCTGTCTGAGTGTTACGATACTGCCTTCTTTGCGATTCACGTGAACCAATGGAAAGTGTGGTTGTCGGATCCATGTGTCCATTACATCAGAAAGAGAAAAGTTCTGACCACTGAGGTGACCACCTGCTGATGAATCGTGAACACTGAAAGGAGAAATTTCTTAGTTTTTGAAAATCCAGTTTTCTCTAGAAACTTCTAGAAGGTCACCGGCGAAACATTAGAAAACTCACTAGACAAGTACATTGAACAAGTCCTCGTGATCAGCATTTTTATACAGAAAACTGTTCAGAAATCTGCGAAGTCCTTTCTTGAAAGTATCTTCTTCTATAATCCGTTCAATCATTCTGATGATGATCGAGGATTTTTTGTAGATGATGTGGTTCAAGTGTGAAGTAACTTCGGTGTATCTTCCAGGATTCGAATACTCTCCACCACTGACTGGAATCATACCATTAATCTGATCAGATCTCAGAGCAAAACATTGTAACTCTGCTCTGTCGTCCTAAATACCGATATTTGTTGATTCTGAAACCAAAATATCTAAAACTCACATATCGCCAAGTGGTGTTTTCCAAAAAATCAACACCTTTGAGACTGATAAGTGTAGCAAATCCTTCATTCAGCCAAAGATCGCTCCACCATTTCATGGTTACTAAATTTCCGAACCATTGATGAGACACTTCATGAGCAATGATTTCTTGAAGGTTGTGCTTCTGGATGATTGGAAATAACCCATCTTTGTAAAGCCCGTCACGCTGTCGGATTGTTATCAAACCTGAAAAGTACTGGTAGAGCCGCTATGTAGATTATTTATATTCTCACCCCAATTTTCCATAGCTATAACATTCAAAGCCGGTACAATTACGACATCTGTAAGAAAAAGTGAAAATTACGAGGCCAAAAAAGGGAAAACGGGTTCAAAAAAGGTCACACCGTCCGCTCAAATTATGGAGATTAGATAACTTTTGGGTATAAATCAAAGAGAGAACTAATGGATGTGTCGAGAATGAGAAAAATAGTATCCATCGGGATGTTTAGATGGATGCAGAAAAAACATCCATCGGTTTGCTTCTCCCTATTATTTTTACTTCCCCACCATCTTCAATTTCCTTCATCTTTCATTCCTTCGTCGACATCTCTCTTCATCTACATCTCATTCTCCGTCTTGCATAAAAAAGATGAGGCGGAACGATAATATCACGACCCGCACAGTGTTTCCTTCGCCGCCATCTCGTCATACCCACACTCACAAATGCCATGGTGAAGATGCTTTTCATATCACCATTGTTATTCTTCCTCTTATTTTTTCTAATCCCCGCCGCTGACAGTACCGTCCAACCCAATGTCACACTTTTGACTCTTGGAGATCTATGGGAGACTCGAGGAATGATAAGAACCCATCTATTCCCAACCAAGACTTCTACTGTGTATCCAGAGTTTGCAGCGATTCCGAGTAATCAGGGTGATGGAAGGATGCACTTAACACGATCCGCGTTAAATAAAGCTATTGAAAATGTGGCGGAGATGAATGGGGTTCTCATTCACTCTATCTGTTCCTACAGGTAAATTCTTCTATTGCTCCAGAACTTGCACTACGATTTTTATAGACATTTGAATGTAACATTCTATACACTGAATACTATGTTTGGGATTGGAAGAAGCGAAGTTCTGATAGACGCCAATATGACCGAAATGGAGCATAAGATGTCAGAAATGACGGATCGTCGAATTAAAGTGAACTTCATTTGTGTTGGAGCCAATAATGATACTTACAGGTAATCCTAAAGATATTTTATTGTCCCTAGGTTTCGAAAATGTTGCCTTCTTTAAAAATATTTCGAGTCAACAGTTTTTTTATTGACTGGTCAACTATATACCTGTCAACCTTTATTATCGTCAATTCAAATACCTCGTGATGGACATAGATTGGACACCGGCAAAACTTTTTCATTTCATAATCCAATATCCACCGCGGTGTTGTTTTTTTTCCAGCGCCGTTTGGCATCATTCACCCGATTTCGTCTGGCATTTTATTGTGGATTCGGGCCCGATAAGAGAGATTATTGAGAAAGATCGATTGCAGATGACACGTGGATACTATGCAGACTGCTTTCAGGTTCGAACTAGAGACAAGAATCAAACTAAACTGAAGACTACTTTTGTAGACATATCGAAATGATAACATCAGTAGAGCAATCATTATTTGGAGAAAGGGGTTTGGAAAAAAGTACCGTATCCAGTATGGAACAGAAGTTCATGAAATGCTGACGGATATGCAGAGAACTGACCTAGAACCAGTTCAATTTGCCAGCCTTCCAAGGTGAGGTGAGCAAAGAAAAAGAGTTCGAGGTGAGAAGAGACTCGGACATTTTACAGATTAGGCCAGAAAAGACCATTCCCCCGTTGGATTCTGTGGCATGGTGATGAGTTTACATGGGGTAATAGAACGATTCCAAGAGATTTGAGTAAGATGAATCACAACTGGGAAGCACTGAACTCTGTTATTGAGCACCGAGTGTGTTTAAGTTTTTGAGTTCTTTTTCAAAATCTCGAGTTTCAGATGCGAAGCTATGACATACCGTCAATTTCTATTCACATCCTTCGTGATAACAAAATGGAATATTCTGCGTCTTATGGATTTGCTGATATTCTACAGAGTATCCCAGTCAAAACAACTCACCGCTATCGAATCGCTTCTGTGAGCAAACTGATAACAGCAATGACAATTGGAGAACTTCTTGCTGATTACAAACATATTGACTTGCTCACTCCTGTATTTGGACCAGCTGGAGTACTGTCGGACGTCTGCTCACCGTGTCACCCATTCCTACTGCATGTGAGGATTATACATCTTCTGGAGCATTCTTCTGGTGCTTGGCCGCATACAAGCAAGTTCGAGTTTGATAGGATGGAACAGAATCAGACGGAATTTTTGATGAGAGTGGTTCAGAAAGAGTTCCCTATTCTATTCCCCGGTGGAAGACACATGTATTCAAATATTGGATACATTTTATTAGGAAGAATAATCGAGAAAGTGTCAGGAAGAAGTTACGAGGAATATGCGTTAGAAAAAGTTCTAAACCCTTTGGGAGTTAATGCAACCATTGGTAAAGAAGGCGACCCATTTGAAGAGGTATAAAGACAGATACTGACAGTTGACAACACGATTCTTATTTAGGTCACATATTATTCCCATGATAACGCAAATGCCTACACTTCTTGGAGCACACGTCGTCTGAATTCGGCTGCTGGTTGGGCAATGAAAGCAGAAGACGTTACAAAGGTATTCCACCATTTAGAAGAACACAAGCTACGAAGGTTCCGATGGATTATCACACCATCGGCTGTTCGATGGAACTATGGAAGAGGAGTTCAGTTAGGAAACGATGGAAGTCTGTATCATATTGGGTCCCTAGCAGGAACAGAAGCAATTGGTTACACGTGGCAGAATGTACAAGTTGCAATTCTAACGAATATTAGAGGAAAGGAACAGAATGAGCAGACGGGATGGATGGAAAAATTATGTAAGAGTATTGCAGACGGACGGTTTACGAGATGACGAGTACTTTTGTTTATTTTTTGTTGTTTTCTATGTATTTATAGATCTTGTATATAATAAAGTAGTGATATTGCACTCACCAAGTTTTTCCAAAGGATACAGTATGTCAAAGTAGTCTTCATAGAATTCAAGAAGCGGTATGACGCTATCAGCTATAAGTTCAGCAAAATCAATTTTCGAAGGATCACAGAACACTCGAGACTAAAATAGAAAAGTTTTGAATACTGTATACTTTTGAATTATTTACCTTGATGCCTCTTGAAGAAATTCTTTCAAGATACGGAAAATCAGAAACTGAAAATGCGAATAAATAAGTAGACATTGGAGGTGTTCGTTTGAATGTTGTCGTTGTCCAACCTCTGAAATTTCGGGGTTCTCTCATACTTCCCTTCAGATCCAAAAATTTATCTAACCCGTCTACTACAGTTGAGTTATCAATCATATTTGCAATTGCCGTTGTTCCAGTCGGATGAATTATCACAGTGTCGAATTGAGCCTTCACTTCAGGAATGTCAATACAAGGGAACACTTTTCGAGCTTCCGAATTTTGTAGATGAGTAGCCACCATGTGCCTGTAACTGTTTTTTGATGATACTTGGTTTTTTTGATCATTGTTGATGTTTGTGCAAATGGGAGACATGCACACTTCTGAAGAAGAAATGAATAATTCCAAGTCAGAAAAACGATGAGAGAGAAGGTGGAATGCTAAATGATGAAAAAGAAGTAGTACATGAAAACTTGATCTAGGTCTTAGAAGTTTGAAAATTGTGTTCTGGTGTCTAATGTCAGATTTGAGATGTATCGAATTGGTAACTGAACTTTTTGTTTTTACGGGAGTCATGTGAACCTAGAAAAATAATAATGTTTTCTGGACAAATTGTTTTGAGAGCAATCAAGTTTCATTATTTTCCTACCGTGTCTCATTCCCATATGTGTAGGGTACTGTGAATAGTCCAAGTGCACCATCTTGCTCCATGTGCCTTCGAAAGGCAATATCTAGTGTATAGTTCATTCCATGTATCATATCAGCAGCCAGATGTAGGTCAAGTACTTGAGGAAACCCTCGACCAACCTGAAATTCATTTTATTTTAGAGTGTGGGTGGAAGTCACGCAATTTCAGCCAACTGACTACTAACATGTTTAACGAAGATCTCTCTTCCAAACTCGTCTCGAACCATACATTCCCCGATGTGTTGTTCAGAATCCGAATGAAGAAGAACACGAGATCCACCACCAGATGTAAAATGAACTCGTACATGACCTTCGACGACGAAATTGTCCGAATCGTAGTTGACACTTCTGAATTTTTGTTAATTTGAAAGAAAAAGGGGGAAATGAGACTTACGGTTTCCATGGAAGGAATAGTTTTAGTTTTACTTCGTACAGTAAAGGGATATGATTCAGTGGAATTTGATAGCGATGATATTTATCATTGATATTCGTATAAAGAGGATCTTCAGTAGTTGCAGAAATATGTTCAGTTGTAGAGACAAATAATGTAGAATTGAGTATGGTAGATTCTGTGGGATGAGATGACGATACAGCACCCGGTATCATTGGAGAAGGAGTTGTAGGTATGATTGTCGTTGTCAAAGGAACAATCATTAGAAAATATATAAGTGCAAAGCTCATCGAGACAGCGACCACTCCGATTGCAAGAGGTCGAGCTGAACAACAAGGTGACTCTCTCTGCTCCGAAGTCACCGTCGTCGCCACCGCCGTCGTGGACGACGTCGACGCCGACGCGGTCACTGCGCCCGAAAATGGACGCATGCGACCTGGCTCAGAAGACGTCCCCCCGCGACGGCATTCCTCAAGTGCAAATGGCGCAATCACGAATTCTGCAAAAAAATAAATAAGAAGATGGAAGGATATTAAGGCCGTAATGAGTGTGCAACATTCGTGTAGTTTGTATTATTTTGTTAGAATGCTTATGACGAAAAGAGCAATGTGCTGAGTCATGAGGACTTTAAGAAAGTGCAAGTTTTTTTTCAGATGTGTTAGGAGGAATGTGCTGGATGTCTTCTAATAACTCCCGATTCCTATAACGGAACTTTGACCTTCATCACCTCAGCTCCTGTGAAAAGTTTTTAAAGCTGCTAACTAACAAAATGTGAGTCATGCTCTTTAGGTTGAAGAATTTTGAAAATCCTACAAGAATCGTCGGTAAAATTAAATCAAGAATTACCGTAAACACTTTTATAGAGAAGTCATCCTCAACTTTCAACTTTGAGCCAATTTATCTCGGTTCCTGTGAGATATTTTGAAAAGTGACGAACTAACAAAATATGTTCGATTATATAATTAACATTTTGTCAGTTGACCGCTTTTTGATATCTTCTACAGGTATAAAGATATATGGGCTCAAAGTCGGCCGGTTGGGAGCGTTATTAGAGTGTTTACGGTAATTTCCACAGACAAAAATGTATCTGCTCTAAAGATTTCATGGATAATACTGATAAAGATTCAGGATAACATGAGAGGAAGAAGATGTTGGCGACCTTATAACCTAGATATGAAGCATGTGAGTTTGGTAAAGAGCAAGAGATTAGTGATGAGTGTGAGTGATCAAACGGTTTCAGATCCTCACCCTGAAGTAGTGGACACGCCGAATCGGGAGTGTCCAGGAGGCAATATTCGAAGTATGTTGAAACGGCATTTCTGATTTCCAAAGGTCGTCCGTCAAACTTTTGGCGCATTCGGAGTATAACAGTAACACAAAAAATATGGATGATAGTTTTGAATCAATCAATCAGTGTGTATGAAAACGTGTACGTGTCTGGCTTTCCTATTATCGATATAGATGTTTCGACAATGGCTGGAGATGATGACACAGGGCGGGAAAAACGGAGATGAAGTGTGCTAACTTAATTCTGGGGGAGAGAGGGCGGAGCGAATTGAAATCGGAGGAGGCCAGAGGAAAATGAACAGAAAAAAAATGATTGGCCGGTTGCCAAGTGGGCAAAACTCCGCCCACTTTCACTCTCTGTCCACTCTACTTTACTCACTCCCCGCACACATGTTTTGAATTGAATCGAGACGGTTCAGGGCCGAAAAATCAGAGATTAAAAAAGATATATTAGGAAACAGGTATACATTGAAAAATAGAAATTCTCCTCGTTTTCAAGGTCTCAGCTGGACACTTCCTATTTTGACGAAAAGGAGGACCAATTGACTCTTTTCTCAATTTCTTTTCTGTTTTGCGTGGCAACAGACACTTGATAACTTTGATTAATAGCCGACCTCTAGTCAGAATCTTTCATCTATCTCTTTTTTTTCCTTATCATTCCCCAGAGAGAATAATTCTTCTGATTCTTCTGATCTTTATTATCTCATCAACAGTAAATCAAATCCGAACGGCTTCCCCGTTCTCATTTTTCTTATCACTTCTTTCTCTATATCTCTTCTTCTACTTCTAAATGTCTTTAAATAAAACATTAATTTTTGATTGATGGCTCCTTTTTCTTCTCAATCAAATGAAGATATCGATACATGTTTTACGAACTTGTGATCTTTTAAATCAGAGAAACCCAATAAAGGAGGGCAAATTACAATCGATTTTCTAACAAAACAATTCGATCATATGTTCAGCCGTATTATATTTTCAAGTGATATTTCAAAAGAAAAAAGATGAATCCCACGACATTTCATTCCATGGCATTTCTAATAAAGGATTCAGTAGATCATCATTTAATCCTGATCTAGCATCCACCCCCACCGCGGCAAATGAGATTCATTTGCTCATTTTCATTTTTGCTCACTAATCTTTTCAGATAATTTTTTTGTAAACTTCTTTAATCTCTTTTATCATTATTGCCGCTCACATGGAATGACTCCCAAGTGTTACCCTCGAAAAAAATCGAGACCTATATGGTTGGATAGAGCGTAAAAATTTATTTTAGATTCTAAACGGAATAGTTGGTAAAAAATTTCTTTTGGGAGATATGGTCCAAAAAGTACCAAAATTTTCAAAAAAAAATCGTAACTTTGTCAGTTTATGTCCGTTTGTTGAAATTTAAAAAACATTAGATAGACAATTGATTGAACATTTGAGAATAAATTTTTAAATTTTTTTCCTAATGATTGGTTTATTGATTTTTTGAAAAAATCAAAAAATTTTTCAATATCTCAAAAATCCTAGGTTAACTTTTTTTTCTCATTATAACCATTGAATTCAGCACATTTGATTTACTATAGAAAAATATCAATACCCCGGGGGAAATCATGCTCACACAATTTATGCAAAAAAATATCGATTTTTGGCACTTGGCTTCTTTGAATTCGTTGTCCTCGGCGGCCGGTATGGTGAGGGGCATACTTGTTTTTGTGATTTTTACTTGCGTATGGTTTGCCTAAAATGTTTGAAATAGAATCCTGCGACATACAAAGTCAATTTTTCAAATGCCGTACCATTTCTTAAAATCATCATCTTGAAAAAAGCAAAATTTTGACATGTGACAGGGCACATCTATAGTTAAACTTGATAGAAACTGCCAAACTTATTTTTTAACATAATCTTATCAACGGCTTGAACAGAATTTGTATTTAGGCCCTAGAATCAAAAATATTTACGATTTTCCGAGCCTGACCCCTATTTTTGGTAGTTTTGGAATTGTGACAGGGCACATCTATAGTTGTACTTGACGGAAACAGCTAAACTTTTTTCTAAACATAATCAGAAAAACGTAATCTTATCAACGGCTTGAACAGAATTTTAAATTAGCCCCTAAAAATAAAAATATTCACTGATGACGGGACACCTTTTGTTTTTGATCATAACTTGAGAACGAAAAAAAATATCAAAAAACTGGTAACTCCATTCGATTTAAAATGAAACAATAACATAGAAAAAGTGAAATCAACTTGGTCCCTGTGGTAAAAGTAGGTTAAATGAACGATTTTCGAAAGATATCCTTCCAGCTTCGGACAGCCGAAATCGACCTTTTTCCATTTCACCTATTTTCACGATGTGAAACAAGCCAATAACATTTGTCTAATAGTATTTTTTAATTTTAAATCGAATGGCGTTAACAGTTTTTCGATATTTTTCTTCGTTCTCAAGTTATGATCCAAAACAAAAAGTGTCCCATCATCAGTGAATATTTATATTTTTAGGGCCTAATTTAAAGTTCTGTTCAAGCCGTTGATAAGATTTTGTCATTTTAATCATGTTTAAACAAGAGCCTGGCTATTTCCATCAAGATTAACTATAGATGTGCCCTGTCACATGTCACACTTCACCAAAAATAGGGGTCAGGCTCGGAAAATCGTAAATATTTTTGATTCTAGGGCCTAAATACAAATTCTGTTCAAGCCGTTGATAAGATTATGTTCTTTTGATTATGTTAAAGAATAAGTTTGGCAGTTTCTATCAAGTTTAACTATAGATGTGCCCTGTCACATGTCAAAATTTTGTTTTTTTCAAGATGATGATTTTAAGAAATGGTACGGCATTTGAAAAATTGACTTTGTATGTTGCAGGATTCTATTTCAAAAATTTAGGCAAACCATACGCAAGTAAAAATCACAAAAACAAGTATGCCCCTCACCATACCGGCCGCCGAGGGCAACGAATTCAAAGAAGCCAAGTGCCAAAAATCGATATTTTTTGGCATAACTTGTGTGAGCATGATTTCCCCCGGGGTATTGATATGTTTCTATAGTAAATCAAATGTGCTGAATTCAATGGTCATAATGAGATTTTTTTCAGGGTAACACTTGGGAGTCATTCCATGTCAGTTATCTTGAAAATTGTTTTGGTATCACTTATCCCAGGATGTGTTTTTTTTTTCGAAATAAATATTTTTACATGTATGACTTTTTTTTAAATGCTTAATGATCAGTGACTCAATGAACTCATGTGCCAGACAGCTCTAAAAATTTACAGTTTTTCAACTGATAAGAGTCACCCTACCAGAGTCAGCCTGATACATCCGCTTCCTTATTCGGAATATTCGAAATTTTAAATCTCGACAAGTGTCAACAGACATCGCGGCACATCAACTGGACAGCGGAAACGATTTGATCTGACAGTTATTGTATACAGTAGTGGGTTAAAGATGAGACATAGAGAGAGGTGATGAAGAGGAAGAAAATTGGTGATGATATAGTTGTTCAACACGTGGAAGATGTCGAGTGAAACACTAGTAGGATGATCAATTGATAACAGTAGACATGACTGAGAAAGTACAAAATACATGTTTAGAAGAAACATGAATAATGCTAGATGTTTTCTTATCGTTTGAAAGTTACATGTTTCAGGTATGATATCAAATGATAGAGATTTGTTTAGGGAGCTGGGTAAATTTGAAAAATTGCATCAGAAAATGAGATGTGTCCTGAATATCATAGTCTGGACAAGGAATATCAAAAGCAGAGTAAAAGCTTCCAGGACCACTTCTTGCAAATAGAGCAATTTATTGAAATAATGGATAGAAATTGAATTGCATCCAAGCTCCAAAATCAATTAGAATCTCTGCTTTCCGGAATCAAGCAATCCCCAAAAAGCCTATCTCGACAGCAGCGTCACATATGGTTAAGCGTCGTGAGAAGATGAGAGTATTCCAGAGGAACAAAATGAGGAAAACTTTCTTTATGGAGAAGAAGGATTGTTGACTCAAAAGAAGAAAAAGAAAACTAGATGAAAGAATTCTGAAAGAGAATCATCGAGGATCCTGAATCGAGACAAAGGACATGGTGAGAAAACAAATGGGCAGTCTGTGTGAATTTTCAAAAAAACGAATATGACGATGAAGCTGGAAGAAAGAAAGGGACTCTTCTTTTCTTGGGTTTCCCAGTCTTCTCACTTCATCATCACCTCATTATAAGCATTCCTTGCAGTTTATTCATGGAAAATTAACGACCGAGATGCCCCCTTCCGTTGGGTGCTCAAAACTCGTTTTGTCGCTGGGTTTTTGCATACAAATTGATAGAAAAAAGGAAAAGGGGCACAGCGGGGGGAGGGAATGAGAACGATTAGAATTGGACTCTTCTGCAACATGTCGTCGTTGACTCATCAAATGTTTCTGCAAAAAAAATAGTTCATGGTGAGCACTATTAAGTTGACAAAAACTGAAAAAAACGTCTGAAACAAAGTTTTCTTCTGACGTAAAAGTCACATACAAGAGAAAAGACAATCATCTGAAAATCTCAAACATTCATAGTTTGAAAAAATCCCGTTGAAAAATCAGATATCCGATTTTCCGACTACGTATTTGGTTGGAATCATGTCTCGAAATGTTGGGACCATTTTCGGAACATCGGAAGTCCGTTTGGGCCGGCGGACTTTTTTTTCCATTTCTCCCATTTTCTTCATTATTTCAATATGTTCTTCTTGCTCCTCACTCCCAACTTTTCTCACTTTTTATTTTATTTATAACATATTTTTTATTCCAGAAGAATAGATCAAGTGTCCGTTTACTGAAACTTCTGGAAACAATTTTTCTCGGTTCTTTTTTTTCAATTTTCAGCAACCAATAAGAGTTTCGAATTGTTTTCACTTCTTATTCTCACCAGTTGAATATTTTAACTATCATTAATTACGTGATCTTTCCTGGCTTCCGAACATGTTCTATTCATCCACATATTGAAATGTGTATCTTTGTCTATTAAGAACGTCTGACATTGTGTGTCCATTTTAATTACTATTTTCCAATCGAGTAGTTATCCTAGTCAACTTTTCTACGAACTGGTGTGTCGGGAACATTTACTTTGTGATCAATTTGTCTTGAATTTCGTTCTAGCAAACTGTTTTCAGTAATTCTCAAAATGGAGTCGGCACCTGTTACTAAACAACAGAAACGTGACGGTTTCGTCCAATCGGTTTGTGGTAAATTTTGAAGCGGTTTTAATTTTGTCATTTTTTAGAAATTTGAAAAAGTAAGAAGCTGGAGCAATTGAAGGAATAAGCGGGTCTTGATTGGCCGCAATCTGAATCGGCGAAGGCGTATGAAGAGTTGTCTACAGGATGGAGAAAGAGGACGACGGCGGAGAAGGTTCGATTTTCCATGATCTATCAAATACTCAGAGTCTGAAAAATTTGACAGAAATTGATTTCTTATTCGATTGTCGAAACAAAAATAATTGTTCTAGGTTTTTCATAATTTCAGAATGAAAGGCAACGCCAGAAGAAAGCCCCAGAGAAATGTGGATGGAGAGAAGAAGAAAAATGGGGGAAATGGTTAACCAAGCTGGAAGAGAAGAACGAGTTGAGGTAAAGATGAGAATTGAGTAGAAAAGTGATTCTTAGAACTGAAGCCTGAAATATGATATTCTGAAAATCTGTTTTTTTCCAATATTGGTTTCTCGTTTTCTTTTGGTGTTTCTGGGCTTTCACAATTTTTCGAATATGAGTATCTTGAATTCTGCCATGTCGAGATTTTAACATTATATTTAAACTTTTCAGAGGGGCATTGGAAGTGCAATCGTTGAAGATTCTGGCGAGGGAGAAGGATGGGCCGCTGTAAGCAAGTGGATTGGGTCCACAATCAGTATGGATAAAATTGATGGACCAGGCAAAAAGGTTAGTACTCAACTATAAAAAATTAGTTTAGAATAGGAAAAATAAGTATAGAAATATAAAAAGCGTTCTGATTTTCAGGATGGAGGCCCAGATTCTCCTGAAATTGCACTTCTCAATCCAATCTTCGAGCTGTCACGCAAGGTAATAGGACAGTCTCTGAATCTTTTCTTGATCTGTGCAAAATTCGTCTAAAAATAAGAATCTGCAGAAGAATTTGGTTCGTGAAGTTCGAATTTGAGAGATTTTAAACTGTGGTTCTTGATATTTTAGATTCATGCAAACTCCACATTTTCAGCAGTTCCTTTTCAAAAATGTAAATTTTTCAGGTGACATATGTTCACAAAGCCTGCGATGGGGAGTTCTACAAAAAGAACGATCGGTTTATTGAGAAAGAATTGGGAAAGAAAAGGAACAGGGAAAGGTGAAGAAAGTGGGTTGCCCAAACGAGGGCGTCCATGCATCGGAGAAACCCTCGTGAGTTTTCTTTAAAGTTGATTGATATTTCCCATCTTCAAATGTGAAGAAAAATATAACTTAAACCGAAAAAAATCTTTATCAGATTTCTCATTTTTTCAGGATGAGAGACGAGATGAGGTTGAGAAAGTGGTGGTAAGAAGTACGGTAAATTTTGGATTCTCAGAAAGCGAGTCTAAAGTTTTATGTTTCTGAAATCCAGAAGTTTTAAGATTCTCAACCATTTTGAAAATATGCTCGGAAAAAAATTGATTTTCAGCTTGACCACCAAGATTGCGACTGCAAGAACTGCTACGCCCTCTTCGAGCATCCATTGGGCCATCGAGACTGCCCAATGATCAAAAAGCGGGTCTCATTCGCAAAGGAAGTTGCTCCAACAGGATCTGTGCCAACTGAAGCTTTGCTGTTGGAGTTCGAAAAAGTAAATACTCTAACCACGAGATCGCAACTTCAAAGTTTGAAATCAGTAATTATATAGATTCGATAAGTTTGAAAATAATATCAAAAATCCCCAAAAATATTACTTCAACAATATCTCATTTGAAAGTACTAAAACTTATGAAATACTCACAAACCCCTTTAAAATCATTCTTCGAAATTTGGCTTTTTCAGGGGCTGCTCGGACAACTCGACCTGCAAGAATTTTTGGAAGAGCAAAAGAATCAGAAGCAAGAGGAAAAGGTGAAATTCTTGGAAAAGGAGGTGGCGAAGTTGAAGAAGGCATTGGATGGCTGACATTGCCAGAGGCCCAGAGTTGATGGAATCGAAGAATGAATTTTCATCGTCTTGGTTTTTCTTCTTTTTTTTCCAAACCCCCTAATGTCCTCTTCCTCCTTATTGTCTATTCAATAAAACGTGGGCACGCCGCAGGTTGCAAAGTGACACCCCTTTTTGGAACGCGTTCCCTTTTCCCTCTTCTCACGCGTTTCATAAAGGGGCGTGTCACTTTGCAACCTGCGGCGCGCCCACGTTTTATTGAATAGACAATAGATGTATGGTTACGTGTCAGTTTTATTTTTAATTTACACGGTGAATTTTCCGGAACGTTTTTCAAAATGAATTTTTTCGCGCTCTTTTCCTTTTTGGTCGCAATTTCGCTGTGTATTTAGCGACTCAGTAATTCATTTTTCAGCATGCGCGTCGATACTCAGAGCGCGTAACTACAGTATTCGCGTTAGAGCGCATTTACTTTAGAAAATTCACCGTGATTTAGCAAAGTACAAAAATAAAGAGCTCTGAAAATTGTTTCCAGAAGAAGGAGAAAATATAAAAAAAGAGAAAATGTGAACAAAAATCAATGGATAAGATTTAAAGTCAGTTCAAAAAAAAAAGAAAGAAAATGACGATGAAGTTCAAAGAAAGAAAGAGAATCTTCTTTTCTTGGGTGTCTCAATTTAAGCTTCTCACTTCGTTATCTCTTCATTATAAGCATCCTTCGCATTTTATTCATGGGAAATAATCAAATTTTCTCCAAAAAAAGAGTCATTGGACAGCACTATTAAAATGACAGAATCTGAAAAAAGTCTGAAATAAATAATCATTTACACAGTAAACAGAATTGTTCAATTGTGAATGTGTGATCCTCTACTTATTTGGGTTCTCCATCTTGTAGTTTTCTTCTGTCGTAAAAGTCATCTATAAGAGAAAATACAAACATCTGAAAACCTGAAACATTCATGTGAACATAACTACCATGTTCAATCGTGATTTACCCAGAACAACCTTATCAAACTAAGAGCTTGACAACATGTTTATATCTATCAAGGGAATCAAGATAATTGAGCTCAAAGTTGACGGGTTGGGTGGGCTTCATCTGCCCATCATCGTTTTTCCACCGTCCGAAGATCTTTCAGTAATGTGTTTCGTGCACTGTGTAACAATGAGCACACACAGGGAGATGCTCTCTCCGAGATCTTTTAGTGCTCCTCTCTTTACCATCTCTTCCTCCACATTGTTTCCACGATGCCCTCCCCAAATGTTACAACATCACAGATATGCCATTGCGCAACGAGATTTTTATCCTCTCGTGCTGATACACACAGAGAGAAATGATGGAAGAAAGACCAGATGAGGGCGATCTCAAAAAGTCCGGGCGGTCCGAAAGAAACATGCAAAACAAAGAGAAGACGGTGGTCATATCGAGAATGGTTGCTTGCTCGTGGGATAAGCACTATCGCATGCGGTCATGCTTCGCGGCGATGACCTCTAGTTTTGATAAGTGCAGAAGCACACAACACTTTTGTCGGCAATTTCTTCAGAAAGAAATATTTACCAACTTTGAAATATTTAGAGCAGTTGAAAACTATCCTTTCTTTCATAATTTCTTCAGGAATTTCCAATCTTTGAAGGAGGACTCCGGCCAAAACTTTTTGGTGACGACTATGGATGGAGTCTCCTTTTAAACTTGTATAAATGACAACAATAAATGTTTCATAAATGCTAAAATTTGAAGCAGAAACCCCACCATTTCTGCGGAAAACAATCTCGACACACAAAACGTCTGAAATTGCAGACACGCTTTCCGGAGAAATAATCATGACTCAAGTTTTTAGGTGTTCCCGGAATGCTTTACAAACTTCGTGGACAATCAATTCTTATGCTTTCAGTTAAAAGTCGCCTACGCTCCCTCCTCTCCTCGTTTTTCAAAAAAGATTTGTGTTTTCTTCCTATCAGTTCGCCCCCACCTCCGCTGCATGTTGTGTAAACAGATGATTTTTCTTCGCTGTGGGAATAAGATGAAGAGAAGAAGCATCAAAATGTGTGCTCTCTACGAGTCGAGCAGTATCTTGACGAACGTTGCGATTCTCGGAAATCGCACCGCGCCCACTCAAATATCTCTCTTGCTACTTGATGAGTCTTGAGGATCGTAAGTGTTTCACACGTTCTTATGAAGTATGTTCAACTTCAGAAAAAGAATGAAAACGATGAAGTTCAATTTTAAAATTTTTATTCACACCCGCAAATGAGAAAAAAAGGCGATGAAGACAGAAATGGGTGGTTTTTCAATTTTTTGGGAAGTAGACAAGGTGGTTTCTTGCTGAACAAAATATTGTACAAGCAAGACACGAAAGCTTGTGGTGGTGATGGAATTGAACTTGAATAAGCAAGTTGGTGGTATTCTGCGCTTAGAAGCACTTGCGGTGGACGATGGATGGGCCGGACTCGTCGTACTCTTGCTTGGAGATCCACATCTGTTGGAAGGTGGAGAGGGAGGCGAGGATAGATCCTCCGATCCAGACGGAGTACTTGCGCTCTGGTGGGGCGATGATCTTAATCTTCATGGTTCTGAAAAAAAGAATCCGTTAAGTAAAGTTCGAACAGCAGCTATAGAAAACTTACGATGGGGCAAGAGCGGTGATTTCCTTTTGCATGCGGTCAGCGATTCCTGGGTACATGGTGGTTCCTCCAGAGAGAACGGTGTTGGCGTACAAGTCCTTACGGATATCAATGTCGCACTTCATGATCGAGTTGTAAGAAGTCTCGTGGATTCCGGCGGACTCCATACCCAAGAAGGATGGCTGTAAGAAAGTTAAGGTTGTCTGATGTTTAGAACGTAGAAACAGCTTACCTGGAAGAGAGCCTCTGGGCAACGGAAGCGTTCGTTTCCGACGGTGATGACCTGTCCGTCAGGAAGCTCATAGGACTTCTCAAGGGAAGAGGAAGAAGCAGCGGTGGCCATTTCTTGCTCGAAGTCGAGGGCGACATAGCAGAGCTTCTCCTTGATGTCACGAACAATTTCACGCTCAGCGGTGGTGGTGAAAGAGTAACCGCGCTCGGTGAGGATCTTCATGAGGTAGTCAGTAAGATCACGTCCGGCCAAATCAAGACGGAGGATGGCGTGTGGGAGAGCGTATCCTTCGTAGATTGGGACAGTGTGGGTGACACCATCTCCAGAGTCGAGGACGACTCCGGTGGTACGTCCGGAAGCGTAAAGGGAGAGGACGGCTTGGATGGCGACGTACATGGCTGGGGTGTTGAAGGTCTCGAACATGATTTGGGTCATCTTTTCACGGTTAGCCTTTGGGTTAAGTGGGGCTTCGGTGAGGAGGACTGGGTGCTCTTCTGGGGCAACACGAAGCTCGTTGTAGAAGGTGTGGTGCCAGATCTTCTCCATATCATCCCAGTTGGTGACGATTCCGTGCTCAATTGGGTACTTCAAGGTGAGGATACCTGGAAGAGAACAAATGAAAATAAAGTCTTCGCTTCAAAATAGTTACCTCTCTTGGATTGGGCCTCGTCTCCGACGTACGAGTCCTTCTGTCCCATACCGACCATGACTCCTTGATGACGTGGTCTTCCGACGATGGATGGGAACACGGCGCGTGGAGCGTCGTCTCCTGCGAATCCGGCTTTGCACATTCCGGATCCATTGTCCACAACAAGAGCGGCAACCTCGTCGTCACACATTCTGATTAGTTTTTAATGTACCTGAAAATGGAATGTGTTATTTAACCTGGGAAAATCTGGAAATTAATCGGATGAAAAATAAAGAGAAACATAAAATGAATAGTCTTTATGAAAAGTAACCTAGAGTAGATGTATATATATATTGAAAAATCTTGTAGGCGGAGGCTAAATAAAAGAAATCAAACATGGTCTGACTAACGTTTCCTATGACTCACTCTCTCGATCATTGGAAGGTGATTCTTAGTTTTCTATTGTTTTTAACGAAAAGTTCTATAAAAAGTGTTCAAGTTTGATGTTATTAGTAAGAATGGTAGAGGAGAGAAATATATTTTGAGAGCAAAAGGAGAAAAAAAGTTATAGCATGTAGTAGTTGTGAGAGAAGAGAAAATGTTGAGATGGCTGAGCTCTGTGACTCGGAACCGGGGCTTTTATACTGTGCCATGAAAGACGATTCTGCGTATTGCATTCACTGACTACACAACTATCTAGAGATGATGGTTTAACAGTAGGACGCAGACATTCGCGGGAGAAGTCTCCTCCCATAAACTCCCTCTTTTTCTCAACGGGAGCATCTTTCTTGCCAAGTTCTACGTATTGGCCAGAGCTCAAAACGCCCTCCCTATCTTTTCTCGTCGTGGTCTCTATGCCTCTTTACAATATCTCGTTGATCGGACCGATTGCGAAGGCGAGGAGTCCGCGGAAAAGAAGGTGAGAAGAAAGATGCGGCGGGTTTTTTGTCAGACGAGAACTGATGGCAGGGTTGTAAGAAAACAAAAATACCCCATGAAGAAAAGCAATGGAAAAATGGAAGATGTGTGAAAAAAACATTGTTGACCGCCAAATTCAGATATTACAGAGCTGGTTCAAGCCGTATAGATAGATAACAGAGGCATCCAAACTGAAAAATGACTGAAAATATCTAAATTTCTAAACTAAGTCTTTTCGAAAATAAAAATTGAATAAAAGTGATATTACTCTCGTCCGAAATCAATGCACGTTGCGGCCGAAAATTTACTCAAAATCGCATCGTCGGTCGCACAGCGAAAAAACAAATTGATGCATGCGCCTTTAAATACCGTACCTCGGACGTTTTTTATTTTGGGCCCTATTTGGCTGTTTTTCTCTATTTTATAAGAAAAATAAATTAAAGATTTATAAGAATTACACAAAATTAGACAGAAACAAGCGAAAAAATGAGAGAAATTTGAGAAAATTCGATAAATGTTGAGGTACTGTATTAAAGGCGCATGCAATAATTTCAAAAATACAGTAAGGTTCTCTCTGTGGGAGCTAAGCTCCGCCCACCGTTGTTTTCTCGGCCGCAACGTGCATTGATTTCGGACAAGAGTAATATTTCGATTATATGGGACATTTGAAATCCAATGGGAAGTGAAAAGGAGGATGGCAATGATTTACATGACTTTCTATGCAAAACTTCTTCAATGTGGCTTCTATTCGATTTTGAGAGGGGGGGGGCAGAATCAAGCAATTCTCCAATTAATTTCATTAATTCGAACTGAGCATTGTCTTCTGACCAAATGCATCAATTAGAAGAGTGCTCGCAAATGGCCTCGAAGCGCGCTAATGCGAACACATGTGTGTTTGAAATTTTACTTTATGGTGGACACAATGACGACATATGCTTCTTATTCCGGATACCCATACGTCCGCATTTTCAATCCCAAGAAATCGCATACCGATATTTGAATATTTTCCAAATTAAGTTGCGCGGCCTGTCTAAATTTTTTCTTCTCCCACTGGCGTATGTGTGTGCAAACACTAGTGAAGGCGGAGAGCTGTTCAGAAATCAGTAGAAGAACCGACTGATATGAGATGAAGAGAAACCAGAGAGGGATGGCAAGAAACACATGCACCAACTTCTCGGTATTGAATCAGAAACACGGGAACTTTGAAATTTCGCAGAAAATTGGAACTCGAGGGATCGGAAATGAACAAAAAAAAATCTGGACCCCTATTACTACTGAGAACGCTAGAAAAGCGTGGGATGGGTGGAATCAGAGCATTATTATAAATAGTAGCTCTCCCCAGTAGAGGAACCGCAGTCTCACTATACGCTCCCTCGTCCTATTCTGAAATATTCCTTTTACGATTTCGCAGCGGCAGAAGAACATGAGGCGTATATACCGATTAGCGCTTAGTCGGTTGAACTAAATGTTCTCAACAACTGCTGACCATAAGAGCTTAAGTCAAGGTTATTTGTCAAGACACCAACCGGTTTTTTTTTGGCATGTGTGCTACTTAGCTTTTCATAGACTGACGGAGTACTTCGTTTCAGAAATAGAAGTAGTAAAATCTCATGCCACGAAAGTTTCGCAATTACATAGGATCGGAGTGTTTTAAAATTTAGAACCGAAAAACGATGTCTCTTTTCGTTATTCCTGCCTTCCGAAGAAGGCGGAAAGCATTTCGAAATATTTGCGATGAGTCATGCGAATTCTGAGAACCGATCGTATGTTCAATCGCTCCGCTCATTTCATTCCTATTTCTACAATAAAGGAATGGCATTTTCTACATTCCAGGCGGCCTCCATATTAATTTTGACTATGATCGCTGTCATCCGAGAATCTTTTCTTCCACTTTCCGTTTGACCCGCTCTTCTCTGCCCGAAAACGGAGATGTAGATGCGACAAACATTCCTCTGAGATTCGCTTCTGTTTCTACAAATATATTCTTATCGATTTTAGACATATAAAAACGTCTTTCAATCACTAAACGCACACCAAAAGTTTCGAATTAGACTATTCTAATCGTTTTCTCTGTCTTTCTACATTCATTATTATGCTTGTCTGAGAAAAAAAGGTTAGAGAGTATTTTTTGCAGTTTGAATACGGTAGCGATATCGAAGCGGAGAGCCTAAATAGCACACAAACGGTGGAGACGCAGACACATTTTCTCAGCGTCTCAGCCTTTTTTTTCTCAGACAAGCATAATAAGCGAACATGTTTTTCTTATCGTTCGAGGTAGTCGATCAACGGTGACAGAATAATGTGAAGAAGATTCAAACATGATCAGCTTAAGGAAAATGTAAGGAAACGACAAAAAAAGTGGACACGTGTTCCAAAAAAGAAAAACGGATGACTAACTGTACATGCAAACATGCTCTAGCGCAGTTCCCGCGCGGTACCCATTTGAATGTGCGCGCGAAACCACGCCTTCGTTCTAGAGTTTTCTGTGGCCGGTCAAGACATTCAAAACAGTTTCACTCCTTTCGCACGGCCTTTTTTCATCTTTTTCGTCTTCCCTGTTATCACTCTCGTTCCTCACGTTGTTGTAACATAAAAATGTTGACCCAGACTCTTTTATTCATAGATATTTGTGAAATTTTTAGGTTAAATTCATTTTTAGGCACCATTTTTCTTTTATCGGTCGCAGTAGCCGACAAAAACGTTTATCTTTTCCGAAGTTCTGTTCTCTTATCAATTTAAATTTTCTTATCAACAAATTGGTTATCTACTTGCAGGCACCGTTCCCTCGTATCTAATAAATCATGTGTGACGATGACGTTGCCGCTCTTGTTGTAGACAATGGATCCGGAATGTGCAAAGCCGGATTCGCCGGAGACGACGCTCCACGCGCCGTGTTCCCATCCATCGTCGGAAGACCACGTCATCAAGGAGTCATGGTCGGTATGGGACAGAAGGACTCGTACGTCGGAGACGAGGCCCAATCCAAGAGAGGTAATTATTTTCAAGCGAAGACTTTGTTTTCATTTGTTCTCTTCCAGGTATCCTCACTTTGAAATACCCAATTGAGCACGGAATCGTTACCAACTGGGATGATATGGAGAAGATCTGGCACCACACCTTCTACAACGAGCTTCGTGTTGCCCCAGAAGAGCACCCAGTCCTCCTCACCGAAGCCCCACTTAACCCAAAGGCTAACCGTGAAAAGATGACACAAATCATGTTCGAAACCTTCAACACCCCAGCCATGTACGTAGCAATTCAAGCTGTTCTCTCCCTCTACGCTTCCGGACGTACCACCGGTATCGTTCTTGATTCTGGTGATGGTGTCACCCATACTGTCCCAATCTACGAAGGATACGCTCTCCCACACGCCATCCTCCGTCTCGATTTGGCCGGACGAGATCTCACTGATTACCTCATGAAGATCCTCACCGAGCGCGGTTACTCCTTCACCACCACTGCTGAGCGTGAAATCGTTCGTGACATCAAGGAGAAGCTCTGCTATGTCGCCCTCGACTTCGAGCAAGAAATGGCCACCGCTGCTTCTTCCTCTTCCCTTGAGAAGTCCTATGAGCTTCCTGACGGACAGGTCATCACCGTCGGAAACGAACGCTTCCGTTGCCCAGAGGCTCTCTTCCAGGTAAGCTTTTTCTACGTTCTAAACATCAGACAACCTTAACTTTCTTACAGCCATCCTTCTTGGGTATGGAGTCCGCCGGAATCCACGAGACTTCTTACAACTCGATCATGAAGTGCGACATTGATATCCGTAAGGACTTGTACGCCAACACCGTTCTCTCTGGAGGAACCACCATGTACCCAGGAATCGCTGACCGCATGCAAAAGGAAATCACCGCTCTTGCCCCATCGTAAGTTTTTTATATCTGCCGTTCGAACGTTACTTAACGGATTCCTTTTGCAGAACCATGAAGATCAAGATCATCGCCCCACCAGAGCGCAAGTACTCCGTCTGGATCGGAGGATCTATCCTCGCCTCCCTCTCCACCTTCCAACAGATGTGGATCTCCAAGCAAGAGTACGACGAGTCTGGACCATCCATTGTTCATCGCAAATGCTTCTAATTTTTTAACAATTTATGTAATATTCACCTGAACTATTGGAAATGTCCAGATAACGTCATCTGCCTTACGGATTTTCACACCCCGATTTTAATTTATAAATCCGCTTTGTGTAAGCAATGTTTTAAATTTGTCGGTTTTTTCTTCATATTAATAATATTTCTGATCGTCATGTCGGTTTCATTTACCTATTCATCGCTCTGAGAGAGGGAGAGTGGTGTCGGGAGGTCGTTATATACAAAATTGCATTCGCGGTGCGAGTGGTTCCGCAGAATAAGTTACCCGATAAGATAATTGATTGCGGTGAAAGTGAGAGAGTTGTTATCGGGTGTTGATTTCCTAGTTCTTATCTGACAAATCATTACCGTTCCCCGTTCCATTCGAGGAATATGTTCGAAACTAACTCGAACTTTCAGCAAATAATATGTCACCCAATGTTTCCTGGAATAGGAGCCACTACTCACTAAATCTGTGTTTACAGCGAGAACCTCTTTCTTGTTTGAGTTGCGGAAATACTTCCCTCTTTTCTGTTCCACTTGGCAAAAAATGGTAGCAAATAGGTGCGAGGCAATGAGCAAGGTAATCAGAGACTGGGGAAATCCGCTCGGTAGTTGTTTAGAATTAAAAAGGTACTATTTCTCATTAGCAGCTTAAACAACAAAATTTCCTAATTTAGGTTTTACCATTTGAACTTTTAGACTCGCAAAAACAAATATGATCTATTTGAAGTGTTTTTTTAAAGTCTGCAACCGGGAACTGATGACTTTTGCTTCGGATCGCGGGGGCAAGTTTTGGTTCAAGATATTCTAGTTCATTCATTTGGTGTTCTTCAGTTCTTTTTGATTCATGTTCTGGCTTACTTGTATCTTTTTGGTTTTTCTCAATTTCATGTCAGCTTTCATTGAGCAGCGTTAGAGCGCACACTCGTAGTTTTTTGCAAACAAAAACGTGTTCATGTAGCTGTTGTCTCTTTCTTCCATGCACTGTTTCTCAAGCCGTCGTCACCCCATGGCATACATTTTTTCCGTCCGGCTGTTCGTCAATGGTGACTGGAGGTACCCGTCGTTACTCGATAGGCCCTTTTGTGGATGGCTGGTCTTCCTCTCGCCATTTTTCTCCCTCTCATCGTTCCATGTGTTTTGAGAGGGCGCACGCGCCGCGTCTTCTACTGCTGGACGATAGGGACATTTCGTAGCGGACTGACCGGCAGGGACTGACACAGAACCGCGCGCGCACGCAGTATTTGAAAATAGCGCCTTCTCTGCGTCGTTGTCGTCGTCGCTGACTCTAGGCGCCGAAATTTTTTTCTTTTTCCGAATTCAAATCGAAACTCGGGGTAACTCCTACGACGATAACCCTTTGTTCGTGTGGTGAGTTCTTTTTAGTGTCATCGATCGTTAGTGCGATCTCTCTACGATCAGAGGGTAATTGCACTGTGCCGATCCACACACTACAGACGCTCTCCCTCTTTGTCAGTTTGCCAGCATGAAAACGAAGATGAGAGAGAAGATGACGGTCCTTTCCTTGTTTGATGTGTCATCGCTTCTTGTATTGCTTAGAATACTCCATTCCATTTGTTACCATTGCGAAACATGAACCATTTCTGTCGTTTCCCTATTTTCGTTTTTGAAAAACAATGAATCATCATTCCAGTCAAAAATGTTTTTAAACAGAATCCTATATCTTGCTGGTGGGTGGTGGGCTATGATTGTTTCTATCAGTAACGAAAATATTTTTGTGCGAATGAATGTATGCCCTCGTTAGGTTTCGAAAAATGAATAATAGATCAGATGTATAGTTTTATGTATTAAGTTACATGGTGCGGCATATAATAGACTAATTGGGCTGATTATAGATTGAGAGTGCGCTTTTCGGTCTCTGTTTAAATCTGAGAATCCTTGGTAAATCTACATATCTCAATACGAAAACGAAAAATTTTCTTCTGATAGACACAACGGTCTTAATAAGGAGTTATCTTTAACGTTACTGTCTGTCTCATCGTCTATAATGTTTCTCCTACGAACTACGGCACCTGTCGATACATTTTTTTCATTCGTTAATTAACTTTGTTGCTGCTTGAAAAATTGATGAAAACCGCTGATCATTGAGTTCTCTCATTTTTGCCTCGCTCTACGTCCTACCGATCGACGGCAACTATTATCTCTCTAATCTCTATTATCTTTCTCTAAATAGCTTCATCTCTGATACTCTTTCCAATTATCCAGCAACATATGATTTGCTGGTTGTCTTCTATTGTGCCATACCAATCACTGCATTCTCATCGCTTCTCTGTTTCTCTTTGCCAACTCCTCGGCCGGCAAGTTTTGCGATATGGTGTAATCTTTGTTAAGAGAAGCTGCCGCTGCTGCTCTCGATCCCACTCCACCCACCCCCTCGATTCATAGAACTGCACTAGAAAATAAGAGTGTAAACCGTCGAGTGCTCGAGGTGGAGGCAGCAGGAGATCCCGCCTCGGATTGACGGGAGCTCTCCAGTCATTCGAAGCAAATGATCTCAGAGGTTTACACCTTCTAGATTAACTTCGCATTCCTCTAATGGACGGCACTCCTATAGTAAGCAGGTCACTGGACAGGTATCATAGACTTCATGGTAGTTTCGAGACTTTATGGCAATTATGTTTCCAAAGCAGTCTTCTTTCGATCAGTTTAACTAGTAGCCCATAATTAGAAAACGAAGATGAACATGTGTCTTATCCGAACTGATCACGGACAGGGAATGCTAATCAAAATTAAGGCTGCTCGAGGCTGAATAGATTCCACTAAATGCACTTGATAATGTTTTCAGCGGTAGATTTCCTAGTGCATTTTGCATAACGTACTTTTGCGAGCTCGCCCGCTTTTTCACCTAATTTCGAACGCGAATGTTTGCGCTGCACTCGACTAATTAGATACTTGTTGCCACCCTCTCAATCTTTTTTGAAGAGAATTTCGAATGCACAGTTCGCTAATCTGCGGTTTTCGGCGTTGCTCGTTTTGTCTCTCATAATTTATTTCTGCTTTGTGTACCTACGCATGTAACACTCGTCGGCTGTGTCGGCCCCGGTTTCGAATTGAAATTCTCAGAAATGTCCATTGGGTCGGTTGTTAGAGTGTGTGTGTGTAGTAGGTGCTCTCGCCCTCTCCTACTTTGTTGACTTTAGCGTATTTCTCAGAATTTCGAAAAACGGCAGTATTTTTAGACACCCCCTCTGTTCCGTGCTGTCTCTCTTTTGCTACTTTTTGAAGCTTCGGTGTCTGAATCAGTAAGAGTTCGCCAATTCGTCATAGGGCACGTGCTGGTCAGAGTCTGGCGCCATCCTTTTGGCCCTTTTTTCATCGATGAGTCAACATTAGCATATGTACACAAAAAGCGAGCCAGGCCATCATAGTTTCCCAATCATAACCATCGAAAGACTCCGACATATTGATCGAAGACATCGTCTGCTTTTCTTCTTTTTTTTCTCACAATAAAATCGTTACTGCCATGATGCATTCGGCAACTCAAAATGAAACTAGACCTTGTTTCTGGAATCTTTCTACTCGTATCTTTTTCCTATCTCTTCCTCCTACACTTCTCCTTCAGATACTCTAACCGAGATGTTGGGAGCAACGGCTGTTGCCATTCAGCTTGGTTTCCGCTCCCGCCATCTTTACATCTGTCTCTTCACGCAGACTGATGAAATAACAGCTCCGCCCACTTTTTTCTCTCTAATGTTCTCGGGTGCAGTGATGAAGGCAACACCATCTCTCTTTATATTGTCTTGAAGCTTTCTCTCCTGGCTCTCACATCCTATACACCTCTCACTGCTGTATTATCTGAACCCGTTTCATTCTCTTTCTTTTCGTTCTTGAGAATTTATCGGACTCCAACTTCATTTTTTCAGGTACATTAAAAACTAATCAGAATGTGTGACGACGAGGTTGCCGCTCTTGTTGTGGACAATGGATCCGGAATGTGCAAAGCCGGATTCGCCGGAGACGACGCTCCACGCGCCGTGTTCCCATCCATCGTCGGAAGACCACGTCATCAAGGAGTCATGGTCGGTATGGGACAGAAGGACTCGTACGTCGGAGACGAGGCCCAATCCAAGAGAGGTAACTATTTTTAAGCGAAGACTTTATTTGCATTTGTTCTCTTCCAGGTATCCTCACCTTGAAATACCCAATTGAGCACGGAATCGTCACCAACTGGGATGATATGGAGAAGATCTGGCACCACACCTTCTACAACGAGCTTCGTGTTGCCCCAGAAGAGCACCCAGTCCTCCTCACCGAAGCCCCACTTAACCCAAAGGCTAACCGTGAAAAGATGACCCAAATCATGTTCGAGACCTTCAACACCCCAGCCATGTACGTCGCCATCCAAGCCGTCCTCTCCCTTTACGCTTCCGGACGTACCACCGGAGTCGTCCTCGACTCTGGAGATGGTGTCACCCACACTGTCCCAATCTACGAAGGATACGCTCTCCCACACGCCATCCTCCGTCTTGATTTGGCCGGACGTGATCTTACTGACTACCTCATGAAGATCCTCACCGAGCGCGGTTACTCCTTCACCACCACTGCTGAGCGTGAAATCGTTCGTGACATCAAGGAGAAGCTCTGCTATGTCGCCCTCGACTTCGAGCAAGAAATGGCCACCGCTGCTTCTTCCTCTTCTCTTGAGAAGTCCTATGAGCTTCCTGACGGACAGGTCATCACCGTCGGAAACGAACGCTTCCGTTGCCCAGAGGCTCTCTTCCAGGTAAGCTTTTTCTACGTTTTAAACATCAGATAACCTTAACTTTCTTACAGCCATCCTTCTTGGGTATGGAGTCCGCCGGAATCCACGAGACTTCTTACAACTCGATCATGAAGTGCGACATTGATATCCGTAAGGACTTGTACGCCAACACCGTTCTCTCCGGAGGAACCACCATGTACCCAGGAATTGCTGATCGTATGCAAAAGGAAATCACCGCTCTTGCCCCATCGTAAGTTTTCTATAGCTGCCGTTCGAACGTTACTTAACGGATACCTTTTTCAGAACCATGAAGATCAAGATCATCGCCCCACCAGAGCGCAAGTACTCCGTCTGGATCGGAGGATCTATTCTCGCCTCCCTCTCCACCTTCCAACAGATGTGGATCTCCAAGCAAGAGTACGACGAGTCCGGCCCATCCATCGTCCACCGCAAGTGCTTCTAAGCGCCAAATTTCTCTTTTTTTTTCTCTTCACCATTTTTTTCCATTTGTCACCAAATTGTTATGGTCCCTTTTGGGGCAATGACAACCTCGTATCATCATTTCAAGATCATGAGACCATCCAAAAAGACCATCAAGATTTTATTTTCGATCCTGCCACATAAGAAGACCCACTACAATTTGCTCTGTTCTTTGTTTTGTGCATATTTGTTTCTAATTGCTACTTGCTATACACAAAATTTACAAAATAAAATGTTCCGGGCTTATTTCCTAATTCTGTCAGTGAGGCATAGGCGTCAGTCAACGTTCCGTTTTCAGTCCTCGAACATCTAGCAATGCGGCCCTAGGAAGAATTCTCACTGAACGACTGGAATTACATATATTCTCATTGAGGGTTGCGAGGATACCAGAAGGCATTCTTTACTAATCTTTCCAGTCTAGTCATATTTTAGGAAGGAAGTGAGGAATTCGAATACTGTACTATAGAAGACACTATAATGCATAGAGCGCCGTTTCTGATATTCCATTTCTGTTGGAACAAAGTGTACCTTTTCTACGGATAGCGAGCGTGGAAATAGCTTGGAGCTTATGCTTGATCTTCAGTAATATAAACTGGTAGTGGATGAAGAGGAAAAAATCATGAAAAAGTTGGTAACATCGGTGAATGATTCCGCCAACTTTGACCCCATGTATCTCAGTTCCTGTAAAAGATATCAAAAAGTGGTCCACTGGTGAAATGTTGCTGATATTATGATTGAAATTTTACTAGTTGGCTACTTTTTGCTATCTTAACAGGAATTAAGATTTTTAGAGATAAATAATTAGGTTTTAATATAATGCAAGAATGTTGTACCTCCGAATTTGGATGTTTTAGTCGTACATTTACGAACTCTCTCCGAAAATAAGCTTCAATATTTCTTAGCTGCTGTACTTACAATTAGAAGATAGCAAAAATTAGGTTCACAGAATGTATCATGTTCAAAACGTCTCTTTCGTAGAGATCATACTTGCAATCGGACCCTTCACGGGACTTGCCATAGTTTCTTTCAAAAACAATATTTTTAGAACAACTAGATCAGACATGATAGAACTCTGCGATTTCTACAAAATGATAATATTTGAAGAGCTGTGTTTTGTCTATGAACAAAGTTACAAGTCATAAAATGGCCGGGCCGGGCCTCTGTTTTTTGTCTGTAATTTTGTTCATAGACAAGACACAGTTTTTGAAATAATACCATTTTGAAGTACACCTCGAGATCTACCATATCCAATTTAGTTGGTCTAAAAACATTAATTCTAAAAGAAACTATGGCAGATCCCGCGTAGGCCCATGCAAAGGCCAGGTTGCAAGTATGGTAGAGATGAAAACAAGTTTCTAGAGACCTATTCTGCTGGGAATATACAAATGAAATTATCCTGACATTTGGAATATGGATATATCACAGAGATTAGACGACGATGTCAGCAGCAAAATTCTGAATCCATGGAACCCCGATGTGGTCAGGCCTTGATAATCGATTTTTTTCAAATGGACAATTTATGCGGTTTTCAATCTGAAAAGTTTTGAAGAAGACAGAGAAGAGTTCAATAAAACTACTTGGATCCAGATTTAGATCTCTGAAACATATGTTCCGAAAATCCCGATTATTTTTAATGTTTTCGATTATTTTCCTCGAAGACGCTTTGCTCTGTTCTTTGTTTTGTGCATTTTCATCAATTGCTTCTTGCTATACACAAAGTTTACGAACTATAATACCGTATTTCTTCTAAAAACCGCCTATATTTGAAGCCTACCTATTATAGAAGCCCAGCCTCTGACGTGCTAAAAATGGAGGCCAGCCTCTAGAAGTTCGTGCAGTTCAGTGTTTGCAGTTTGTGCGGTGCAGGTCATTGCTTTCCCATTGCTGACTTTATTTTCTCTCATTTTCAAAATGTTATGGTAACTTCCGTCTTTGGTAATTCCCTGAAAAAGAGGTTGATAAAAAAAGCTCATGGTCATCAATTAGAGAATATACGGTAATTGAGTCTTATTACATGTTTTTCTGCCGTGAGGCAGTGATTTCTGTAAAAGAGTCTAACCGCTTTTCAGGTGTATTCCGTTTGGGTCAACTTGAGGCTGATGGACCTCTTGTTTGAAAATCAGAATTCTGTTTTTTATGGTCAGCGACTAGTTTTTCAAATATCCTATCCCCGGCGAATTCTGGTCAGGGGTTGCTCAGATTTCGGATAAGACCGCTACTAAACACCAAACTCCTACAAACCTATGACAATTTTTCAACCTAGTATTCAAAAAAAACCTGAACCATGACCCGCCATACAGCCGTTTTTTGGGCAAGTTCCGACCATGACCTGGCCAATATCCGTAAAAAAAGCTTTCTGTCCAGAAGTTGTAACTGCAGTCCAGTATTAAGAATCTTCGATTTTCATAAAAATAGCAGACGGGCTCAAAATGTTTACATCTAGTTTGTTGCTTCCTTCCCCTATTATTTTGAGCATCTGGAGTACGAAACACCTGATAATTTTCAACAGTTGACCAACCAAAATTAGCTTTATCAGTGTTTCTATCGGTCACACACCTCGAGTTTTTTTGTTCGATAAGCGATTCGAAGGAGTGTATTCTATTCTGATTCCATTATTTCGAGGTCAACCTTTCCCTGTCTCCTTCCTGTTCATTTCTATTTGACGTTGTATCGATACAACAAGAAAAAGAAAACTTTTGATCTACTTTCTTTCATTTCTTCAGTGAATACACATATTTTGACACGTGCAAACCCCAAAAAATCGAACTCCATTCCGAGACTAAACTCTGTTTTCCTTTCTTTTCAACTCACTTCGTTTTGGTCAAGAACCACGAAAAACCTGTTGTACTTGAGAAACTGCGACGGTTCGTCATAAATTGCCAAAAAGGGCGTATTGTGTATATTGTATCGCTTGCGCAATTTCTATTCTTATTCTAAATTCATCTTCCTTCTTTTTTTCATTATTCTCACCTTCCTTCCTTCTGCCACATTTATACTTTTAGTTGAAAAAAGAATCAAGTCTTATGGAAGGAATAGTTCTTCCGGATATGCCGCTAGATACATTGGATTCAGCTTGAAACCTAAAAAGAAGGTTTTGACATTTTCGGCCTATTCGAATCCTAATAGTTTTTTTTTATTTAAAAAATGTATGAAATACGTGTTACCTGAAGAAGTATGTCAGGTTGAGAACAATTCATTCGATGTTGAGGTCTTACCTTGAATTCTTGTTTTTTCTTCGAGATATTGTAACTATTTTCTGTGAATTTCAATACAAAACAGGTCTTCTTCTATAGTACTTTTATACTTTACTTCCCAATTTCTTCTTCGTCCTTTCCTCTACCAACCTATTTGTTTTCATCATTTTTTTAAATCCTCCCCTATCAGCTTATCACTCATCACCCGGTGTGTTTTGTTGTCTCTTTCTTTCTCTGAACCTCATTTTCTCTCGTTTTGAACTGTTTTGTTTTTGGCCGATATAACATGTGATTCTTCTCACTTTTCAACCCGATTTGCTCGCTTGTTTTCGCTTGTTTATTTGAATTGCAGACCCAATTTCTCCTCTGTTTTTTTCTTTTTAAAATTTCAGTTTTCAGGATCTGAACAATGTCGAGAATATTCAAATTAATCGTGCTAGCAATAATTTTGGATTGTGCTTTATTAGTGACTTCTGGTAAGTTTTTCTTTTATATTTTCTTTTCTAACTCATCTTTTCTTTGTGAATCATTTTGCAAACTTTCTAGGACAAAAACCACAAATCACGGTTTATTTGCTCGCTACTGTTGTGTTTTTAAACAACTTTCATTTTTCAAGTTTTCAATTGTAAAACCTTTTTTAACTAAATAGACGTAATTCAGAAAGAAGACCTGATTTTTCGACATAATCTTTGTATGCAGCTTGATCTGTTTAATATGATAAGATTAGGGGGAAAAAAAATAGAAAGCTGAAAAAAATCAAGTGGTCTAGAGACCGAAACCTGTATTTGAAGGGTTGTTTAATAAAAAGGCACCTCTAACAGAAGGGCCACATCAAAATTTGTTGTTTGGAACTAACAATTTCTGTACGTTTTGAGTGAAAAGTATTCCAGAAATTCCACGATCTTACAGGAAATTTTTCAACATTTTTTTCCTCAATTTTGGTGAAACTTACATTTTTATTACCTTTGAACTAAGACGGAATTGTCTTTTAATGAAAAATTTCACGAAAAATGGCTGGAAAAATAGAATGACCTCTCTAATTGAAGGGCCCTCCAAAGGTACCTTGGAACAAAGTAAGGGTCGGCCCTTCTAAGATAGGTTTTACGGTATATGTGGTATATGATTTTACGGTATCCTACCCTGGAATCCAAAACTTTATAAAAGCAACTTTTCGAAGTATGGATTTCAGAATTAGTGATACATTTTAATTTAAATTGGAAACCAACTCCTATTATTCAAACGTTTTCAATGTTTAATTACAAGGCATTGATTTCTGTGAAAAACTTTGTACTTCACACATTTTTTCCAAGAAATTATATCCTCGCGAAACCATCTGACCCACTCTTACATAATATTGAAATATAATCCTCCTATGCTCTAAAACATAAACTCCGAAATCTGTGTAATTCTCTTCTACATTTCAAATATCAAATTTCTTCTTCCAGACACACTCTCAGAAATCCCAATGCCAAAGGGTGCATCGTGTCCTCAATCCATCATTCGACCATCTCTCCTGTTCTATCTCGCACCTATCTTCATTGCGTTTCTGATTCTCAACAAAAACATCACATCGGATATCCGGCACATGTATGGAAACTAATAATTTTCTCATCTGTAACTTTCTCCATTGTCTGTACACTTTGACATATTTTAAATTCCCATTCATCTCCGGGTATTCTCATCTCCCCACCACAGGTTTTATGTTTTGTTTTTCTTCATTTTTTGTTGTTCGAATGAAAAACATGTGAGCGAAAAACGAATCTATGCTGTATGCAGAAACATACAGAGATTTTCAGAAACTCTACGAATTATTCATTTTAGTTTCTTGCTCCGTTCATTGCTCAGTGGTTTCTTCTTCATGCAAGAAATCTCCATTGGTTCTAGAGAGATTGAAATGTTCGTAAAATGAACTTTTCAGAAAAATGAGTCAGCCTTCAGAATATGTATGAAAAGGGAGACTTATTTGGTGTATAACCCGACGTATTGAAGCTATAATTGGATGTATATGTGACAGGCGAAAACAGGAAAGAGGCGATGACGAGAGTATGGAATGTGTTTAAGAATATACTGGTATATAAGAAATACTAGTGAAAACCAATACATCAAAATGTGCATCAAGTAATTTCTGAATTCCTTGGAATGACATTCTGGAAAAAAAAGCATATTGTAGTACTAAATTTTATATGAGAATTACTCCATGTGCACGTTGGCAGCATACATGGCGTCATTCAACCTATTGTATTCAATTGATGTGTTTTAGAAGAATGGAATTGGGTCAGAAGGAATGCTAGATATAAGAGATAAGAAAATGAATATTTCAAGAATGTTCTTTCATGAATTTCTTTGTGTAGCCGCCTTGGTTTCTAAATTTCATTGGGATTTACTTTCTGATTCCGAAGTGTCGTACTTGTAAACCGGGCCATGCTATAGCTTTTTTTGGAGCCAGTTTTTAAAGACAATCTAACTTAGATATGATAGACGAGTACTACAAAATAGCATTATTTGAAAAACTATATCTGATCTATGAACAAAGTTATAAGCCATTAAGTGGCTAATCAGGGCTGGGCTGAGTCCATGCCTGTTTTTTCAACCCTATTCGTCTGTAACTTTGTCCATAGACAAGATAGGGTTTTCTAAACAGTATCATTTTGTAGCACTCGTCGGTTCTATCATATCATGTTTAGTTGATACGAATTATTAATTCTAAAAGAAAATATGACAAAACCCAATTGACAAGTAGTACGACTATTTTCGTCGTTCGCTTGAATTCCTAGGAATCGAACATCAGAATTTTCATAGACCTTCTCAAATTCATTTCATTATCAAGGTTCCATTCATACACAACCTATCGTCTAAAAATTCAATTTTCCTAGGAAACTGAAAAATAGATAATAAAAATTTCAAAAAATATATGACAAGGAAGTCTGGAGTCAAAATTAGAGATCTTCAGTAGACCTGTCCAATTTTCTTTTTACAAAATGCTCCCCAATTCAACATTCTATCCGAATCGTTCAATTCTTCTATCTCCTTTGTCCCCCGTTCCTAAGCACTCAATCTCATTTTTCCTCCAAAAAAAGAAGAACGAAGACAATCGTAGTAGCATGAAAAAGCCAATTCTGCACCCACTTTGAGAGATGATCCCATTTCGTCTTCTCCTTATTCTTCTTCTTCGTCTTTATTTCTTTTTGTGGACCTTTTGCACATCCAATTAGGTTGGTTGGTTATAAAAACTGAAAGACACGATCCGTCTCATTCGAAATTCTTCATTCTTCACATCTATTTTTGCTTCAAGCAAATAAACTGGGGTTTACAGATTCTGATTGCAAGTTGTCATATAATAAGGCTAATGCTCGTTAGGTATTCTGAAAAAAGTTTTCTGGAAGGAAAAAAACGGGAGAAGAATAAGATTAAATAAACAAATGACACCATTGTAACTTGGAAATTCTGTACCAACTTTGTTTGGGATTTCGATAGGAATTATCAGAATTTTGAAAAGTTTCCGTGGTTTCTAGTTTTCGTACAGCAAACCTATCATTAGGAAAGTGGTTGGCGGAGTTTGCTATACGAAAAATATTATTTGATCAATATGGTTACCGAGATTTTGAACCTATTAAGAGAACTTTAGCATGGATCTAGAGATTCTTATAGAAGTTCCCATATTGTTCTCACAGGTAAACTGCGAACGGACCCGTTACGGACTCTCCGCGTTCGCGCGCGGTTGAAATAGGAATCGTATGCGGACCGTACGCGAACCGTTTCCAGCAAAACACATCACATTATTGCGGGTTTCTCCGTATTCTGTCCGTTCGCGAACTCCGTATCCGATCCGACCGCGAATGATGAACAAACGGATCCGTACGCGAATCTGAATTCAATTTGAGATCGCGATTCCTATTTCAACCGCGCGCGAACGCGGAGAGTCCGTAACGGGTCCGTTCGCATGTGAGTCATTTTTGTATGACAAATTGTGTATGATTTTATTCACTTTCCGAACAACGTCACTTTTATTGAAACTGTCACAAACAATTAGGCTCCAAACCACGAATCCATCATAACATGTTGTGCAAAAACCCACTCATTTAAGCATTTCAGACAGCATTTTTAACTGAAAAAGGTTGTATTCACTAGTTTACATGTCATTCAGTCTACTGACATCATTGAAATGTTTGATTTCTTACGCACACCGTCATAAGGTTTGCAAGTTGCACAACCTTTGAAGTGTACACATATAATTATTGCTCATTTCTGAGAATTTTCTTTTTAGACGACTGTAGAGCTCTTCCAATTTAGTGAGCACTTTCTCCTCTTGTTTCTGCTCTCCGGTCTTCGGCTCTCTCACAATGCCTGAAAGAAGCTCCACCCATTTTCTTGCCCGCTTTCTCCTCCCACATCTTCTTCTTCTTTCATTCCCTGCTCATTTTCATCCAGTTCCAAAGCCGTTTGATTTGTCCCTTGACTACAATTTAATTTCCAACTCAATATTTTTTGCAGGATGTCCGCTGCCGTCTGTCGTGCTCTTCTTCTGTTCTGTGTTCTGTTCGTAGTTTGTCACACATACAGTCGCATGGAGTTGGAGTAAGCTATTTGTGGAAAAATATATTGCATTTTCATATTTTTCTATTTTCAGAGACCGAATGCAGATGTCGCGCTTCCACGAACCGGGAAAGGGAGCCGCTGGCTCGCAGGGAGAGTGAGTTTTTTTTAGAATTCTTGACTTAGAACCAACAAAAACATTTTAAAATAAAAAAGTTTTTAATTTGAATATCCTTTCAGTGACGCGTACCTCCATTACCTATCGGAGTACTTCGGAAGACCCATGCAACGCCGTTCTGCTGGCTCGACATATCCTCAAATGTTGTAATCGTTAAAAAGAGCCCCCATATATCCTCACTGAACAATAAGACACTGGCTGATGATTAACCAACTTCTTTAATTTATTTAAACAATTATTCTCCGAGGCTTTGAACTGAAATCAATTAAATCTAATGATCTGATCTTTTAAGAGGGGAAGATCTGATCTCGCTTTCCTTCGTGGACAAAAATGTATGATCTTCATCATCTTTTTCTTTTTCTATCTGTTTCTTATTGGCTGAATAAAGCTGTTTGTTGAAAATAAAAAAGCAATTTTGTATTCTGATCGAAAAGAGGGTATAATCAGAGGGTTGGTGTCTGATCGAGAGTTTGTACTTTAACCCATTTCTATCTGACTCATGATTTAGAAGGGATTCATTGTATTTTGAATCGCGTATTAACGACGTCTGAATGAATCACAAAGTAAAGTGAAAACCCGAATGAACAAGGGTTTCTACCAAGATCTTTGCGTTGAATTCCATGACTTCAGCCAACGTACGTGAGATTTTTGCAAACATTGATTGTTGAAAAAAAAAACGGTTCGGAGCATGTGAATAACTATCAGGTTACCTAGAATTTCTTATTCTGATTTAATTGGAAACAAACGAAAACCGGATGAAGATATTCCACGAGGAATGTTCTTCTGAGTAAGAAAATATTGCCAGATCCTAACGCGAGTTTGAATTCATTGAATATTTCCGGAAGTTTACCTATTTTTGTTGGCATCCTGATGAGTTTTATGAATTTCTAACACACTGAGAAGACGTAGGTGTTCCAGAAACTTCGTCACGTGGTTTGAATATTCTGTGGAATTCAAGGTGGCTACTCAGTAAGAAGAGAGACAACCCGAGGGAAAGAAAACATTCACCGGAAGAAAATAGTTTCCGTTACAGGAAGATATTAGAATGTGAATCATTGAGAAGTTTCATAGCACGTGTAGGAGAACATGGACCAAGGACCGATGTACTGAAAGAGGATCCAAGTTGAACTTAAATTTTAAAAAGTGTAAGAACGGAAATCGTAAAGCTAATTACAGTACCATTACGAAACTAAAAATTTCATTTTCATTCTGAAAGTTCGCCAATTCTCGAGCTGGTTAGAACCGTTTTAATTTTTGCTGTTTTTCTTTTTTATGTTTATTTTCTGAGTATGTTAGCTCTTGTAGTTATTCATCAGATTGAATGTACAAGAATACCAGAATTGGGAACAAGCTCAGAACAAGAACTTGCTGGCTCTGTTATAGTTTCTTGTAGGATCAATACGTTCTGACCAACTAAATTATAATAGATATGATAAAACTCGACGAGTGCTACAAAATGATATTATTTTTAAAATGTTATCTTGTTATTAAACAAAAGTTATATACGAAACAGGTCAAAACAGGCAGGACCGGGTCGCGTCGGTAGCTTTATGGCTTGTCAATTCCTATGGACCGTTTTTCAAGTACGAAGAATGTTACTCCTGCATCACGCTCTGCTGGCAATGAGAGAATGTTTATACAAAATATTTTGGCCAATAACACTGAAGCCTTTCTCGTGCTTGTTTTTGGTGGATAAAACGAAAACTAAATATTCTAATAATGTTTTTTCTACTAGTGGATGTACCTATCACATCATTTTCAGCAGCAACTGTTTTTGAAGCTTGTTGATTCAAATAAAGAACTAATATGTATTCGAAATCCTCCCAATACAACTCAAAATTCGCAGAAGTAGTTTATATCCTACTCAACTATTTGGGGAACACCATCATTTCCCTTGGATTTAATATTAAAGCTTCTTTCATTGACTCATGTCAAAAATTTTTTTCAGAACCCTCAACTTATGATGAATTCTTTAGCATCTTCGAGACTTTTCTGATGTTTGTATCTGGTTGCAATACTCTAACAAGTTAGTAGTATGTTAGGAACCTGTCCCCAAAAACTTGAAACATGCAGACTCTCTTTGATGCATATAAACTTCCCTTCTTCTAACCATTATCTATCTCACAAATTGAAAACATTCATAAACTTTTATTTCGAAAGGACCCATCTTTGAAAAACGCATATCAACATATTCTCATTTCTGCTCTCTAGCTTCTCATCCTCCCTCTCACATCAAAAATGCAAAACGACGCATCTAATCCGATATTCTTTCTCTCTCTATCAGTTCTCTTCAACATGTTCCTCCACACGCAACCGAAAATTCTGCCGTCGTCTAAAAGCAAAAGAGACATTTTGTATGTGATAATCTTCGACTTCTTCATCTGCCTTTTATACATTTTCAACACACTTTTTTGGCTGCTGCAATGTCTTATCTGTCGGCGAATTGCAGTACGGGGAAATTCGTTGTAGATGATGTGAGTTTTTTTTTTAATCGGGGGATAGTTTGAAGAAGACTAACGCATTCATGTGAATCTTTATTGGTCAAGGAAATAATTCCAAATTCAGAATGTCCCTGTGCTAAATGAAATTCGGAAAGTTTTTTATTTATTTTCAGTGCGGAGTCGGAAAGTTCTGTTGCATCGAAGGCTGTTGCATCGACTTCACTTATATCATAATTTTATTGTGAGTCATTTTAACTTTTAGAAGTTATCTGAAGCTTTCATTCTGCAGAATAGTGATTTCAATGATTGCCACAGTAGCCATATTCATCCATGTTGAAGTTACGAAGGAGAGAAAATTCAACGAGAAGCTAAAAAAACATCTTGAAAGTTTGAAAGAGACAGGATCCACGACAGAATTTGGTTAGTGTTTTTTTGTAGTTCTAGAAACTTCTAAATATAGAAAAATATCAAGCAGAGCTGAAACCTCAAGTTATGGAAAAAGTTTAGGATACCGTATCACCTCCAATAGAAATTCACCCTAACGTCAATTTTGAGCTCAATTTTCTCGATTCCTGTGAAAGATATCAATAATTTTTCAATTGATAAAGTATTGATAATTTTACAAAAAAACATTTTATCAATTGACAACTTTTTGATATCTTTTGAAAGTGCTGAGATAATTGAGCTCAAAGTTCACATATAGGGTGGGCTTTATTTAGAGCATTCACATTTAAATGTATCATTCCAGAAGAAACTCGAATCTACCTCGGAGCGTCGCCAATCGAAGCTTGTCCATTCAATCTGCCTCCTACTTGTAGTCCACCGATGACAGTTCCAAAATTGAAGTTCCATAGGAATCGTCCCCTCCGCCAATTCTTACACAAACACATGTAATTTTGATTGTGTATGTATTTATTTGTTTCTTTTCAATCAATCTTATCATATTTGTTTCATTAAATGTGTCTCACTTCTTTGACTCTCGAAAAAAAGCGAAAATAACCCATCTAACACCAGAATCTCAAATAAATCAAAACAAGCCGACAAAGCATGTGACCTACTAGCCCCTTCATTTTCAGTCGTCTCGATTTCAGGTAGAAGTAAAAAGTAAATAAATATATGGATAGTGCACATTTGGAGGTGTTTACCACTTTCATCACAAGATTCAATCTCTTTTTTGCTGTCCTCTATTTTCATTTTGCAAAAACAACAGATGTGGAAATAGTGTGTGATCTGAAGAGGCGCAGATCATAGAGGCGTAGAAATTGGTCAGAAGACGCACGACGGATCACATGCAGAATTGTGTCGTGTCCCGGACAGTGTCTATGAACCTCAATCTATCAAATTATTGTTTTCTATTTGAGAACCGCATCTAATGTTGTCACTTTCGATTATTGATTTAGCCTGTGAGAAGTGGAAGTCTGCTCAAGATGTAGTTATACCACTTCCCAGAAAAAGCTTGGTTGTTCTAGAAAACTATTTCTAAGAAGCATACAAATTGTTCGTTTCCTTTCAAAGCAACACCCAAACATTCAATGGTTTTCGAGTGTTCACCTTGATATCAAAAGACGACCGGTCAATTTTCAACCGATCATTTTCACTTTCCATTCTAAATAATTTAGGTTCAGAGGTACTCACTGACTGAAAGTTCAAATGTACCCAAATCAAAGTTCTATTTTGAAAAGAAGGAAAGAGGGTAGAAAAACAAGAGGATTGTTTTGAACCGGTTTTAGTTCTTTTTCAATTTTCTTACGGTCCTCCAGCAGCTATCTTTTCCATTTCTCCTCATTTTTACTTCTTCAGCCTTTTGACCTTAAAACGTCATCTAGAAGATCTTTCTTCGATACATCTTTGAAAACCTCATCTTCCTATTCGTTTCAAGGTAACAAACTCATAAATTGTGTTCAGAGCCAATTGTTTGTGGCTCCAGCTCATTTCCAGGTCAGCTGTCCGTTGATCTATCACTTTCATGGTGCTCACTGTGATGAGAGAAAGAGGTTTCATTGAGTGGATGCCATTTGACTTTTGATTTTTTTTGTGTTTCTTATTGTTAGTATAGGTTAGAATTAATTAATTTCGTCTGATAATGTTAGTTCTAAATGAATCAGTGGGCGTGCAAAATACGAATCTTAAATTTTCTTAAAAATGAGCTCATATTTTTTCAGTGTTTCTTAAAAATGAGCTCATACCCAAACTTTCTACCCAAATTATTGAGAAATTATTATTGCGGCGTAAACCAATTTCTAAACTTTTTCCTCGATTCATTTGCGAGACAATTGAGGTCGTGACTGATTTCATCTTCTAATTTGACCCGGTTTGTCTGAATATGCATCCCCATATCCAGTGAATCGAAAAAGTTTAATTATCGTAAAACCTGTAATAGAACGGCGCTCTAAATTTAAACTTTTAGCCAATTTTTCTCGGTACCTGCCAAAGATATATAAAAGTTGTCAACTGATAAATTTTAAAAATCATAATAACATTAATGGTTTGTCAGTTGACACACTTTTAATATCTTGCATAGGAATTGAGATAATTGGGCTCAAACCGGACATTGTTCAGTTCCCTTCTATTATAGGTTCTACGGTACCCCATTCAGTACTGATTTTGCCTGTGTTCTATCCCCTACCTTTGAATCTCTTCTTTGTTGTCTTCCTAGAATTTCTCTCAACTTTGATTGTTGTTTTCGTTTGGAAGCAAAGTCTCAATTCCGTCTACCCCTCTCTCATCATCACTCCAACTTTTTGGTGTCCTTCTATTCTACTCACTCTCTTCCAAATAACAGTTTTCAAAAAAGACCGAGAGAGAAAGAGACACTGTGTGTATGTGTTTGTCCCTTGAAATCTATAGAATCTTGTTGACAGGTTAGGTTACTTTCTCCCAGTTGTTTCTCTACGTGTCGCTTCGCATTTTCCATGCGCAGTGGTCATGCGGCGAACCGAAACAAAAAATCGGTCCTCATGAGGCTGTAGACATATTTCTCTGGTTCTGGTATACTTATCTTAATTCTCGTTCTTTATCATTTGTTATGTTTTTTCTTAATTATGAGAACCAAAATGCATAAACAATATTAACCGTTTCTTATCAGTTTTCTTGATTTCTGAACTCGGTATTACATGAGTTAGGGGTTTGGATGTAGCGGTTAATTTGTTTATATTTTCAGCTAACCAACCATGCCAGAACATCACGCAGTTGACATCGAGAATGTCCCAATCGTTACTCCACCACCATACATGGATCCAGCCAATGCTCAGGCAAAGAAGAAGATGTCAAGAATTAGAAAGGAATCGGTTTCACACATGAAGCCATGCGAACATTGCGGTGCTCCACCACAAGCACAAGCTGCCAATATGCCACATGAGCAAGGTGAGATTTTGAGGTCTTCAGCTCTAGATAGAATCTAATCATTTAATATGGAAGATCAGCGCAATTTATTTTTTCCAGTGCTCGTCTGGCCAGCGGTCCGTCCAATCAACCACATCCATCAGGACTCTCGCCAATTCATCGGATACGTCATCGTCATCGCAATCGTCATCTTCTTACTCTTCGCTGCTTGCAAGTATTTACCTTAAATCGTGCAATTCTTCTATTATCCTGAAATTTTCTCAACGCATTGTTCACTTTTAATGTCCAAACACCGTACATAATTTATTCCATTTAAGGTGTAAGCTTCCCTTCCCACACAAACTTCTGCTTTTCAAAATTACAAAACAAGACTGATGGTTAATAAAGGCATTTTATGATTTCAATTTAAATTTTAAAAATATATTATCGAAATTGGACGAGACTAGATCTTGTTAGTCTGGTTTTCATCTTGAGCAACAACCATCATGTTTATGCATGTGGACTTAAACCAAGAAGAGAAACTTGAAGCCTATCGTAATTACTCTATTAGAAGGCCATCAACGTTCAATTATAGGGTGGCCATCTACCACTGTTTACGGTATATTGCTACCACAACTTTCCATCTTTCAGTACATGCGAAATGTAAAGAAACCTTGACTTTCAGACTCTTCAAATTATCATGTAAACATTCTCTCCGACAGTAGATTCGTATTTATCATCTTGAAGCTGACCAAGAGGAGCAAGTCATAAGGGAAAAGCGTTTCAATTACAGATAGTATCTCACTTACCATCTACAAACAAACTCCTCCCCAATCTTTGGCTCTTTCTTATCAATTATCAGTACACACTGTTCTCCCGCACTTTCTTCATAATAACATTTTCAGCTGCTCCGTCTTACAATTAGTATATTACGTTTTTAATTCTGAATTCATTATAGAAAAATAAACATGTCTGAAAGTTCAACTGCAATCGTGATGCCTCCTCCATACATGGATCCAGGAAACTCTCAAGTCAAGAAACAGAATCAAAGATTCCGTCAAGAGTCGATTAGAAAGATGACGGTCTGCGAGCACTGTGGAGCTCTTCCACGTGCTCAAGTGAGAAACTTGCCATCTGAATCAGGTAAACGGTTTGCAAAGTCTTTCAGCTGCAAAAATATGCTTTGCATGTTAATCTATAAAGTTCAAAACGTCATTTCAAAACAAACTAAATTCAGTATTTGTTTGGCCAGCAGCCCGACCGGACAATTCGATTCGACAGGATTCTCGACAATTCATCGGATATGTGATTATTATTGCTCTCGTCATCTTTGGACTTTTCGCTGCTTGCAAGTACCTACCGTAATCGAAGGATCATAACTTCAGCCTGGAATGTATTGAAATTCATAACTATGTAAAAACCTAATCAAATGTTTCAAACACTTCGAGATGAATAAGATGAATAAAATACAGCCTCGTGAGGGCAATTTTCGAATGTACTATTTTTAACTTTTGAATAAATAAATCACGATTACAGTAATGTAGAATTCCGAATTTTCAGAAATCACATTTGTCGCGGAAATGGATAATCTTGAAATGTAATCAATTGATTAGTTTGATCGAATTTCAGTAAAAATAGAAAAGTTAACAAATAAGATTTACACATTAGGCTAGTTTCATAATTTTTGTTTCCTCTAATAAAGTCATTCAGTCAATTGAGCTCAAGTTTTTTCGGGAAAATCTGAAAAATATTACTGGTCGTCTGATTTCTGTTTCAAAAAAATCGGGTGTGAGCAAAGCTCTGATACGGTAGCGAAATACTATTAGGAGCATGTAGTTTTCGTAATTGTTTTCTGGCATATTTCGTTCGATGTGTCAGTTATTTCCGTTTGTTCTATGCTTTTGCGAATAGTCTCACTCTTGTGAGAAAAGTTCAGTCGATGAAAATAATCAAAAAACAAACAAAATGAAAAAAAAACAAACAAAAAAAACAAACAAAAAAACAAACAAAAAACAAACAAAAAAACAAACAAAACAAACAAACAAAACAAACAAAAATCAGACAATAATTTCGGAAAAACATATGCTACTTTAAGGATTTCGCTATCGGACCGAAGCTCCGCCTCCATCCTTGAATTTTCGCTTGTAACGCGCATTGAAATTATAGCAGAGTAATAAGCCAAGTTCTCGATAAATTCAACTCCCCATTACTTTTCATCTGATTTTTATCACTAACTCGATTTCTATTTTAAAAACTAGTAGGAATACTTTTGAACGAGGCAGTTTCTTGTTCCACTTTTACATATTTCTTCATATCGCAGGCCCTCCGTGACCAATGAAACTTTAATGCTTGAGAAACATCCTGCTTCCTAAATATTCTGATACCATCCGCAGCCATGCTTCTCATTATTTCATCTTCAAAAATGTCAACAGAATACACGTAGTAGAGTTACTAACTGATCCAAAAACTCTGTGACTGAAAAACTGAGTAGGCGGAAAAGTTATGAAAATAACCAAATGTGCTCAACTGGAAAATATTGTTTGTCACAACTATTTGAACTCTTTTGAACATTTCGGAACAAACCAGTCTTCAATGTGTCCAAGAACACTATATAACCAGTACTTTGGTATAACCTCAAGCCGAAGACACACAACACACCTGCTCCTGAGTCTGATTAAAGCAAAAGACTATGATTGCATTTTCAGTTTTCTCAAACCGATTCTTTCAAAAGTTTATCGATCAAACACTCTCTTTTTTCCTTTATCACCTGTTCGTTTTTCATGAATCTAAATCTCATTCGACTTTTCCAAAGGTATACTTTTTAGGATAAAATGCAACTGAGGCTATGACCACAATTACAAGCTATTATCTTAATGAGTGGAAACTGACATGTTCGCATGAAGAAAGTTTTCTGGCTTCTTGGCAAGGCTTATCCTTATTCTCCCATTCCTTGTTAGTCATTTTCTTGCCAGTTTATACATTCACAACTTACTGTATTGTCAAGAAAACCCCGCGAACAATGGATTCTGTGAAATGGGTGCTTTTGAACGCTCATTGCTGGTTAGTTCAAAACTTCTCGGAGAAGTTTCTAACATTTACATTGAAGGTGTTGTTACTGTGATATACTCGTTTGCTCCCTCATAACTCCTTATTTTTTCTTCCCAACAATATCTGGATTTCCAGTTGGCTTGTTTCGAGAACTTGGAATTCCCACGTCATCTCAAGTTTTTATCGGGATAGTTTCCTGCATGTGTTAGCCAATTCAATCAATCAAAAAAATTGAATAATAAATCAAATTTCAGTTATGGGAATTTCCCTTGTCGCATTATTCGAGAATCGAAGCAGTTGTATACCAAGTAACAGGTTCAGAATAACAAGAAAGAGATCAAGATTTTTATATTACTTGTTAAATTGTTCTCTGGTTGTTGGGTATTTGATTCCGCCATTCATAAATGTTCCAGATCAAGAGTCAGCTAAACTGATTTTGTTAAATGTGAAGGATCCAAGTAAAATAATCTGGAACTATTTTTTTCTAATTTCAGACGATACCATGCCCGACGGAAGAGTTTTTCTACACTGAAGTATTCATTTGGGCAACAGAAAAGTTTTGGTATAATTATCTTTGGATGACCACCGGCTCATTAGTAGCTTTCATTGTTTTTCAAGTTGCTTTCTTCTCAACATGTTGCTTATACTATCTGTATATTTCGACAGCAGTCATGATTTCCTCAAAAACAAGGAAGTATCAACGGTCATTCTTTTTAGGAACAATCGCTCAAGCTATTATTCCTCTGATATTTCTGGTTATTCCAGTAGCCACTGCAATCTCATCAATTTATTTTGAGTTCTACATTCAGGTAGTCAACAATTCCTGTGTGATATTTTTATCGTTCCATGGATTCGCTTCAACGATTACGATAGTCTTGGTACATCATCCTTACCGAAAATTCATGATTAAAATTGTGACGTTCGACAGAAGTACTGGTGAGTTTCAGTTCGATTTCTTAGTTAGGTGCTAATCTGTGCTTTCAGAAGAGGATAATATTGAGCTCTAAAATAACTGTTGTGTATTCAGAGAAACACGCGTCTACGGGTGCATCATATGTAACGAAAGATGTTCGAGCAACGATGAGAAGGCTTTCGAATCGAGTATTGCCTGTTTTGCATCTTGGTTAAGGTTGTATATTCGTGTTTTTTTTTTTCAAATAAATGCGTTCTTTGTACATTTGTTGTACATTTGTGTCCTATTTAAAAGGAATAATAATACAATCAAAATTCCAAAGATACATAATGATAAAAAAACTATTTAAAACAAACTAAAATTATTTTCCAGCTGATTCTTTTTAAAAAATCACGATTGGTGGCTGATTGCCCGGAATATGTTTTTTTTTCTATAGTAAAAGTTTGGACACATTTAAAAAGTGGAAATTCCAAAAAAATCTTCGGGCCGGGCCGGACTGAACTGAAGATTTTGAAAAAAGCAGGCCGGCCCGGCCATCCAACTGTATCGAATTTTTATTCATCCCTTAATGTATCCCGAAAGTCTAGAAAGACCTTTCCACCACTCTCGTAATTTTATTTTTTGACCACAGAGTGCATTCATTTAAGTAGAAAACTAATCTCCTAGAAAAACTAATTTTTCCAAAACTGTCTTCATTCAATGAATACAGACAACGTCGTCCGTAAACTAGAAAATTCTCGAGGTTAAGTGGCAAAATGTTACCGTAAAACCTCTAATAGAACGACACCCGGATCGTCCACTTTGAGCCTATATATCTCATTTTCTGTGAAAGATATCAAAAAGTGGCAAACTAGTAAAATGTTGCTGATATCCTGATAAACATTTTACTAGTTAACCACTTTTTGATATCTTTCAAAAGAAGTGAGATATATAGGCTCAAAGTGGACGATCCGGGTGTCGTTCTATTAGAGGTTTTACGGTAATTGGTGAGTGACGAAAGCGACCAAGTTTTGTAAATCTTGGAATTTCGTAGATTGAAAAATTTCCTGTTGGTTTGTACTCAATTTTCCACTTTTCGAAATACGGATTTTGAGATTGGTGTATAATCTAAAAGTACACTTGATAATTTTATTCCAACAGAAATCAAAGTTTAATACATTTTCTATTGGATGGATCAATATGTATAGGACTAGAAAAATAATGATTTTCAGTCAAATTGTCATTAGATGGGGGTATTATCAATTACAAATGATTAAAAAACAAAAAAGAACCTGTTATCCATGTACATGTTTACATTGAACATTTTTCCGAGGTCAAACATCGTCTCAAATCATAATTTTGGTCGACTAAAGAAACAAAAATTTGAAGAAGGAGGCAAGAATGAGGAATATGAGTGAGACAATGAAACTATGCAGTTTGTACGGTGGTCCGTTGTTGTTTCTTCTGTTTGACAGCCGTCACTTGTTTAGCAGCACGAGAAACTCCGACCATGCAGCATCCGAGAAGACAAACGGAAACCATCAGACACATCCAGCAAAGATAGAGGATGCTTACACTGAATGCAGTCCAATAGGTTAGACTATCACAATTATCATGGTCGTGGTAAATTTGGAATGTCCAAAGGATTCCGATTGGGATACACATACAAAGACAACAGAATGTAAATCTACTGATTCTGTGCATTTTGAATGGTGTCGCATTCTTGATGTCTGTCTCTGTGGGTTTCTCTGGTGCCAGAGTTTGACGAGCGCGACGCCACTGAAAGTCCAGCTTATTTCGGAATAGAAGGATTTTAGACTTACTCCAATCAAGTAGAATGGGAAGTTTAGAGCACTAATGAAAATGACGACTCCGGTAACAATGAGCCAATATGGAATGTGTTTGTCTTCTTCGCAATTACGTCTATTAATCCATCCAATCGTGATCAGGAATATTGACATGCAGAATCCGAAGCATGATGAAACGGCTCTCACTGAAAAAGATGCGACTGTCTTGAATCCTCTCTGACACTGCTACTTACAGACAAAAAGAAGTTTTGGGGGTAGCTTATCGGTCCTTTGAACTTTTCGAACTGCTGCATCGTATTCATTTTGGACATCTCGTATTGGCATTATTTCTGTAAGTCACCTGATTTGAAATCAAACCACACACGCAGTAGTCGACACAAATTTAAAAAAGAAACTGAAAAGACCAGAACGGATAGGAAGGAGAAGAACGTGAGAAACGGTCGACGCTGCCCATCTAATGAGGAAATCAAAAAAAGGGAAAGAAAAAAGTGGGCGGTGGAAGAGGAGGAAGATCAGAGAATGACGGGGGACCAGTGGTTATGGTAGGGATACTTGCAGTGATTGTTGACTTGAAATGAAGAGAGAAGAACAAGACACAAATAATAAATCATAGAGAATTTTTTTAGCAGATTCAAGATCACTCTATCTGTTGATGATGGTATCGGGTGATCTGCATTGATTTGGAACAAAATGGATGTTATACCAAGTCACAAGGTCTTCTTCATCACGTCATAATCAAATCAAGAAATCAGCCTTGTGGTTAGTATAGAGTCTAGTTCCGATTGTTGTAGTTCTGATAATGACAAGAAATATCACGAAACAGAACGTTCGTGTAGTTCACTAGGCCTATATGAATTGGAATGAATCTCTATTTTATTCCCATGAGAACTTGTCGTTAACACACGGTCAACGACCAAAATCTTCAGGGCATTTTTAAAGAAGCAGTTGTATTTGCTTCAACATGAGATCTATCAATTCTGAGAAATTTACTAGTGAAATGTCCACAGTGATCTCAAGATATTAGGTTGGTGCATAAGTTTCTTACGATTTTGGGAAAGTTTTTGATCAAATTTTTCTCAAAGCGGAGTTAGCTAGATTAATGACAGTATTGTCCATAAGTATCAATAGTTGTCTGGCAACGCTTCGGTAATTTCTTGACCCCATCGGCCCAGAACGACGAGGGCTGCGATTGAAAAGGTAGGTTAACTCCTTTCTGGCGTCATCTTTTCACTTGAAGTCTTTTTTATCAAGATGAGGTCTAAAAGCCCCAAACGACCCATCATCCGAAATAGCGAGGTTTGGAAAATACGAGGGGTGCAAAAGAATAGTTTAGCCGAACGACATGAATTTTTGGTTGATCGCTCAAATAACGTGTGGTTTCATAGTGTCCTGTTGGGAACACCTTTCGCCTTTTCTCCTTGTTTCAATGCGACTGCCAGAATCAATTTCTCTAATTATAAACTATATATTGCGGCTATTATATTGGTACATTAATCTAAAATATCCCAGTCTTCATTCCTTTGACAGACCATCCGACACATAGCATACCCACTTTCACTGGAAATTTTGGTTTCGGAACGTCCAGAGCTAGCTCTTCTTTGTCAATCAACCGACCCTTCCGCACATTGATAGAGTAACTTTCCCACTTATTATCTACGGTAATTAGATCATTCACCCAACTGAACTTGCGAAGAAATGATAGAAGAAACAAGCTCAAGTCTATTCCAAGCCATACCGTAGTCCATCAAAAAATTTGGTACGAAGCGACCAAATTTTTTACACTGCAAAGAGACCTCAATCCGTTTACAATACTTAGTTGACTAACGGACAATGTCTTTGACATTTCACAAGTGGTTTGAAACGGATTGGTTTCAGAAGTATTCTTCAATAGGTTCAAGTCCAACTTTCGGGCCCATTTTCGTCTTTCAATTCTAAATCTTTGGCTTCAAACTGACCCTTTTGCTCGAATTTTCGAGCGCATCATTTGTAATAGAATTAAATCTGACCTCGCCCACAAATTCAGCCCCTATTAAAATGGCTTCTTAGCATACCGTTCCTGTACAAACGCCCTAATACACTCTATTTCCAGTTATAAGATGATTCTGGCCCGTCACAAAACCCTAGACGTTGTATATTTTGATTTTTGCAAGGCTTTCGATCAAGTATCTCATGCCCTCCTCTTAGCCAAATTGGCAAATTTTGGTGTTCAACCCCTCTTCATCTCCTGGTTCCAAGACTTCCTCACTAACCGCTTCTTTTCTGTCAAAATTAACCATTTCATTGAACCTATTTCTCACCCTATCCCCTCTGGGGTTCCCCAAGGCACTGTAGCCGGTCCCCTACTCTTCATCATATTTATTAACGATCTTCTCCTTTCCCTTACCTCCAACTTACATTTTTCGTTGTAGACAGTGAGGGACAAAAAAATTGTAGACAGTGAGGGACAAAAGCCAGCGCCGTGCTCGCGAACGACAAGAAGTAGGAATGAGGCAAAGTGTATATAACAAGGTCATGAGATACTCTACCCAACAAAAAAAATCCTTCGAGAAAAACCGTCCCACTAAACAGTTATCAATTTTCAAAGTTTAGCCTTCAAAATCGGAAGAAACTTATGCACCAACCTAATATTAATTAAATAAACTTTCCGAATCTGTTGGTCCAGCTGGGGAAAAGTTTTTAGTGTTCTCCCAACCCAAAGATCATCAATAATGATACGAAGATAATTCAAAACACCAGAAGCGATCTTTGATTTTAAAGACGGATGCAAGTAGTCTGAAAGTCCTGGTATCGAATTAATTTTAAATCGCTGTTACAGACGTCAGTTCCTGTTTTCGGACGGATATTTGTCAGGTTCGGGTCGGAACTTGCACAAGAACGGCTGTCTAGATGGCCATGGTCAGATTTGGTCGGAAGCTGAAAGTTGAAGTACTACTTGGTCGGGCCCTAGTCATAAGTTTATCGGAGTTTGGTTGGGTTTAAAAATTGTCTTATCCGGAATCTGACCAACCTCCAACCAGAAGTTTAGGGCGTCGCGCGAGTTGCTTTGTTGGATTAGAACATCGAAGTTTTTATAGAATATCAAACTTTTGAGATTGTGATGAATGTACTCCTCTATAATAGGGAAATCTTTATTTGCACTAAATAATTAATCATTTCTTATTTCAACATCTTGTTCTCTGTTGTTTCGAAATCTTTGCATCAATTCAGGAATCGTGAAATTATAATAAAATGAGCAATATAAACAAAGAGCAAAACAAGAAGCCAATATTAAAAGGATTATAAAGCAAGAATAAATGAAAGCAAAAACAAACGCTGTCCAATAAGTGATAGAATAGCATTCATCGCAAGATGAAAACTTGGAAAATGTGTGATATGTCAAGACTGCAGAAATTCCGCTTACAAAAGTGGAGGCATAGTTGCATACTCGGTTCATACGAAAAGGAATGAATTTATTAACTTCTTCTGTTCCAATGCCCCCATCATGAAGAGGTTCGAATAGGATGGAAACAAGAGAGACAGCTGAGAACACCATATCTTCAGTTCATATCGCAAGTCGGAAACAGAAAAAAAAACCGCAGCAAGAATGAAATCACGGTTTTTTGACGTTACTTTAGAATCACGGTCATCGTATTTGAGCGCATTTAGACAACGTCCCGGAAAAAAACACCGTGTGAAATTAATAGAGAAGTAAATTTATTTGCACAAAATAATTAGGAATTTCCTGTTTCAACATCTCGTTCTCTGTTGTTGTGAGATTTTCGCATCAATTCAGGAATAGTGAAATAAAAACAACATAAGCAACAAGCACTTAATATAACGATCACATAGCAGGAATAAATGAAAACAAGGACAAACGCAGTCCAATAAGTGATAGTATAGCATTCCTCGCGAGATGAAAAATGGGAGAACGTGAAATATGTGAAGAATGGAGCAACTCCGCTTACAAAAGTGAAAGCATAGTTGCAAACTCGGTTCATACGACAAGGAATGAATTTATTAACTTCTTCTGTTCCAATGTCCCCATCATGAAGAGGTTCGAGATGATTATCAATTCTTTCTTGACGATCTTCCGCAGCTTTCTTTTTCTGAAACTCGCTATTTTGATCCCTGGATTGACCTGGATTGACTTACTCCATATGAATAGAATGGCTGATACAATGAGCATACAAAGAGTCCCATTCCAACCATTAGCAAAAGAAGTGGAATTTCATTACATGTATCCAAACTCCATAAAGAGAGTCCGATGATGTACAAAGAGATCACTATGAATCCATAATGCGTCACCGCATTTTGAGCTGAAACTTTCTGTCATTTTGGTCTGAGAAACTCTTTACTCACAAGCTTCGATCATCCATGCCCAAGCCTTTCGAAATACCGAAATCCTTTCAGGAATACTTTCAGCTCGTTGTAGTTCATTGAAAGTTGATCTGTATTTGTCACGGACTGACATTTTTTGGAAAGTGAATCAAATCAAAATGACGGTGCGTAACAAGGAAGTTGAAGATAAAAATACGATCGATGGGTTAGGTGGAGAAGACAAATAGGATAGAAATAAGAGAGATAGCTTAGAACACCATATCTTCAATTCACATCGTAAGTCTAAAACAAAAAAAAACCGCAACAAGAATAAAATTGAGAGAGAAGTAATTCTAAATCACTCGGTCAAGAGTACCCGAATTAATTTGTAAACAATTATAGCATAATTGATTGTGTTGGAAATCAATAGGTTGAAAACAGACCATTGTTGGTCAAAGAATCGTGAATTTGATCAATGTTGAAAAGTAGAAATCATAACACATTTCTTCCTTTTCCGTTTTTAATATAAGTTGGGAGTTATACACCGAAAAATGTTTCATTTACGGCTATTCACTTTTCCGGTTTTCCAGCTACAGTACCGGTGAATGAGATATACAAAAACGTATTTTCCGTTAATTTTTGGTCATTTTTTTCTGTTTCAACAGTGTGGAGCTCGGCTGTCGAGTTTTCGAGCAGTTTGAAATCTCTGGAGAGTGTAAAATAGCCCTGGATTGGGCTCCTGGACGTTTCAGAACCCGACGTTTCGGAACCACGACGTTTCAGAACCCGACAGTTCAGAACCCGACAGTTCAGAACCCGACTTTTCAGAACCCGACGTTTCAGAACTTTTCTGCATTTTTGTATAGTGGTTTTTGCGCACCAGATGAGCATTGCTCATTTCAATTTTGTGTTTTTCTGCTTTTTTTTCATTCTCATCTACCGTACTCCAAATAATTATAGGTTCACACTGGGTATCTCTCAAAAAATCGAAAAAAATTGAACTTTTCAAGAACGATGTCTAGAAGTACGCAATAATTTTTCCGGCGAATAGAAGTCTCATTTTGAATGGTTTTATTAATGACATAGTTTTTTAAAAGTTCAACTTTTTCGATTTTTTGAGAGATTCCCAGTGTGAACCTATTATTTGGAGTGCGGTAGATGAGAATGAACAAAAAATTAGAAAAACACAAAATTAAAATGAGCAATGCTCATCTGGTGCGCATAAACCACTATACAAAAATGCAGAAAAGTTCTGAAACGTCGGGTTCTGAAACGTCCAGGAGCCCTGGATTGGAAGCTTTGCATTTACAATTTTTTTTGAAATGTCCTATTTCTTCAGCTATTTGCCGATTTCTGACATTTTTTGCAATACAAAAACGGTCCAAAAACGGATGTTTATAAGAAATCTGCAAATAGCTGAAAAACAAGTTTTCGAAAAGTTCTGAAAATGCAAAGTTTTAAACCCAGCTCTATTTTACACCATCTAAAATTTTCAAAGTGTTTGGAAACTTAACAACCGAGCTCCGGACTTCTGAAAATAATAGAAATGGCCGAAAATCAACTGAAAAAAGTGCTTTTGTTTATCTTATTGACCGGTACTGAATATCAAAAAAATAAGTCATTCTCTGTGATGCAAATTGTAACCTTATTCTGCATTTCTTACCTCCGAAAAAAATATTTAAAATCCACAAAATAACGGTCAAGTTGGTGCTGATGGGAAGGGGGTGCGAACCGTGAGGAACGCGGGGTTGTTCAACAGACAGATGCCTGAAGAACGGGCCTCCTGCAAGCAGAAGATTACGAGTGATAACCCATCAACGCCGGACCGTGACACCAAGAGAAATAGAAGGGGTATATATACCGATGGCTGGGGGAGCGGCCAACATTTTGAAGGGATTGATGTCAAAAGATTGGAACGGATTTCGCAATGACTACTTTGTCTGTTTCTCGACGCAATTCTTGTTGAGAACCAAATTTCTTTGGATTCTTCTACAGTATTCATCATCTTGAAAGAATAAAACATTATTCTAAACACAAACTACATGTCTAGTTGAGCTCTTGTGATAATCCAAACTTTTCCTCCACGTGCGTTCAACATGCGGTCAACATTCAGACTACACCATAGCCAATATTCATTATGATAAGGCCTCCAGATGTAGTCTTGTTCGTATCTTTTTTCCCCTTTATTTACCCATTTTTGTTCTCGATTTCTCACCAATCACTATGCCAGACGCTATTCCGAATACTGGGTTTGTTATTTCTTTTGTACGAATATTAGGATTATAATTATATTCTTCAGTTTTTTCGCCGGAAAAACAGTGTTCATCACTGGTGCCTCTCGTGGAATTGGAAAGGAAATTGCTCTGAAGTTGGCGAAAGATGGAGCAAATATTGTGGTAGCTGCAAAAACGGCAACTACTCATCCAAAATTACCGGGGACGATATACACAGCAGCAGAGGAGATTGAAAAGGTTTTGTTGAATTTTACTATTCTTTAGGAGCTCAACTCCGTATTAATTCAAGTCCTAATAAATTACATTTTGGGCTGGAGGGCATGCTCTTCCGTGTGTCGTTGATGTTCGGGATGAAGTAGCCGTGAAAGCAGCAGTTGATGCTGCTGTTAAAAGATTCGGAGGAATTGATATATTGATCAACAATGCTTCTGCCATATCCCTCACAAATACAGAAGATACTGATATGAAACGCTACGATCTGATGCATTCCATCAACACACGTGGTACATATCTTCTTACCAAAACTTGTCTGCCATATATGAAGAAAGGAAAGAATCCACATATTCTAAATATCTCTCCACCTCTTGATATGGATGCGAAATGGTTTGGACCGCATGTGGGATACACGATGGCAAAGTTCGGAATGTCGATGTGTGTCCTAGGGCATCATGAAGAATTCCGTCCGTATGGAATAGCAGTAAATGCACTATGGCCGTTGACTGCCATCTGGACATCAGCAATGGAGTTTTTGTCGCATGGTGGAGATTCAGCTGGTAACAGAAAAGCATCGATTATGTCAGACTCGGCTTATGTCATTCTCTCTCAAGATTCGAAAATGTTCACTGGAAACTTTTTGATTGATGAAGAAATTCTGAAGAAGCACGGAGTAAATGATTTCAAACAATATGAATGTGTTCCGGGAAGCTCACTCATTCCAGACTTTTTTGTTCCAGCAAAATCATATGAGGCCAGATTTGGATCAAAGTTGTAAATGTTCAGTAAATTTTTATTCGTTCAGATTGTATGAATAAAATTGATATTATTAGTTTTGTTTTTGTAATAATTGAAGTTCCACAAATGCAAAAATATCTTCTGCGATTTTGTGTCCATCTTGAAGATGATGGAATAATCCACCTTTCGGAAGATCGGTGACTCTTGTTAAATTCAGATATCTATCCTCCAAAATATCTTTAGAACACCTCCATGGTGTTTGTTTTGTGTAGCTCACAGCAGTTGGAATTCTAGCTTGGGAACTCAGCCAAACAGTCTCATAATTATAGCTGTTATCCAGAATAGTAAGGGCAGTTGGAAGAGTTTCCGTAAACCAGTAGAGATAGATTTCCGTAGCGATCTCATCAAGAGTGAAGATTTCATTCAAATTCGTATTTGCTGAGAATGTTGAAAGTTGCTTCCATCGAGATTCTATATATTGTGCAGTTCCAGTTGGAGAGTTTACAAAGGCGGCGTCTGCAATCATAATAATAAAAGTTGTCGAATTTGAATTAAGCTCTCACCAAAAGCTTTTGCATTCGTTGGATATGTAAACTTGTCCTGTTTGAAGTAATCTGCCATATCTGTATATAATTCCACTTCTTCTGCTCCTTCCTTCTTATCATCTTGTTTCATGGCTTTCCATGCATATTTCGCAAAAGTAAATGTCGAGAATGTAGGTCTAACGAAAGGATTCGATACATGTAATCCAGCAATCCTTGTTGGAAACAGAGAAGCCAGAAGAGTTGCCACGTCACCACCGTATCCTTCTGTTCCATGCACAAAGTAGTCGTTCAAATCCAGACGGTGCATAAGTTTGCCCAAAATTCTGGCAGTTGCAATACCGTCGAATCCTTGTTTTGTTGGTTTATCGGAGAAGAGAAAACCAGGAAGACTGGGGACAATCACATCAAACTGAATGGGTTCATCTACTCCGAAGTCAAACCCATGGCGAGATGGATTCGTAAGGATCGGGATGATCTGAAAAAGGATATTTTTTTTAATCCGGAACCAATATAATAAATCTATATAGAATACCTTGAAAAAATCCCAAAAACTTCCTGGGAATCCATGAATTATCAACAAGGGAACCACTCGTGTCTTTTTGTCTTTAAATGGAGTTGAGACACGAAGAAAATGAATTTTGAGTCCTTCGATTTCAGTTCTGTACTGCTTGAACGTATTCAAAAAATGTTGGTGTTGTTTCCAATCGAATCCGAGTAACACTTGCTTCAGCTCTTTCATATAATTGTCGTATTTCTCATCGTAAAGAGTTGGAAGCAGCTTTTCCGATTTCAGTTGTTTTTTGAACTTCGAAACTCTGTAATTTCTAGGTTTTGCAATAAAGCGAGCTATTATACTTACCTCGAATCCTCCACATCAATGGAATAAGAGTAAATCGTGTCATCATCTTTTTCAGGGTCTTCTAACTTCCAATAATCATCTGGTTCAATTTCTAGCGGAGGAAAGTCTGGCTTGTGGACATAAAAACTCAAAAGAATAGAAAATATGGAGATGATGATAACCGAAAGGAAGAACCAGGAACTCATTTCTAAGAAAATCAATGAATGAGGAATGAGTGACCTGGCAAGTAATGGTTGAGTTGGTCAAACAATGTGCCAAAGAAGATTGACCCGAGAGCCGATTGGGGAAACGGAAAAGAAGGAGAAGGAGAGGAGAAGAAGGAGAAGGAGATGAAGGAGAACTGTTGACTTTAGAAGAGTTAATCGCAGTGTGTGCTCTTTTTGTAGTAGGTTGAGGTGACAAAGCACAAAAAATTATAAATGTTCATTCGAGAAATATTTATTCCATTAAAACCCATAAAACGAGATCTCAAACTTCAATTATTTATTGCTCCAGTCATGAAGACACCCGCTTTTTTCGTTTGACTACCACATATTCATCTACTATATGATCCTCAAAATTGTAACTGAAAATCATGTAATTTAAAAAGTTTCAACAAGGAAAACAAAAAACGAAAAACTCACAACTTCGGCCGAGATCCAATTTTCAATTCTTCTGCTACTTCCTCTTCTACTTCCTCTTCGAAGTCCTCATCCACATCTTCGAATTCTTCGTGTCTCAAATCAATTGATCTATCTTTTCCACGATTTAGACGATTCCAATAACCAGGTCGTGGCCCTGATAAATAATTATATCGTTGCGAAATTCGTGAAACAAACACTTACAGTTATGTCCCCAGTAGTTGCTGCTTTGAAATGACTTTTTAAAGAATACCAAATAGTTTTTTGGAGCTCTCAGAATAATGTAAGAAGCTACTGGCCTAGATGGCTCGGGATCTTTTTCATCCTGATCTTTGCTTAGATAATTATGATATGACTGTCCAAGAATCGAATTCACAGACTTCAGAATATATTCGTCATTGTCGTTCAAATAGTGGATCCTCTTTATTGGATAAAAACCTTTAAAGTTGTGTGCTCGTGGTCCATAAAAAAAGATTTCAGATGAACCAGATCTAGAAGTAACTCTTTCTTCGAACATTACAATCCAATCGGGATTCAATTTTTTCAGATCACTAAGCAAATCAGCTCCAATTGAATCTTCAGCCTCCCATCGACGGTTTTTATTGAGGGAATAGAAAATACTGGAATCGAAATCATCGCATTGCTTTCCAGAACAAAACGTAGTTTTCTCTGGGAAAAAGTTGGTCTTAATGATGAATGCGTGAGTTTTCAGATGAGAGAGGCAGTACTCCGCTAGAGCACTTCTGATTCTGTATTTATCTGCTGATGGACCGCTATGCTTCTTCCTGAAAATTTGGTTAATTGGTTAAAATTGAGAAATACTCACCAGAAATAAAGATCTTCCATTTTGAGCTGCTTCGAAGTCTGCAATCGACAATCCGCCTTTTTATTCTTGTGTTGTTGGACAACATTTCGCAACCAAGAATTGAATGTTGACCAATATGTTGATGAGTAATTCCAGGAGGCGATTCTTATCAGGAAATCATAACTTCAGAATTGACCAAAAAAAATTCAAAACGGAAACAGGTCTAACTAATGAAAGTAGATATTATGTGTACATTTAATTAAAAAAGTCTTCAAGAAATTAGAAATCGAATCCAGCCGTGGATCTAGACCCTCTCAATTGTTTGTTTCGGCTAATGAGTCATGACCATAATCGAAATGAAGTTTTCCTTAGTTTTACAAGTTTGTAGCCGCTAGAAATCGATGAGTACCACTGAAATGCCGTATTGGTTCTACGATTGGGCAATGAGGATACTTTTTGAATTTCGAATATCGACTTACTAGGAAACTATCTGAGCCGGATTCCAAGTTACACTTTATGACCTATATCATTAGAATGAAAACCGTCACGTAAATTATTTGCAATGAAAACCGTCACGTAAATTTTCAATGCAAAATCAACACATAAAATATCTTGTGACCTAATTTTCTCGAAGCACACCGCCGTTTCGCAAAAACAGAAAACACATTCCGAATCAGAATTTTGTGGGTTTCTAATGATATAGGTCATGAAGTGTAACTTGGAATCCCGCTCAGATAGTTCTCTAGTTAGTACTTCAACTTTCAACTTTCAACCTAAACCTGACCATGGCCCGCTATACAGCCGCGTTTTTGGGCAAGTTCCAAACAGAACCTGGCCATTATCTGTCTAAAAGCCGAAGTCCTCTTAATTGCTGACCAGAAGTTCCAAGAGGGCTACCGAAGAGGTATTATTACGATCGTTACGAATTCGCGAAACAGAAATCACTGAAAAATCGGCTTTTCAAATCCGACTATCCGACAATAATCAAGTGTTTTGTATGTGAATTATTACGTGACCTTTGATCTGAATAGATAACTTTAGTTAGATTATACGTGACCTTTGATCTGAATAGATAACTTTAGTTAGCTTAGCAGTCATACAAGAACGCTCTTGTCTTTAAAAAATGACAACTGAAGCAAAAGGAAAACTTTTGGGTGTCATTGGAGATCACGACACAGTTGTTGGATTCATGCTTGGAGGAATTGGGGAGATCAACCATGTTATAGCTTATTTAATTATGGACTAAAAAATGTAATATTTCCAGGCTCGCAAACCCAACTACTTTATTGTAGAGAAGAGTACTGTCGATCAAGAGATTGAGGCAACTTTCAACGCATTCTGTGCTCGCGATGACATTGCTATAATTCTGATTAACCAGCATATTGCTGAAAGAATCCGCCGAGCTGTGAGAACATTTTTGATGATAACTATAGAAAATCGATTTTAAAAGCCAGGTCGACCAATACACTCAACTTCGACATTCTAGTGTAGCAGTGTTAGAGATTCCATCAAAGGAAGCTCCATACGATCCGTCGAAGGTGAGGGTTGATTTTATTTTCTTTGGCGAATTTTAATTTGTTTCAGGACAGTATTCTCAACAGAGCTCGTGGCTTGTACAACCCTGAAGATTTCCGCTAGATTCTTGGTTACTGTTTCAACTATCACTTCTTGTTTAAAAAAATATAAAATCCTTATAAAAATATTTCATTGGACACTATACAATACATTGGACACTATACTACCTCGTATTTAAAAAATGTGTTGTTTCTGATGTACATGCTAAATAGGTTCTTTAGAGTTTTTGGACGGAATCTTCGAATTTTTTTGTGGCTTGCATGACTTCGTCGTCTTTGTCGTAGTATCTGAAATGGTCAATTTATGATTAGCTCACAATCGAATGATTCTGGTGATTAACCTTTGTTTCATTGCGCGATACTTTCGAAGCGAATATAATGCTTGGATTTCTTTAATTACAAATTCGCCCCGTGCAATAAGTTGCTCGATTTGGGCCTCATCTCGAACTTCCTGAAATTTCTTGGTTTTTGAGCTCTTCCAATTCTTCTAGGACCCACTTTATTTTTTGAAAACGCCAGTTTGAGACGATCATGAAACCATTTCGAACCGCCAGGATATTCTTTTCCCATGTGATACAAGTTTTTGTACAAATCAACGACTCGATGTCTCAATGACATTTCTAAAAACTTTTTCCAGCTTTTGTTAAAATATGTGCCGTTTTTTTTCAGATATGCATTTAGGTTAGTTTCCGTTTACAGACTGCGACAGAAAACAGAACACCCACTTTATATTTCAAAAAAAATTGAATAATCCAACTCAAATCAATCGAATAAATAATAAACAAAAAACAATGTTTTGATTGGATAGAAAGAGAGAATTGAAAAGAAACAGGGCTTAAATACGGAAATTACTGTTCAGGGTAACATGATAAACGAAAAAACTGTAATATTTCTCTAAGAAATACAAAAGAAAAGTTATATCACTCATACCACAACGGATACAACTGTGAAAAAATAAGACGCGAGGGAAGATGAACAGGGGAAAGAGAAATGTGCGAAGGAAGCGATAGACCGGCTGAAAACGAAAAACGGGACGAAAAAGTGACACTGAATTCATTCACTAATTTACTCAATAACTTTGAGAACCTTTCCGATGGCGATGGTTTTTCCTTCATCTCTGAGAGTGAATCTTCCAAGGTATGGGAACTCCTTGAAAGGCTCGAGAACGAATGATTCAGCGCTTTCTAGCCTCATGATACATTTTTCGTCCTGCTTGACGAACTTTGCGCGCTTCTTCTCGCCAGTCTTCTTATCAATTGTGGCAATGACTCCCTAAAAATACAACGATGATGTAATTAACAGATTTTGGTAAAAACAAAAATACCTTCACTGTGACTTCCTCTACAGCAGACTGGATGTGAAGTACACACGAGTATCCAGACGCAATGATTGATTTGTGCTCGAGCACTAGAACCTCGGCATCGAAGATGCGTCCTGTTTTAGCAAGTGAATCAGGAGAGCAAATGATGAATCCTGCCTGCAACTCGCTCTCTTCAATTCCCTTCAGCTTGAATTTAATGTTATCGCCAGCGACGACACGATCAGTCTCCACATCATCTGCCCAAATTTGTAGAACTTGAACTGGTTGCTTATTTGGCATGACAACAAGAGTATCTCCCTTTTGAACACATCCGGATTCCATCTTTCCAATGATGACAGTTCCCATTTCAGAATACTTTTCACAAACGATACACCGAACTGGTCCATTAAAATCGCGCTTGAATGATGGAAGCAGCTCATCAATAAATTCAATGAAGCATGGTCCAGTGTACCAACTTCCTTCTGTTGCAGACGGTCTGTCCTTGATGAATGAACCAGTAAGTCCAGAGCATGGAATGTATGTGATATCAGTTTTTGGATTGAAACCGAGCTTTCTAAGATATGGGGTGAGCTTTCCTTCGATTTCTTTGAATCTCTCCTCCTCCCATTTAACGGTTGGGTCGTCCATTTTGTTAACCAGAATGACAAGATGTTTCACACCAGCGGTTTTCACAAGCATAGAATGCTCACGAGTTTGACCTCCACGGTCGAATCCAGTTTCGAACTCTCCTCGGCGAGCAGAGATAACCTGAAAATAGATTTCAAAGAATGACATCATCTCTAGAATTCTCACCAAAACGGCCAAATCTGCTTGAGTAGCTCCAGCGATCATATTTGGAACGAAAGACTTGTGACCTGGTGCATCAAGAATAGTGAAATGACGCTTTTCGGTTTCAAAGTAAGCACGTCCAACTTCTACTGTCTTTCCCTTTTCTCTTTCCTCATCATTTGTGTCCATGCACCAAGACAGATACCAACTCTCACGTCCTTTTTCTTTGGCTTCTCTCTCATACTTTTCCAATGTCCGTTTGTCAACCATTCCAGTCAAGAACATAAGTTGACCTCCAATTGTTGATTTTCCAGCATCGACGTGTCCAACGAAAACAATGTTGATATGCTCCTTATGGGATCCATCATCAACGTAGACAGTCCGTTGAAACTTTTTGGCGAGAGGTGCAATTACATCTTCTTCTGGTGTTGGCTGAAAAAAATTTTTTGTTGAAATTAGTTGTTGCTCTCTTGGATCTGATGATTTTTAATTATTGATATAAGGAGAAATACTTAAGTAGTTGAATATGTCAAAAATTTTATCACCTCCTTCTTTGGTGGTGCGGACTCAGCAACAGGTGCAGCAGGAGTAGGTTCTTCAACCGGCGATGAGACAGTTTCTTGTTGTGCTGGAACTGGTGATGGATCAGCTTGCTCTTCCCAATCTGAATTTTCAATAAATAAAATGAGCGGGAAATATGATATACCTTCTGCTGGTTCCACGATTGGCTGTTCGGGAGTTGGTGGTGTGTATGGCTGTCCAGGTACAAATGGCCGAGCGTTTGGGTTCGGAACGAACGAGTTTGCGTTTACGTTCCAGTTTGACATATTTAGCTGCAAAAGTGAATGGTGTGAGCCAGTATGAACAAGTTATGAATAATAATGATGAGAAAATTCGGTAAGAACAAAAATAGATACTGTTGAACAACAAACTAAATTAACTCGAACCGACGCCTTCGCCAACGAAGTTCTGAAACTGCAGGTTGACTTTGGACCTAAAACGGGGGTAGAAAAATGGATTACATAACTAGTATGAAAATTTCAACATTTTATTATGAAGTACATGATGTACCGATCATCAAATTATTAAAAAAACATCCATAAATGTGCATTTTGAACCATTTTTATTCACACTTTTGCGCAGAATTACACAACCTCAAGGGGCGGGGTCAATTTTGCAATGCGCCGCACGCAACTTTTGCAATGGTGCAGCACGGTTCATTGGGTCACCACCGCGGTGTTGTTTTTTATTTGAATTGTAGAGGCGGAATTCTTATGAAACTCATCGCGTGCTCCGGCTTATTGATTTGAGCATCCGATCGGAATATTGAACTTTTTTGATTGTATGTATCCTAAAAATTATAATAGTTTTTGCCTTCATTTACACTGAGCAGAGAATTAAATGCTGTTTACATGTTCGGTATAGTCTGAAAAACGTATATACCACATAAACATTTTCTGTGAAAAAAGTAATTTTGACTCTATTTGAAGGCTCAAAACCGATCGATTTTCATTTTCCTCGCCAAATCCCACCTCGTGAGTTGTCTGCTCCTTTTCTCCATGTTTCTTCTCTCTTCTTGTAACGCCTTACTGGAAAATAACTGTTTCCTTGTTTTAGTGTTAGTTTGGCAACATAAGTTTTGTTTTCTACATATGTTCGCTTATTATTCGTTAAATGTACTATTCAGTCTTATGAATTTCAAAAATCGATATTTGCAGACACGCATACTGGGTTGATTGCCTATAGGAATCACTCTGGTTTTTTTTAATCACACACTTGTTTAACTGCTGCGAGGGCAAGTGTAGCTAACGTGCGAGACGAATCTACACAACAAAAGCTAACTGAACAATGTGCTCGCCGGATCCCGAAGATATGCATATCTTAACCAATGATATCCCCTCATTTGATAAAAGCCTCGATCCCTATGGACCAGAAGGCCATTTGGCCCTGGATATCGAGAGATTTTCCTCGTTTATGAATAAACCAGACAGTCGAATTATGTCCAAACCAGTGATCGTTCGAGGAATCCCTTGGCGCATCTTGGCTATTTGCAGGTCTGTTGTGACATCTATTTATCAATAGTTGGAAGATATTTATTTGCAGACACCAACAGAACAACCGCCAGGTTGCGACTTCACGATCTCGTAACAACTACAATTTCGGGTTCTTCCTACAGTGCAACAACGATGATCTACTGCAGAAACGAGGAATGTGGAGGTGCTATGGACAAGCTACTCTTGAAGTGCTGAACGCCAACGGACCGCCAATACAGAAGAAAATTCATCACTCGTTTCACAATACCGAAGTTGACTGGGGATTTTCAAATTATGATCAGTATGATACATTAACGAGCCCTAAAGACGGATACGTTATTGATGATGTGATCAGATTGCGGTGCCGTTTCACTGCCGATGTTCCAACTGGAGCTAATTACATGTAAGAACCTGGTTTGTCTATCATTATCACTTTTGCCAATTTCAGGTGGGATAGCAAAAAACACACCGGGTGTATTGGATTGCGAAACCAAGGAGCTACTTGTTATATGAATTCGATATTGCAATCGTTCTACTTCACGACTGGTTTCCGCCGCGCTGTATATAATATGGAAGTTGGTACAGAACCGAATGAAAGCAACATTGTGCTCGCCATGCAAAGAGTTTTCTATGAACTTCAAATGTCTAGTGAAGCAGTCGAAACAAATAGTTTGACACGAGCATTCGGTTGGGACAAGCTTGACGCCTTCAATCAGCACGATGTTCAAGAGTTTTGTCGAGTTCTCCTCGATAACCTGGAAACAAAAATGAAAGGAACATCTGAAGAAAAATCGATCCCCAATCTATTCCGTGGAAATATGAAATCATATATCAAGTGCCTTGATGTAGATTATGAGAGCTCACGAACTGAGTCTTTCTATGATGTACAGCTCAACGTTTTGGGAATGGATAGTTGTAAGTGATTTTATTTCAAAAATTTTGAACAGATTTTGAGTAATCAAAGACATTTTCAGTAGAACGTGCTTTCGACGCGTATACCACACCTGAAACACTTGATGATGATAATAAATATGATGCTGGAGATCACGGTCTACAACGAGCTGAGAAAGGAGTCAAATTTGTTGAATTACCACCAGTGCTACATGTGCAGTTGATGCGTTTCCAATATTGTGGTGTGGAGCAAAAGATCAACGAACGGTTTTCGTTTCCGGAGAAAATGAATCTTTCGAACTGTTGCGAACTTGGACCGATGCTCAATGAGGAGGACTGTGTTTATAGTCTACATGCCGTCCTTGTACACAGTGGGGAATTCCACGGCGGACACTACGTCACCTACATAAATGTCAACCTGCATGAATCGGCAGTCGATCCAACGGCAACCGCGAAATGGTGCAAGTTCGATGACGACGTAGTTTCGAGAACAACGACAGACGACGCCATTGTCAGTAATTTTGGAGGTGAAAAGGCTATGAACTCGTCTGCTTACATGCTCGTCTATGTTCGAGATAATGCTATTGATCAGGTTTTGGCTCCGATTCCTGACACGCAGATTCCGCAATCCGTGTCTCGTACTTTTGAAATGGAACGAATGCATCGTAATCGTGAGAAAAAGAAACAGGAAGAAGAACAGATGTGTATGAGTATTACTCTTGTAACTCCAGACATTCTCGCGACAAATCACTCGTTTGATCTAATTGAACCAGTTACTATCACCGACGTTCTCCCACATGAGACTGTATACAAGCACATGGTGACCGCAGAACTCTACCAATTCGTGCAAGAGAAGCTTTTCGAAAAAAGCACCTTGCCAAAAGTTGACATGTTCGATTCGGATGATGAAACCAGAATGAAGAGAAAAGAGATTCTACGTCGTTTGAAGACGAAAAAGTTTGGTTTCCGACTATGGAGGATGACTGACTCATACACAGTAGACAAACCCCAGAAAATGGCATCGAGATTGAGACCAAGTGATGTGAGTTTTCGTTTTTTCGAATTTTGCCAATACCCCATTTTTGTTGATTAACTATTGCCGAAAATTCTTTTGCTGAGTCCTACATTGGTTTTGATTTTAGATGATCAGAGAATGATCATTCAAAAATTCAGTATTTTTGGTAATTTCTTTACGACACTATGATATGAGCACCCCAACCTTTTTTGAATCAGCTAGTTTTCAAACAATTTGATAGACTAATAACGTAATACTTCTAAAATCCTTTCAGTTTATCGAGTACAGCATCGATACTCGCTTGGATCATACCTTGAGCCACGATACTGAGACAATCTACGTTGAACATTCTCAGTTTCTTCAGCCACTAAACGAGTACTTGCCAACCCGTAAGAATAGATGCTGAAAGCATACATTCACATAGAATTTTGCAGGTGATATCTTATTCTTTTTGAAGTACTACGATGCAATCACCGACAAATTCACCATCATTGGACACGTCACTCTGGATTCTCACAAAAGATTGAACTTATATCGCATGACGTTCTGTGATCTACTTGGGTTGCCGAAAGACACCGAACTGAAGTATTACATTGAGCACGCGCCAAATCATGTCGAACAAATCGATGATCCTAATAGAAGCACAATCAGCAGACTTGTGGACGATCAGGATGGTGCCATAGTAATTGTAGAGAAAGCCGATCCAACTGCGAAAAAAGACGCTAAAACAAAAATGATCGAGTTGTACAATGATGTTGAATTTGAGTTTTCTCAACAGTTCTATAGCAAAATGCCAAATGAGGAACCATTTGAGCTATTCACTAAAAGATTCTGCCTCGAACAAAAGTTGACTGACGTAACGGAATTCATCGGATCCGAATTGAATGTCGACCCCAGAAATGTAATGTTGTGGACTCGTGTCTCTGGTAGCCGCTTCGAACCGAACTTCGACGATTACGCTGTCACGGGGATCCAGTGCAAATATTTGACATTGAGAACGCTACATGATCCTAGACAACATAAAAAATATAGTGTCTCATATGCGATCTTCCCGTTCCCAGTCAATGAAGTGCATACCACACGTATGTTCGTCCGACTTTACCGGCAGATGCCCAACGGAAATGTAGAAGAACTGAATTTGTTCCCGCCAAAGGATGGAACTGTGACAGATCTCATCGCAGAAGCCAAACGATATTATCCATCTGTAGAAGGCGGATCCGGAAAGTTCAGGTAAATTCATACACTCAGTTTAAGGCCTATTCAAAATTAATATTCTAGACTTCTTCAAATCGGAACTTCACCTCTCAACAACCAACGTGTCTTTCAAATCTACAACGAAAATACGGCGATTGTTGATCTTGATCAAAGACCAGTATATAAGCAGGTTTGTGACAAATTGTGGTACGTAAATTTCTGATGTATTCAGCAGGCTCAACACACACTTAACTGTCGTATCGAAGAAATTCCTCACGATGAGTTGGACGTTGCTCAGGGAGAGTTCTTCTGTCCAGTGGTTCATTACGATCGTGAGCCAACGAAACTTTTCGGAGTTTCGTTCGTCATCAAGATTCGCAACGGGGAACTGATGACTGACGTGCGTGATCGTCTTCGTAGAAAGCTGCCCGATGTTTCGGATGCTGAGTTCGCGAAGTACAAGTTCGCTTTGTTGAGCAGAGACAAGGTATTAAATTAATTCGATATACTGTTTATGATGTCCCGATAGTTGCAGCTTTGTCGCAATATTGAATTCAATGCCGGCGAGAAGGTCAATCTCATGGACATGGCAAATCAGACCACTGGAGGTAGGACGGTTTTTTTTTCTTTAATAAAATACACTGCTGTTGTTTCAGTTCCTCAAGTCTACATAGGATTGGATCACAAATCACCATCCCAACATTCTAATGAAGCTGCCATACGAATTCTGAACTGACCCATTTTCCCGTCTTGTCGAATTTATTCTTTCTCCCACGTGCAATCTCTTCCTCTTCTTTTCTCGCTCTCTCCCTTTTCGAATGATTACGGTCAATGGGTGATTCTAATTTAAATATGTTAATTTCCTAATGTTTTATATTCATCTCTACCTGGGTCTATCTCCATCCTCCTCCTCCTCCGCAACCTATATAGGTTCTTTTAAAGTTTCTCGTCATCCTTTTTTTTGTGTTCCTCCCTGTTTTCTGGTGGTCCCCGTAATTTATTTGGCCATGTCGTCCCGTATTGATAGGAAGGTGCTGGCACCTTTTTTCTTTCATAAAGACCCGTGCTTTTTCTCTTCCTGATCATCCCCACTTAACTACTATGATTACTCCTGTTGTTTCAGATTTGAGTGGTGATTTGGTGAGTTCAGTTTCGGTAAGCAGTTTTTACTGTTCATTGGACCCCCCAATTGTCAATAAAACCGCTTTAACGTTTAGTTTTTCAGTACATCTGTTATTGATACCACGAACAAATCCTTCTAAATAGCTATATATTTTTTCTGAATTCATTCAAAGGTTTCAAATTATGTAACTGTAAATATTTCAGGAAAAATCTCTCCGCAATTTAAGATGAAACCTTCGTCTAGATTCTCCAATTGTTGCTATCCCTGTCCCCCCCCCCTCACTCATATTTGATATTCCCCATTTGAAGCTAGTAGCCTTGGCGATATCTATAAATAATACTCAAGACATATATTCGTGTTATTTGTAATCATAATTCATCCAAATAAATCGATAGTTGTAATTTACAAGAAAATAAATGTGAGAAAATACATACGGAAAAAAAATGTACAGGAATCAATAAAATCATGGAACAAGAAGGGTTTCTTTTGAGATTAGTAGGTTAGACTTATTCGTCGTCGAACTCTGGACCAGCGGCTTTTGCAGTCATGCGTGTTGTACGCTTCTTAACTGGGTCACTTTTTGGTACAAGAAGTGGCTTGAGATCCTCGGTTTTCAGATGCTCGACGGATGAAGCAGTACGCTTTCTTTTCATTGGGGACACGTTGGTGAGAGTTTTCAAACGCTGAAAAGTTGAAATTCGGAATAGGAGAGAGACAACGAGACACTTGCCAAGTATTCCAAATAAAGGCATTCGTCGAATTTTCCAGACAGTTCAGTGCGTTCCAAAGTGATGTTGCGTTGAAGCGCAAAGCTGAGAACAAGTTCTTTCTCGCAAACTTCCTCTATATGGAGACCGCTTTCCGAGAACAGAGCGCTGCAAGGAATTGCTCCACTTATTCATTTTTCCACTTGAACCAAAAAAGTTTCAACTAAATTAGAATTAACAAAAATGACCAACTAGTGAGGTGATGGAAGAATTTCGGAATTTCTGCCAAATCGGGGTATTTCAGAATTATCTAAGAAACTAAACGATTTTATCTCAAATTAAGAGAGCTGAACGCTTATAAACCCTCAAAAACCCAGAAAGTGGTACATGACATCCAGGCCATCAGCTTGTCATTTCTGACTTTTTAAAAAAGTCAACGCTTAATTTTTCGGAGTTCTTAACAAAAGTGTGCCCCAACCTCCATTTCTCTTCAACCAGTGTCTTGCTGACTTTGAGTAATTCGGTGCGTTCTGGAAGAGTGCAGACTCTTTCGTAGACGACATCCTTATCGTCTTTCACACCTTGAAACTTTGATTAATGGGTGAATGGAAAATGAAACTGAATCACTTACCAAGAGTTTTAGTCTTGGGGATCCAGTAGATGTACCATTTTTTGAAGTTGTGCTCGCGATCGTAGACCAAAATCGACATCTGAATTCAGATTGTATTCAGAATATTTCGGTCATAAAAAAAAGGTCGTGAGATACTTCAAAGTTGGTACAATTTAAGAAATATGATAAAGGTTCAGGAATTGTTTAGATTTTATTCACACCGATTTTTTGTGTCAAGCTTCGAGACAAAGAACTGGAGATTGTGTAGAAAAAAGAAACGGAATTGAGGTATATGGCAAGGCACTAGTCAAAATGGCACTATTTTTGAAAAATGTGGAGCAAATTGTGTGTGGCGAGAAGAGTTGAGAAAACCGTAATACATGAAAATATGAATAAGGAGATATATAATAAGAAAATATGTCAACGTGCAATAGAGAAAGTTAAGAAGGGTATTTTGAAAACTAAGGGGCATGCTATAAAACTATTTAAGGGGAACTTCAGATGATCACAGTTTGATTAGTGGCAGATGGAACTCCGAAGTTGAGAATGTACCAGTCATGACCGTACATGAGAATGGCAAGTGGCTGACCAACAATCAACGAGAGCCAAACAATTATGTTTCCTAAAAACATGTTTTTCGGGGCAGGACCATCGAAGGTATTACTGTACTTGAGAAAAAAAAACCAACCTGTTCTTCCGCCTCGTACGATTTTATCAGTGATGTAGGACAATGGAATCTGACCCATCATTCCGTAGTACGACCATAACCGGAACATCTTCAATGGCACTGATACTAGATATTCGTGGAAGAACGCCGACACGAAGAACACAACGAAAAATGCACTCATTTTGGTGAAGTTGTTCCTCATCATTGGACTGTAAATGTGGCGAACCGCAAAGCGATGAACTGGAATATTCCAGGACTTCCAGAAATAGGAAATGGTTTCGGAATTCCAGAAGTCACGATAGAACTCTCGATCGGCAAATCGCAGAAGTTCAGCAACCAAATTCAGGAAAGAGTGGAAGAATGTATAGAAGAAGAGAAGCCAAATGAGATGATTTGGAATAGCAAGCTTCAGAAGACGTTCCAAACATCTCGAGTATTCCATCTCGCTCAGTGGCTTCATACTGTTTCGGACAGTCGGAACAACCCATTGTTGAACAAGAGCGGCTATAAGAAAAGATAGGAAGATCAGCTCGACAGTTCTCTTGATCAAAAAGTGTTTGCGGATCCTGAGTGTTCTTGGAAACTTGAATTCGTAGCAGAGGGTAGGTGCCGCCATGAAATAATAGATATTCGAAAACGACAAATTGGATGGATAAGCAGCGGCCATTTGGTGCATCGACAGCTCATCCTTCAAATCCCAAAACTGTTTTGGATCGCATGTCTTCTTAGCCAAATCGGTTACTTGAGTCTTCAGCTCGGTTATCTTTCGTCGCGCATCACGTGCCCAGTAGTTTACATGTCCGTATGAGATAAACTTCAGAGCTTCGATAACATACACTCCCATCATTCCAACTGACCATAATGGATTCTTCCACTGAAAGTGTAAATTCAATGTAAAAAAATATTTGGGTAAACAACGAACCGTATGTGTGAGGGTAACAACTACGGGGATCGTGAGATGGACGATCACAAGGACTGTGTAGAATACTGCGGCGAATGCATTGCCCAGCCATCCACGCTCTGGAAACAAAGGAATTTTCAAAAAAAAAGTTTCGAATTTTAGGAGAGAAAACATGGTAACGGAGAAAGTGAGGAGTGCGAGGTGTGTGTTGTTGTTATTCTGTCTGGACAGCGCACGTGACTGCCAAAGAAAAATGGGAGAAGGCGGAGACTATGTGTACAAGTGTGCGATGCTGAAGAGCGCAGTTGCCTAGATTTGATAAGGAATCTTATACATATAATAGATTTGAGCTAGGTTGGTTGACATGAATCAGATTCATATAAAGCTCATCAATGAATTATGTAAATCCAATTACCAAGGACCTTCTCAACTCCGAGGACTAGAACAATTTGAATGTTGGAGCAGAGAATGAGAGCAAGATTCGGCCAACTCCAGATCGAGTAGTTGTGCTCGACGAACGTGGACATCCATTGGAGTGGAGTTATCAATATACCGTACTTTATCACATTTTCCAGAGCAACACGGCCGTTTGAGAGCACCTAGAACATTGAAGAATTGGAGTTCTATTCCATTGAAAATTCTCTACTTACCAGCAGCAATATGGACAAGTTGAAAAAACCACGGAAATTCGTCCAACCTGAACTGGTGGAGAATAGTGAATCTTGAGCAGTGTGAACTACTTTTTCGCATGGTCTAGAACTTTTTTGGGATTGGAAACATTATTTTGTTTGAGTAATTTTTACCCTCTCAATTCAGAACTTTTTCTGGAAGAATTTCCGTTCTGTGCGAAAGAAGAACGCCTGCTAGCTAATGAGCCATTTGAAGATTCTGAAGGCTGTCGTCGCCGCCGCCCCTGAAACGTTTAAACGGAACTTGTTGGTTGAAAACCGAGCAACGAACTGTTTGGTGTCGCATCGACATCGCGACGAGGTTTTATCTGAAATTTCAAAGAGCTTGTAAAAAATTAAAATCTAAATAGGTGAATATTCATTCAGAATGCAAGATTCAGGTTAAAAGTTTATAAGAAAAAGGACGAATAACAAGTTTGTGTCTGACGTGCCTACGGTTGTTTGTTGCATATTTATCGAATCAAGATAAGAGACAACGGCGTCTCGCGCCTCTCATTGTGTTGCGATATATCAGTTGTTTGGAACGATCGGTGCACTTTTCGCCAGCAACACTAACTTCATGATGTCCAGAAAACAATCAGAAACTAATTTTATATTCAATGCAGTTAAGTGAAGGAGAATAGTAGGAACTGTATAACTTTCTTCCGCCGCTTCATTGTAAAGAAAAAACTTGTTCTGATATCTCTCATCCGATCACAGAAGGTAATCAATGATGCCAACAGACCGTATTCGCGCACAAGCATAAAAGAGATAATGTGAAACGAAAAACATCCGAAAGTTCTTTATCTTTTCATCACTCTTATGAAGAACATAATCTGAGGAAAGGTCACAATCTATACGAGCTCCGAGAAAGAAAGAATATCGATGAAATTATAAAATAAAACTACAAAAAAAAATCCGGTGGGCGATTTAAGAAAAGTTTTGGGGATGACGAAGAGAAAACGAAGGATGTCTAATGAACATTATTTGAAGGAGTCGTTTAATGGTCGTCGACCTTGTCGGCACGTCGGAGAACCTGAAAATGTGAATTTACATGTCAACACATGATTTCAAAAGTATTACCTTGTAGTCCTTGAATCTGTTCTCAATCTCTGCAGTTTCGTTGAGTCCGATGTTGCATGGGTCAGGAATTCTGTTTTGGTAACGAAGATCGTAGAAGTGAGCTGGGAAGTACTCGACAAAGTGTTGACGATCGAAATGCTCGACTGGTGGGGCCTTAGCCCACTTCTCCTCTACCTGAAACGTATTTAATAAGAGGAAAATTCGGAACACCAATATTATTTACCTTCTTGGCCTCTTGAAGTCCGTCAGCAACCTTGACGTCGTGGAGCTTGATGCGGGCGTTGTTGTACTCGACCCATTGGTCAACCTCCTTCAAGTAATCGGCTGGAACCTCTCCATATGGGATCTTCACAGCCTCATACTGCTTCTGGAGAGAATCGAGAACAGCAGAGTGAGCTGGAAGAGCCTTCTTCAAAGCGGCGAAGTCGATCTTTGGAAGATCGGCTGGGAGCTGGCTGACGGCGGATTGGAAAGTTCCGCTGACTCCCTTGACGCGGGTGAGCTCGGCAGCGTGCTCTGGGACCAAACGCTCGGCTGCAATTGCGAAAGTCAGTCTTGTTTCACTAGAGAAAATCCTTACCGAGCTTGGACCAGTTGACAGATGACGTCGCTACCCTTTTGGCGGCTCCGGACATACCTGAAGTGATGAAAAATTATCAAAAGATGATAAAAAATCAATAAATCAACGACGAATTCCTATTTTATGAAAAATATTATTAACAAATGAGAAAGAAAATGAAATAACGGAAAATATGTGAAGTGGGCTGTGAAATTTCATTTTATTGAACAAAAATGCGAAATTTTTAGAGTTGAAAACCTCGAAAATCGGAAAAAATGAACAATTTTTTCAGTGGGCGGAGTCAAACGCAAACGCCCGTAGACAAATGCAACCCGCCGCATGGTTTTTCTCGGATTTTTCATCGGCCATCTGCTTTTCCTCGGCCGTCACGAGGAAGCTCGGCCATTTTGTTTTTCAACTTTTTTTCAGCATTTTTCCCCAGTTTCAGTAAATTGTTTTCTTTAATTTCTTCACCAGTTCTTCTAAATACCATATAGATCTCGATAAAAATGTTTTTATCTCTTTTTTTCAGAGATAATAATGAACGTGCAGCAGGAACTGGAAGAGCTGATGCTCACATACGAAGGAGTTTGTGCTATCTTCATTACGGATCACGATGGTGGACTAATTTTGAACGTTGGTAAGTCTAGATAACGTGCTAAGTCGTTCACCGAGTCATTCTGAATTCTCACAGGTCTTCCTGCTTCGTTGGATAACTCAAGGTTCAGACAGCAACTGATCGTTAGTCATGTGACAACCATTCCACAAATCCATAAATTGAGCATGGGTGAGTATACGGGTGTCAAAATCTTGATTATAAACGTTCTATAAAGTTTCAGGAGGCCATCAGACGACGTTTGCGATGTATGAATCGCACCAGATCGCTATACACTCGCTTGCAAAGTACTACTTTATCGTTCACGCTGGATGCAACACCAACACTGGAGCAATGCTTGCACTGCGTGAAAAGCTGGCTCCGATTGCGAACTATATGATGTCTGTCTGCCCACCAATTGATGGAGATGGTTTGATGCCACCACCATCTTATCCTTCTGCCGCTGTTCCACCACCAGATTTCGACCAGCTTTAGTTTTCACATTTACAAACGAATATCTGTTTCATCCATTCTCTTGTGATCCCGTTTGAATTTTCAGCGAAGTTTTTGTCGATTCCGAATTCTCACCTAACCATTCATATTTCTAATTTCCAATATTTCAATCAAAATCCTTGTAAAAATCGCATGGCCCGTTCCTCACTTGCCTTTTCATAGACAAAATAAAAAAAATCCCCACCTAGATTCATTTATGATACCTGAAGAAGGGTTACTGCCAAAACTTTACCTATCATCTTGCGTGAACTGATCACAAGTGATTGATGATGAACCATCCTGCTAATCAATCATTTTTCTCTAGTTTTCCTACTCGAATGGTATTGAAGCGTACTCGTCAAGCATAACCATGTTCAACAGAAATTGGAGCAGTTTTTTGCTGAGACAAGTAAGCTTTTTATTATAGTTCTAACTGCCAAATATTTGGTTTAGGCTTCACTTTATCATAACTTCCGCCAAAATTGGTCTCGATTCAGATCAAGAGCGTAAGAAATTTCAACAGTTCTATTAAATAGAAATTTCGCGTTTAGGGTACAATATTCGTACACACTCTACCGAAAAGATCGACGTTTCACCAGATTCGCTATAGCTGCCTCCACAGTTGGTTTCACATTTAGAGAATACGGAATCAGCGGTACTCGTATAGCAGAATGCGAAAACTGTGAAGAAGAATTCGCTCATAGAAAGTCGCCAGGACATGGATGGGAGCTTCTATATGAGGAGAAAGATATGTTAGCATTCCGAAGACGTATCGAAGGACCGTATGAGATGTATGAATACAAATGCGTCGGAACCTACTATGATATAAGTCCACGCACTTTCCTTGATGCTCAAAACGATTTGAAGTACAGAAAAGAATGGGACGAGAACATTGTGACGATTGAAGTAGTAAAAGAGGAAGATGAGAACGAGTTGATCAGATGGGTATCAAAATTCCCCTATCCGATGTACCCTCGAGAATATGTTTATGTTAGACGTACCTGGGTGTCTGACAATGAAAAGTTCGCCGTCATCGACAGCGAATCTGTGCAGCCAGAGGTGAAAATCATACTTTTTCAATAACATTGAATTGTTTTATAGGTGTTCCCATCGAGTTCTAAATCGAATGTTCGTGTGAAATCCTACTCCTCCCGCATGTCGATTCGAGCTCATACCAATTGGGAGGCACACGGAGTCGACTATATCTTGACGTACTCTGACAATCCAGAGGCCAACATTCCCCGCTACGTATATAACTGGATGGTTAATAAAGGTGGCCCATATTTCTTGAAACAAGTTCATAAAGCTGCTCGAGAAATCGAAAGTAGTGGGAGAGAAGTACGATCGGCTACTGAGAAAGCTCTGAAGACTAAGAATGGTAGGGTATACGATCGTTTGGCGAAAGAGAAAGAAGAAAAGGAGAAGCAACAACAAGAAGCAGAAAAAGCACGTAGCAATCAAGAAAATAATGGTGAAAAGGTGAATGATCTAGTTATTAGGAAAACGTTCTTACATTTTTTACAGAAGCCCCCGAAACCTCAAAAGGTCCGTCCAGCATCCACGGCGAACTCTTTCGTGTTACAGCAAGAACATGTGAATTATCAGAGAACTGCTTAAATTCACTGCTTCAATTGAATAAATTCTTACATCGAATTTGTTTCTTTTTCTTTCATAATGAAAGATTACTAAATACTATTATAATGCTTCCCCAGTAGTCCTATCTAGTGCATTTCCTTTAGATCATCATTATTTTCACCGTATTTTGTATGTTTTGTGATGCTGTTTTTTTTCGTTTTGTTATAAATATATCATTATGTGTCTTCTGCTCATCTACTTTCATTTTCCATTATTTCTATTGTTTTCCCTTTTATTTTCCTTGTTCTTTTTCAATTTCATAAAACCTGTGAATCGGTTAGTTGTTGAAATGGCAAAATAGTGATGGGTGTCTATATTTGCGAATACATTTGATCTTTGGTCGTTCTCGAAAGAGCGAGATAGTTTCCAAACAGAAAAGTATCATATTTTATATTATTCAGAATTTGTTTTCCAAACCGAGAATGGACTATAAACGGATGAAACTTGATGAGTGTCGGGAGCAACTATTCAATATCCGTCGAAAAGTGTTTATTGAAGAACAAAACTGCCCAGAAAACATGGAATGGGATGAAAACGAAGAGAAGGATTCACTGTATTTTGTAGCTTTCAAAGGTTCGTTTTTGTGATATTTAGTACTTTTGTTCTTAATACAGTATTCTATAGGAGACGTCGCTGTTGGTTGCCTCCGTCTTCGTGATGTCGAGCCTGATTTATTGAAAATGGAGCGAGTTGCAGTACTAAAAGTAAGTGTTTCTTTTTTTTTTTTTGAATCGCAAATTTTTTTTCCAGGAATATCGTAGAAGACGAATTGCAACCGAACTTATCCGAGAAGCTATGCTTTACACTCAAACTGAATTGCCAACTTCTTCGATCTACGCGTACGCTCAAGTATCAGCTCTTCAAGCCTATGTATCTCTGGGGTTGGTTTTCGATAGACAAATTAAAAAAATCACTTCTTTCTCAGATTTACCGTACTCTCCAAGGTTTGGATTGAGGATGGTACATTCATTCCACATCAGACGATTTTTTGGGGAACTCCTCTTTCTATTGGAGCGTTTTTGAAACATCAGTAATAGTTATTGTAACGATAAAAGTTTAAGAATTCGATTACAGAGCTGAAAAAGTGGATACCACCTACGAGGAATACGATGCTCGCCATCCATCAATTCTTCCGAAGATTGAGGCCTACAATCAAAGACTCGAGGTCGACCAATTTTAAATTAAATTCTTATTAAATTCCATTCTCATCTCACATTCCATATAGATTGCAAAGAATTCAATAAACATTCCAGTTAAATGTTGAATACTTATTACAATTTTTCAGGATCTGGAAATTTGGAATATCTGCTCTCTGCACATTCATCTTGATGACCTTGCTATATCAAGGATAGTGAGAAGACAGTTCACTGAATTCTGTCTCAAAGCGAATCGATATTTGGATGGAGATCTTTCCGTATCGAAGGATGTCGTACATAAAAGTGGACAACTTTTAAAAATGGCAGATAGAAAACTGAATACTGGTCATTTCAACGAAGTAGACGAAAATTGGAGGAAGCTGTACGCACTTGTCAGTTTTGTGCAAGCTTTTCTGATGTTCAAGAAAAACGATTTTCAGGTTTATTATACTTTTACGACTTTATTAATTATCAAATTGTTTTCAGAGAGCGATCGAAGTAGCTGACAAAGGACTATGCATGGGTCGGATCGATGAAGAAAAAGTACCACTTCGACAGTTAGCATGGTTGATCCACGAAAATCTACCAGGAGTTTCGGATGAAAATTCTATTCATCCCAGTTTCTCCTTTGAAGAAAATACAAAAAATCAAGCACTTTGTCCGTTAACCAATTCTACATCAATTGATGAGTGTGATGATGAAGATGAATCTTGCTTCGAACGAATTCTAACATCAGTTCATAACGAAAAACCTCTAGTCATTCGAAAGCAATGTTTGAGCATGCCAGCTGTTCAAAAATGGTCATTTCCATTTTTACTCAAAGAACTACACAGTCGGACTTTTCCAGTAGAAATTGGAACGAAATATTCTGACGAAAACTGGTCACAAAAGTTGATGACATTCCAAAACTTCATTCGAAATTCAGAGGTTTGAAATCATCAGCGTTGTGGTTTTTATCAAATTCTATTTTTTAAGAACGCGCGTCTCTATCTTGCCCAACATCGCTTATTCGATCAAGTGCCCCATCTGAAAAGAGACGTCATCATTCCAGATGTATGCTTCGCAGAGTCTACTAGTGCTGAAAACGTGGATGTGAATATGTGGATTGGACCAGCAAATACTGTATCTCCACTACATACAGATCCACGGAAGAACATGTTCGTACAGGTTCATGGCACAAAATTGTTTCGAATGGTGGACCCAAAAGATACAGAATTCGTTTATCCATTTGATGGTATACTGTCAAACACAAGTCAGGTAACTTAAAAAATTATCGTTCAAATACACTGTAACTGCTCTCAGGTAGACGTCGAGAGTCCAGATCTCTCAGAGTTTCCAGATTTCGCAAAAGTACGGGTTTATGATGCTGTTGTGAATGCTGGAGATGCTCTATTTATCCCAGAAAAATGGTGGCATTTTGTTCGTTCAACGACTCCTTCTATTTCAATTTCCTTTTGGTTCGATTAATCAATTTCAAATGGTTCTTTTGCACAACAAAATGTTCTTCATTTTAAAAAGTTATCACTGTATGTTTCTTCTTCTTCTCATAGAAATTCAGGTGGCATGCCGAAAATCCGTTTTTGTTATTCGAAGAAGGAAGAATTTATGGAGAGAGACTCACTGACTTCTATTCTTTTTTCTTGCGTGTTCATATTTCACTCCGCCATGCTGCCTTTGCCATTTATTAGCAGAACGCTTCATTGTTTTCTGCCAGTTGTTGTGTATGTGACCCAAACCCATCGGATGAGAAGCCTATGTATAAAAATGGTCAAGTTCCATTTGCTTCGCTTTTTTAGATTTTTGTTGCGACGTACCGGAATGTAGATTTCACAATTTCTGAAAAAATGACCAGCAGAGATGTCACACATCTACAGTGTGTCTAAAACGCATTTCTTTATTTTTGCAATTCGGAAAAATCAGAATGCCACCCAAACCGCCAACGTTGAGCTCATATATCTCGGTTTCTATGGAAGATATTTAAACGTGGTCAACTGACCAAATGTTTGACATAATATCAAAAATATTTGGTCAGTTGACTTTTTGATATCTTTTACAGGAACTGAGATATGAAGTTTCAAAGTTTGCAAATTGGGAAGCTTTCTATTAGAGTGTTTACCGTAAACTTTCTCGGAACTCTGACATCTCTGATATCCAAACCTTATAAAACTTACAGTTAAAAAAATATCGGAATATCTTCTTTTAAAATCTTCTGCAATAATTTCTTCTCTAATCAAATCTCTAACTTGATCAAGTGCCCCATCTGAAAATTCATCTTAAAAATACTATGTTAAAGTGTGAAATTAGAGATTAATTTGTTAATCTATAGATACACAAATATATCTGAAATGTGAACGAGAATCCATAAATTCTTGCGGTGTGTCACTAGTTGACATTCTTTTTTCCTATTTTTTCAGAAACAATTCATTGACATGGCCGTATTTTTACTTCTGTGTGCACCAAGATTCCTTTTTTTTAACTGGTCATCTTATTCTTATTCTAATTTCCCTTTTTATCAACCACTCTTCTTTCCGTCAAAATATTATTTTTCTCATCATTTGTCGAGTTTCTTCTTCTTCTTTTTCTTTTCTCATACATCCTCATTTGGTGGTAGAGCAACCAGCGACAAGTAACTAGAAGCATCACAATTATTTTCAGTTTCCGTTCCTTCACACATGACGAAAGTGGACTAACATATAAACAAGTTATACTAGGCATAGTTGAGTTTGGTGTAGTTTGTGTATCTCTGTGCTAGGACGGTTTCTATACAATGACCAGAGCTCAATAAATACTCAAATTTTCAGTTAAAATAAAGGAAAATCATTGGTCTAGCTTTGTTATCGTAATTATAAGCCTAATCGTCTCGTAAACCATCGAACAAGTTTCGAGTTCTGGAGACCACACAAAACTGCTCCTTTCCTCTCACCTATTTCATTTTTTTTGTCCATTGTTCACCTCCTGACGTGACATTCGGACAAACCGGAAACTAATTCAGACACCAAAACTGAACTCGATTAGGCTCATTCGGAATTCGTGAGAATATCTTAGTTCTTTTTCTTCGTTTTCATTCTTTTTCGTTTTCAGAATCGCATCAGTTCTAGATATGCCCTTTTCTATTTTTTCCGTTTTATTTTGGCTGGTTCTGATTGCCAGTTCTAAAAATCAGAAGGCTAGAGTTATTAATTCAATTTTTTAATTCAAAACTTTTAAAAGAATTAACCCCTTGCAAGTGTTTTAAGACTACGTAATATTATAGGTGCCAATGTAGAAATTAGGTTATGTTCGGGACACTCAGTTTTGTTTTTCAGTATCCGGAAAGTTTATTCATCAGTTCTCCAAAATTTTTAGAATGGCCAGCGACTCATCTTCCAAATGTATTTTTTCTGGCTTTCGAATAAGCATTTATCAAGAACTTCTCAAAGTCTAGTTTCAGTAATATTTTTAGAAGCGAAGGCGGAGTTTGGAAGTTTGTTCCGGATTGAAGAAATGGAGCGAACCAGTTTAAATAATTCATTGTAACTGATATCATTTAAGCTCTGGAAGGAAAAGAAAACCGGAAGAAAAAAGACATTCCGAAACTTTGTCTTCTCCTTTTTCTGATCTGCTTGAATGCTCAATTCTCGGAAATAGTTTTGTGACGTTGAATGGCCAATCTTTGAAATGTTACTACTTGGACAGGGGGGCTCTTCGAGACTATTTCGCATATAAACGAACCCGTCGACGTACTTCTCTTGCTCCTTTCACCTCAATTTGCACATCGTTCTCCTTTGCTTTTTTCTCTTTTCCGAATATGAAAAGGTCTGTGTTTTTTTTTTCGTTTTGGTCCGATGGAAAAAAGCACTGACTTTTTGCCTTTTTTCTTTCTTTTATTTGGCCACCGGGAGAGGATGGAAATTCGAAATCGTTTGTTTTTTCGATTCCACTTTTTTTTTTCGTATTTTGACCCAAAATAGAGAAAAAAGGAACAAAAAGCTATCCAGTAAATAATTTCTTCATATTTTGAGCTTCAATGAGGTCTGGAATAGATATATGGTATATTATTCTGGTGCAAAAAATCGAAACTGTGGAAGGTGGACGGCGGCAGCCGTGGCTGAAGGTCCCACAACGACATCTACCGTAAACCAAAAATATTTTTATTTTCCGGAATTATTATCTCAAATTTCGTGCATTTTCAGTCAACTTTTTCACATTCTAAACTTTTTTAATTTTGGGGAAAAATAACAGAAAACTCGACATAAAGCAGTGAAAATTGGAAAAATAAATTTGGAAAATGGAAATATTTTTAGGTTACGGCAGTTATCGTTGTGGGACTTTCTGGCACGGTCACAGGCGTTCTCTCCCACAACTCCTATTTTTTGTACTGGAATAATATGGTACCTCAAATTTGAACATTGTGAAGTAAACATCACCTATTCCCAGTAGGTTTATGCGTTCCAACATCCGGGACAATCATAATATGTTTTCACGAATTGCAATCTTCTGAAAATCTCTATAAGTAGTATCTCTGATCCTAAATGTGGTTATTTTTATAAATCTAACGGGAATCATATTCCTTGTTCACCACAACTTACCGTAAACACTCTAATAGAGTGCCACCCAAACTTTCAACCTTACAATTAGGTTCATATATCTCAGTTCCAGTGAAAGCTATCAAAAAGTGGTCAACTGACGAAATATTTTTGATATTATGATAAACACTTTGTCAGTTGACTACTTTTTGATATATTTCACAGGAACCGAGATATCTGAGCTCAAACTTGGTGGTTCGGTTGGCACTTTATTAGAGTGTTTACGGTAAAGGGAAGTCCTTTAAAAATCCCTCCATCCTTTATAAAAAAGGTTTACTTCAACCATGAGACATATTTTCGAAACTATGCGTGTAGACAGTGTCCCCAAGCTCTTCTGGTCTCCCCGAAATTGGTGTGTTCCTGTTTCTTCTAATTGTAAATGCCAGACAGATTCGTCATTGTCTCGTCATTCTCCATCGTTACGACGACTTCTCTTTTCCTTCAAATGAGTTTAATTTCCCATTACAAAAGTGCTTAAATCCATTAATTCTTCTTCTTTTAGGCTTGTCCTTATTTCTGATGTTCCGACCACCGAGCCTAAAATAGAAAAGGACCACATATCCCATTTCACATTATTTCCAGATGTGTGATTTTCGGACTAGTGGTCACAGACCTCAATTCCTATTTGTCAGTCATTCAACCAAGACGAGTCTGGTGAAATAAGAGAAAAATGAATTGGAGGGAGGAGCGGCAAAGAATTCAGAACAACTAATAAGATGTTGAATTTAGGATCAGGAACTCACAATGACCGATGGATGTCTGATGGAACCAGGACTATTCATAATTTGTATCATTTTCAAAACAAAGATCTTTTGGGTTACTGTACTTTTCGCAATTCAGTTGGTCGAAAAGTATGTAATCTGTCTTCAAGACAGGGTTATTAGCACTTTGCGTTTCCTCTTCCCAGAATCATCTTCCTTCATCTATTTCAGTTTTTGGATGAGGTTTTTAAGAACGTAAACAAGACAAGAAAGTTTGAAATCGACTCCACTTATGGCTCCTTCTCACACTCACTCACTCATGAAAACAAGCTCTCGTCACTTGACCTGCTCCTCATGCTCCTCCTTCCGTTTTTCTTTTCTTCCACTTCAAAATAAGAGCCTTACCTTATTCTTTTTCTTTTCTTGACAACTTTTCTCTTCTTCTTCTGAAGCACATCTGAGTGGATATGGATAGGAAAAAAAAATGATTGGATGTCGTCGTTGGACCAAAGAGAGGGTTCCCACCCACACCCCTCTCGTTTGCAGCTTTTTTGTCAATTTTCACGAGTGTCTATTCTTCGAGAGGGTAATCCTACCCGGCATTAGTTTTATTGCATCTCTCTTACCCCCCGTGCCCCCGTTCTAACTTTTTTTTGACTTTTTATGTTGTCTGGAGCAAAATAGAGACCCAGAAAGTGAAACAAAGTTCCTTTTTTCAGGAGAGAACAATATGGGAAACGATCATTCTGCTGTTGCCAACGTGGATGTCCGAGCGAGAAGGAGTCTTGATTCGGGAATGGTAAATAAGGTAAATCGTAGGATACTATCAGTAAGAATTGAATGCAATTGATATATCCTGGTGATCTAGATTTTTCAGCAGAGGCTTGTAATAGTCAATCATTTCAGTTTAATTGCTAATACCAATTTTACTGAGATACCCTAAAACCTGTAATAGAAGAGCCTCCTGACGTTTAACTTCAAGTCAAGTTTCCTCGGTCAGTTGACCACTTTTCGATATCTCGCACAGAAGTCTAGATAATTGAGCTTAAACTTGACAGTATGGAGGCCCTTCTATTACAGGTTTTACGGTAACTGTCAAACGTTTTATGGAGGTTTTACAAGTTTCTGATGTTGTCTTTCTTGATACTTATCTAACAGCAGTCCCCTTTTCTCAGTATCCAGATACACAGTATCCCTCAAAAAACAAACCCACATCTTTGTTTCTGAAAGTTCATCTAGGTTTTTTTCGGGCGGACTACTTCATGTATACCCTATCAACAATGAATAGGTTTTGGTATGTCTGAATGCGTGTCAGAAAACGCATTCATGCATGATTACAACTCTGTTATCAACTGTCTTGTCTTCTCACCGCCCATTCTGTCAGTCAAGAGATCTCGTAACGGATCTTCCTCACAGCTTCACAGCTTAGTCTCAGCCAACAGTTACCAGTTGGTTAAAGTTTAACAGATTCTGAAGAACTTCGGTTATTCAACCAGTCACCACCACTCCAGATTCAGTTCTCACACCTCCGTCACCAACACCATCTTCGCTATCATTTTCCATTGAAACAGAAATATCAGATTTCATTGTTTTCTGCAACTTGGAGTCTCTATGAAATCAGAGAGCTCCTCCTTCCTTTTCTTGTGCTCCTCTTCTGTTTCCCATCAATCCGAAAGTGGGCAAATGCTCCACAGAAATTGCATAGACGTTGTCGTCTTCTTCTTCTTTTCTCGTCGTAACGGCTCACGTACTCAAAACTTCAGAAAGCAGTATATATGAAAGTCATTTCCGAATTCTTTCGCTTCATTTATCATTTTTCGCTCATGCTCCAACCACCGCCGACCTTGCTCATTCTCGAAGATGCCGTATCCGCAGCACAATGACTTTCTTCTCTCTCGTCGATCTCTCTTTTTTTGGACTTCATGGCTTCTATTTTTAAGATTCTGACACAACCTAATCTCAAGAAGCCACTAACGGATTAAGCTTAAGAATTGTTTCAGATATGTTTTCTCTCTGATAAGGTCAAAACATCATATTCCTTTCGGAGGTCGACTATTAATCTTTGATATTCGCTTGGAATCAACGTTTACATATTAAATTATGTAATGCATTAGAGCAGTCGGAAGTTCCCCTCATCATCATTCCAGAAATCATGAAAGCTTTTCGAGAAAGCCAAAGTGCCATTTATAGGTTTTTCATTTTCTTCATTTTCTCCAAATCCCCAACTACAGACCATTAACATTCTCTCGTTTTATTACTTTTGTAATGGGTTTTTAATCAATTTTGAGTAAGGCGTTGAGATTGAGTGTCAGATGACGTCTTGGTCTGTTTCCAGTCACGAGTTTTACCATTCCCTCGATATCTCGAAGCCCCGCCCATAACGCTGATTGTTGGGAGAATATTCTGAAGCTCCTTCTACTCTTCCGGATGCCGTTCATATTTTTATAATGTTTCGGATGTCTTCTCTCATTTGATAAATACGTTGTCCTCTATCCCATTCTGAATAATTTGTTAGTGAGAACCAAATGATGAGGATGAGTTTGGTTTTCACTCTCTTTTCTCCAAATATATATATATATATATATATATATATATATATATATATATATATATATATATATATATATATATATATATATATATATATATATATATATATATATATATATATCCGTTTTCCGATTTTCCCTGCCGTTCATCAAGTTGTGTTTTAATGATGATGATGATGAAAAGGGGATTAAGAATCTATAAATTTGGAACAGTTAGTCTTCTACCTCTTGACTTGTTGTCTATTATATCCCCAGTCGATTTGTCTGTCACGTTCTCGAGGCGCTTGGTTCCATTACCCGTCGTCTGGTTTACCCTCCTTTTCTCCGCCTCTTTTCTTCCTAAAAAATCTTGATTCGAAACATTTTTGGGAAAGGAAGTGTCTTTGAAGCGGCAAGAATTAGAAGCAGTTTTGGTGTCAGACACACTCACTGACTCACTGCTTCTTGTTTTTCTTCTTCTTCTTCTTCTGCTTCTTCTTCCTCTGCTATTTTACTCTTCGGCATCCTTAACCACCACCACCACCACCACCAGTGCTGGAGTCTGCCACGACATCATGACGACCCCATTACGTAAAAGTGTGTGTCAGCTCTAGCCATCAAGAACGACGTCATCTCATTCTTAGACGATGTGATGTTGCTCTTCTTCTAGTTCTGGTTCTTCTTCTATTTCTTTTCTCTCTAGTTCAATTCTGCTGCAAAAAATATAAGATGAGATCGGTGTGGAAAGTATTCGGATATGAATGAGTCTCTCTTGTCAGTTTTAAACTCCTCCTTCTTTCCAGAATTTGACAGACGTGACGACGCCGACAGCACACATTCATAGACGATGTTAATGCTCAGTGGACTGTTAGCGAGATGATAGAGAAATATTCTCGATTCCTTTATTTTTGACTATCTCTGCAGAATTCTTCTTCTCACACTTCTTCTTCTTCCTCCGACGCCTTCTTATCCGTTGACCCCCACGGGCGGTCTGATTCCTCATCCGCCTTGGCTACGCTTGTTTTGTTTTTTGCTCTTTTTCGTCGTATAGAGTGTTCTTATTTGTCGTTTTCGGTGTCGAAGCCGTCGGCGCCCTGCTTTTTTTCATTTTCCATTTTGAAAGGGGTCAGAAGTGGCGCGGATTGAAATGAATTTCTTGCTTTCAATCTGATTTTTTGAACCCAATAGCCAATCATCAATTGTTCTCCGCCGCTCGGGGCTCCAATCATTCACCCATTACATATCAAAATGTTGCACTTTGTCTGTTTGAAAAGAGAACCTTGTTACCCAAAAAGGCTCTCTTCTAAAACACATACACACTTCCATCCCTCTCTCCCCTTTGTGCCCCCCTTTCAACCTGATTAGATGGATAGGTTTCTCCCGTTTCGAGGCGAGAGCTGTTCTTGTGCTCACCCATGCAAATCTGAGTCGACAGACACATATGCCAGTGTATGTATACATGTATTTACATCCACCGCTTCTGGTATCGAATTTTCATTCATTTCATACATAACCTTTTTTCTTTGACTTGATAGGTAAAAGTAGTCGATGAACATCCTAGTACCGAGATCCTTTTAATCCTATGATACTCTCCAAGGCTCTGCCCTTTTGTTGCTAGTTTTAATTAAAACTTGAATTAGTACTGTCTATGATCCTTTTCTTCTTCATTTGGGCAATTTCTTCTCCCATATTAATTTTTCATATTTTCAGGCAAAACATTCGTGTAGCACACCACGTCCATCAGTCCAACTTCCACCTCCATCTCCAAATCAACATCGTCTATCGACGGACTACTCGAATAGTTCCTCACCGTAAGTGTGTCAAGAGAAAGCGTATGCTTCTGTGAAATCCATTCACAAAAGAGTATCCATTTTGCTCTTTTTTTTGCATACCCTTTTCTTCTTCTCCTCTCACCCCAACCCTTCCGGCATCTAGCTTCCGTTTGTTCGGAAGTCAACTTTGCTTCCATTTTGCTTATTGCTCCCACCCTCTTCTCTTCTTTCTTTTCAAAATGGTATGAGATGCCGTTGACTTTGAAAACGAAATAAATGAGACGAGGAAGTAGATGACGTGGTGCTCGGATGATTTTTCTCACTCATCGTTTATTTTCAGACGCCGCTCCTTCAGCGAACAAATGGGCAATAACGTGCCGTCACGGCGAATGAGCAGAGCTACCGTTCATCTGGAAAACAGTAACGGAATCGAGAACATGTCGTTCATCGATGCAATTCACCTTTCGCCGTGAGTACTTTGAATTACCATGAACAGAATAATAAAAGGCCGTCTAATAACTTTGAGCTCAGTTATCTCAATTTCTATAAGAGATATAAAAAGTGTGTCAATTGATAAAATGTTGGGGATATTATGGATAATATATTACTAGTTAAAACATTTTTGATATCTCTTATAGGAATTGAGATAATTGAGCTCAAAGTACAAGTATAAGGTGGTCTCCCCACCTACCGGACTGTTTACGGAAATTTAGAAATCTTTTTTTCAGACATCAAGTCCAGCTTCTGACCTCAACATGGCCACGTATCAAAACTCAAAGTCATTTATTTACTCAGGTCTTCAAAGTTCTGATGCAGCGTTCTCCAGTCTGTCGGGAGATGTTCCAGAAGATGTCCATCGTCGGAGGATTCAGCAGCAACTCGGTTTGCGATCTCAACTCACACGCAAAACTCCTCTCTGAACTTCTCGATTCCCTCATGACAGATCTCCAGCAACCAGCGAAGATCGTATTGGCAAAGTGCCAGGACGTCGGAGCAGCACATGTCAATATGAACGAGAAGTGCTGTGGAGTTGTGTTCGATCAATTGGGAGAGGCATTCACAGAGGTGTCAATCAAAATGTTTTTGGGGATTCTAAAATAAAAATTTCAGTTGATCAAAAAGTCGAATGTGTTCGTTCGAAACGGGAGGCAGTGAAAAGCTGGATGTGTGTGATATCGTACATGGCAGACAGTATCAAGAGTGGATACATGGAGGAATGGGCGAAAAAGAAGCGTAGCAACAATCATCCACCTCCACAGAATTATCAAGCTGCTGGAGGATCATGTGAGTCTTTAAAGTTCTTAAATTAACATAAAACCTGTACTAGGAGAGCCCTCACACAGCTACGTTTAAGGTTAATTATCTTAATTCCTATGCAAAATATCAAAAGTGTGTCAACTGGCCAAACACTTCTGATATTATAAACAATTTACAAATTTACAACTTCTTGATAACTCTGATAGGAACCGAGATAATTGAGTTTGAAGTTTAAAGTTAGGGACTTTTCTATTACAGATTTTAAGGTATACTAGAGATTTCGTCCAAAGAAAACATCTTTGGGATTTTTATGTCAGGTTATGTAAACCAAGAGTTACTGTAATTACCTCTTGAATCAAGTTCTAGCATTTTCAGGTCCATATGCCTAACTGCTCATCTTGCCCATCGTTCTGCACTCACCTTGCTCTTCACCTCCGCATCACAATACCACACATTTTCTTCATCTTCTTCTTCTTCGTTCATCTTCATTTTTTTAATTCCATATCTTTTGCCATCTGCGTATCTTTCTCTCTAGTTTTCCGTGCATTCTTGCACTTGCCTCCCCGCTTGCTTCCTCCTTTTTTTCTCAGACATTGTCCTAACCATTATATCGCCAGAAGTTTATTTTTTTCATAAGATGTTTGTTTCTTTTCTGTTGTTTCAAATCTCTTATCTCCTCCCCCCCCCCCTGCTTATCTGTGATCTGGAGACACTGATCATTCTATTTTCCTGTCTTCCCCATTTCTATCCCATTTGCTCTACTGCTTTTTCTGCTGCAAATAGCTTTCTACATTTTATTCGAAACTCGCCACTTTTCCTTTTTCCCTCTTTTCCGCTTGATTCTCCCCAATCCAAACTGCATCCCTGCAATCATTTCATTTTTTCTCACATTCACCAATCATGACCAGTCTCCCCCATTTTTATGTGTAAATAAAGATGCAAAAAGTCGCTGATAATTCTTTTGAAGTGAACCCTCTCTGTTATCTTTTAAACTTTCGCAGAGACTTGTTGTCTGTTGTCTTCTTCTTCTCTGATGCAATTGCAAGCTCGCTCTGTTGGACACACGAATTCGTGACTCCGCGATTTTCGAATCAGCTTTGCCTTCTCTTTGCTTCTTTTCCAAATGTGTAATAGCAAATGGTCTAAAGACTGCTACAAAAATTACAATCAAAGTGAACATTTGTATGAAGCTTTTTACTTTTTCAAAGTCATTTGTGAAAATTTGGAATCAAAAAGATCTACCTGGATATCCATCACAGAAACCACATCAATTTTTTGTTATGATGCAATCGTGACTGAGAATTGTTGGGTATTGCTTCTCACATTGTCTTTTCTTTTCAATTACTGTAAAACCTGTAATAGAGCGGCCCCCACACTGTCATGTTTGAGCTCAGTTATTTCATTTCTATGGAAGGTATCGAAAATATCTCAACTGACAAAACATTTCTGACGTTATGATAAACAATTTGTTAGTTGGCAACTTTTATGTCTTTGCCAGGAATCAAGCAAAATAAGCTCAAAGTTAAAAGTTGGGGGATCCTTCTTTTACAGCTTTTACGGTGATCTTATTTCTCAACCCTTCAATTTGTTATGATGCAATTTTAAGAGAGAAATATTGGGGGTTTCTTCTAACATTCGTTTTTTTTCCGTTTCATCTTATTTCTCAATCCTTCAATATCCTAGTTTTCAGTAAATTAAACTATGGATTGGCGTACCACCACAGCCTTCCTTTGTCTCTATGGAGCAGTAAAAGAGTTTAGACCAGCAACTCCTTTCCTAACTCCATTCTTAGCATCACCAGAAAAGAACCTAACCCTGGATGAGTTATATTCTCAAGTTTTTCCATACTGGACATATTCCTATATGCTCGCTTTGATCCCAATGTTTGTGCTAACCGATATCCTACGATACAAACCGATTGTGATGATCGAAGCGATTGGATTAGTTGCCACGTGGGGATTGTTGGTCTTTGGAAAAGGAATCACACAAATGCAGGTCATGCAGATTTCATTCGGTAATTCATTCTACTGAGGTGTCCCTCGAATGAGAAGTAATATTTAGGAGTTGCATCTGCGGCTGAAATCGCCTACTACTCCTACATCTACTCCATCGTGGATAAGAAACACTACAAAAGAGCAACATCCTACATCCGATCAGCTGCACTGTTGGGAAAATTGGTTGCATTTGGTCTGGGACAGGCACTGATTTCTACCCATGCTTCGGATTTTTTGGTTCTCAATCAAATTTCCCTTGGAGCCGTTTGCATTGTCACAGTAATTGCTGTATTCCTGCCACGTGTCAAATCAGACAATGCCAAAGTTTCCATCAGAGCGTTACCAGTTGAAGATCAGCAGAATGTTGAGTGAGTGTTTCATTTATGGAAATATAACTATTCGAGTTTTCAGATTTGTTACAAATGAACCAAAAGAACTAAAAGTGAGCTACACTCGAGAGTACTTGAAAAGAACTCTTGAAGAATTGAAAGAATGTTCGAAAAACCAAGAACTTTTGAAATGGTCTCTTTGGTGGGCATTAGCAAGCTGTGGAGTTTATCAAGTGCAAAACTACACACAGTCGTTGTGGAAAGAAATGCAAGCTGATCCAGAAGACGTTGCCAATGGAGTCGTCGAATTCGTCAACACAGCACTTGGAGCATTTCTCTCTTTATTCATCCACCACTTGTCAATTGATTGGGCATCTCATGGACAAATGATTATATTCATTACTTCTGCAATTATCGCTGGCCTTCTTTATGTATGCTCTCAGACACAAACTGTGATGGTTGCATACATTTCATACGTGGTCATTGCTTCAATATATCACATGCTCATTACAGCTGCATCGTAAGTCGCAGAAATTAAACGAATGTCAGTATTTTTGAATTTCAGAGCAAATGTAGCAAAGGAGCTGTCATCTAATAACCATGGGTTGATTTTCGGGTGCAATACATTCGTGGCAGTTTGTCTTCAATCCTTCTTAACTCTGATTGTTGTTGATGCAAGATTTCTCCATCTTGATATTAGGACACAAGTGAGTTTATTGAACTTGAAATGGATGAGCCAGAAATTGACCAAGAATTTGAATCGTGATCCAGAAAACCTAGGTCATGACCCAGAAAAATCTAGGTCATGATCCAGAAAAATCTAGTTCGTGACGCAGAAAAATCTAGGTTATGGCCCAGAAAAGTTTAGGTCATGACCTAGAAAAAATTAGGTCATGACACAGAAAAATTTAGGTCGTGATCCAGAAAAATTTAAGTCATGACCCAGAAAAACTTGGGTCGTGACCTAGAAAAGTAAAAATTATTACCAATAAAAAATCCTCATTTTCAGTTTGTCGTCTATTCTGGTTATTTCGCCTTGGTCGCCATAATCTTTGCTTTTTTCTTCTTGATCTCACTCTGCTCCAAAACAACGAGAAGTTCAATAATTGAAGAGCCTCAAGATGATTCTAAAGAAGAAGTATTCCCGGAATAACTTTATTGATAAGAAATCCCAAATAAAATATATATATATATATACGGTACACATTGGAGACAAATATACAAGAGTTTTTTGGTGTGCTCAGCATCACAGAAACAGTTTTGTTCAGAAATCGAGTGTGAATCAAAATAGAAAAGAAATGTTACAGGAAATGGTACAAGCAATGTCTATGACATGAAATTAAAAATGCAGGAAACATTGGTTAGCATGATGAAGGGAAATTGTTAGATTATGTAATAACAGACGGTTCGGTAAAGGAATTGATCTCCCGGCTCCGGTGCGCATTGTCTAGTGTTGCTCATAAGTCGGCAAGATCTGTCGTGTCGGCGAATGATTGTTCTTCTCCAGTCGATTTCAGCATTATCCAGACCTGGATTGAGACGGAATTGGAGGAATGGAAGAGTGAAGAACCAGGCTGCGATGTGTCGACGACTCTGCTTCCATTCTTCGATGCAGGCGAGAAGAGAAGGTCTTGCAGCATCCGTGACACGTACACTGAGAGTGGGAATATGGAGATCGAAAATTGGTTTCAATTGGAAAAACAATAGTTCCTTGTCTATTTTCAGATCGTTCAGCTGAAAAAAAAACATTTTTATTTTCGAAAGATTAGAAGTTTAAAAATACTACCTTTGCAATATCCGTAACGCTATCATCTTTCTCCAATCGCTGAATATGAACCTCAACAGACGAAGTGTCCATCTGGTTGAGCAATGCCTTCAAAATCTGTGTCACTCTAGTTGCCTTCAATTGAACTCTAGAAAGTTTGCATCTTTCGAACGCTCCAAAGATTTCTGTTGAATTTCCTTGGGTGACTTCCGAGTTTCTGAGGCTGAGAGTGAGTGTGACATCGGCGTTTCGAAAAATCATGTTCCGCATGTTCCTCGGTACAAGACGAGGCTCCCTTTTCTTGATTTCTTTGTGTCCACGGAACGACGTCTGAAAAAGAATATTCTCGTTGTTTTCTATAAAACCCCGGATGTCCTACCACAACTTCACCGTCCACCACGGTGACGAACACATGAATATCAGCACCTTTCATCTCACTTCTGAAGTTCTGGTGGACTCTATTCATTCTCTGGCATGATTGACGGAAAGAGACAGTGTCCTCGAACTCCAACTGAAATTTATTTTTTGAAAAAATTAAAAAAAATTACGATCTTACATAGCTGCCAACTTTTGCGATGAGTTCATTTGGCAGGATGTCCAATGTGCATGGTCCGTCGATTGGTGGTAGCTCGATCACGAGTTTTTCTCTCACATCTTCTGGCATTTCTTGACGTTGGCGACGGAATCGAGAGAAGCGGCTAACAGATGCGTTGCCATCAGAAACAGGCGGCTCGGTTCTGCCGACGAGCATTCGAAATACGTTGAGGAACCAATTCATGGTTCCCCACGATTACCTGGAAAAGGGGAGAGAGAGTGAGAGATTTAGAGAAAATAGATCAAAATTTTTGTGCGGGCGCCAAGTGAAAATCATGAAAACAATTGAAAAGGTGTGAGTCTAATTGATGGCTAGAGAAATGTGGATATGAGAGAAAAGAATTCAGAATATATACAGCTATGAATTATTTTTTTGTTTTGCCCGATAACAAATCTCGATGGAATATCAAACTGAAGTTCTCCGGAAACATGAAACAATAGTGAATGGAAGGGAATGGAAAGACAAACACGGAGAAATAAAAAAAGAAATGGAGGAGCTAAATTTTATGGAAATTGTATGAGTCACCATTTTACGACAATGATGGTTTTTATAATGGTTTCGAAACGATCTTGTTGTTTTTGAATCGAAAAACAATTCTCGATTTTCCAATGGTCAGTGAGCAGTAAAAATTACAAAATAAACATTTTTTTCGAATGACACATCGATAAAGGAGAGGGAATGTTGATTGCTCATGATAAGGCAACAATCTAGAAAATGGTTCGAGTGAGATACGGTATATCACATATATGGGATAGCTATAAGTTAGAAAAGCGACTTGGGCAGAGGATTTCATGACCTTCCTCTTTGTAGTTAGACCAGTCGATTTCCGGCGGCTACAATCTCCTGGCTTTACTTAAAATGTTTGAATCTCAAAATCGGAGAGAATCAGAAGAGGAATTTTTAGTTGAATGTGTTGTCAACTTTCATAAACTGGAGTGACAGTCTGCTTGCGCGCCTTCGAGGCTAAACCTTCTGGCTCCTGCTTACAATAACGGTTATTGGATAACCGCATAATGTTTTTCCTTTACCCACTCGGAGTTAACCGATTGAGTTTGAACTTGGACAGACAAATCAGAAATGTAGATCAGAAGTATGTCTTAGTTGATGCCCGAATTGTTTTATTAAGTAATATTATTGAAGCAATATTTAGGTCATCCCCGTCTAACCACCCAGATAATCTTTTTTCAATTCGGGTTTTGAAGAGCCTATTTACGAATCGTTGAATTTCATATTGAGAATTTAAAAACTTATGAACTTCAAAGTTTCCGAATTTTTGAACTATTAAATTTTTTCTGAATTTTCGAATATCAGAATCTTGGAATTTGACAACTTTTTTTGCAAAAACAAAAATTTTGCAAAATTTTTGGGATCGGGAGAATCGAACCTACAACCTTTCTCCTCTGAACTTGCCCTTTTACCACTTTACCACACTGCTGATTGAAATCCATTGTTTGAAAAGAAATACACTATTTCGTGAAAAAAATTTCACGAGAAATAGCTTAATCACAGGGAAACTTTTCTAGGTCATAACTCAGCTCACGTGAGCATTTTGCTGATTTTTTTTAACAGATTTGGAATCCTCATAAGCTCTTCTATTTGCTCCCAAAATTTCAAAAAAAGTTAAACCCGCTCCCTCAAGTAACTCCCTTGTAAAATATGTCTATTTTCCGGATTTATTATCTCGTTTTTCACTGTTTTTCGTCTAGTTTCCTGTAATTTCTTCTTCAAAAAAGTCGGAAAATAAAACATTTTGTTAGTGAAAAATTAACTGAAAACGCACGAAAATCGAGAAAATATATCCGGAAAATAAAACTATTTGTAGGTTACGGTAGTTGTCGTTGTGGGACCTTCAGCCACGGCCACCGGCGCTTCTCTTCCACAGCTCCGATTGTTTTGTATCAGATTAATGTTTGAAAAAGAATAATTTTTCAAAAATCGTTTCACAAGTAGGGTTCTCAAAATGTACCAAATTGCCGGACCACTAATTCCTCTGAAATCTTTTAACAAAAAGTTTAAAACTAAACAGAAAATCTTTATTTCTCAATTTGTCTGAAATCGAAGATTTTTGTGTAAAAGTGAAAGTTTTATTACAATCAAAAAAGGGGAAACTGAAGAATTTCAGCCTCATTCTCAGTTTTATAGAATCGCGGGAAGAATTTGTGTTCGAAAAGCACTGCAAAAGATCAGGAAACCTTCAACTAGTGATTATGACTTATGGGAAGCGATCAATTTCAGATACAGCATCTAGACAAATAAATTCAATCTTTAATTCTCTTGATATTTTTCCTGAAAAATAGTGGAAATGTCTGTATACAGAGGGTGAAAACACATTTTGTCCTGATAACTGAACCGAGTAGTTTGATTCCGTGTGACCACATCGAATGGTTTCTGTGATAAGAAACAAATATAAACACAAATCAGAATGGATATTAAAGTGTCAATCAGGAAGCAGATGAGTTTCTGAAGACGTTGATTTGGCGAAGAAGAAGGCAGAAGAAGAAGAAGCTGATGATGTCATGATCTCCAGCGGCCATCGTGTTCATCGTAACAGTTACTCTATTAGTTTGATTTTGACGAAAACTAAAGAACATTTTGAAACGAATTAGACAAAAAGACTATCGGTCAGAAGACTGTCAGAAAATATACAAGAAGCAGAAGAACCGAGGTCATTTAATTACTTCTTTTCTGACCAGAAGGTCATAAGAAGTGATAAGATGACGTTTTTGGGGAAGAAGTCTGTCTACGTCTCCGCCCCAGAAGCACTGACTGTCGGATGAAGAACAAGAAAAAGGGCGGTTGAAAAGTGGTATATAAATGGATTGAGATTGTCATTTGCTATCATCAGATCATGATTTCTACTTCACTTATTCTTGTTGTGCTTCTTTTTGCCATTCTGGCCATCGTTGATGCCCAGTGGGGATGTGAGTTTCATTACTGTAGAAATAGTTAATTCAACCTCCATATTTCAGATGGTGGACCATACGGTGGATATGGAGGTGGACCATATGGAGGATACGGTGGAGGACCATGGGGATACGGAGGTGGCTGGAGAAGAAGACACTGGGGAGGACCATGGGGAGGTGGTTACGGAGGAGGACCATATGGAGGATGGTACGGGAAGTAAATGGTGCCGTTTCACAACAACGACGAAGGATACTCTCTTTTCTACAATTGTACATTTCAAAATTGCTTTTCTTGTCATAGTATTTATTCACTCTTCGAATGAATGCATTTTTCTAAAAATTTGTGGTATTTTATTGTCATGAAATATGGATGATACTATTCTTTACAGTTTAAACATTTCCCGGAGCAAGAGAAGCTTTCAAAATCGTCTGAATTGGGTCAAACAATTAAGAAAAAACTACAAGTTGGTTAACTCGAGACGTAGTTAAATACCGAAAACCATTTCTCTGAATAGTTGAAACTATTGCGACCTATCCAGTAATCAAATTGTAATAATTTTCTTTAAAAAATCACGTTTTCGTTTCTGTGTCAGATACGCAATTCAAAGACATTAAGCCGATTCATTAGGTGATTCAATCTTATGATAGGCAATTAGATATGTTTATTAAACGAATAAACACAACATAACGATATTGGCTTATCAAAACTTAATCCTTTTCATTTCAGAAGATATCCAGGTCAAAAACCTGTTCACACACTGGCAAACTTGCTAACCTTTCTGATGTCCCACTCCGAAACAATCAATCATGGATCTATCTTTCCCCACCAGCGCGAAATGCAAAAGAGATACAGTGTTACATTCCCCCAATTTGACTCTGTTCGTTTCGATTCAGGATAGACGGAGAAAGTGTGATTCGGGAAGAAGAAAACGTCGACGATAGAAACCCGGAAAAGAAGATAATCGAGATATGGATGCGGTCTAGAAGAACACGTTCTTTCTTTTTCGCTTTTTTTGGCTTGCCAGTTTCATTCTCGCCCCAAGACCTCAATCGTTAGTTTTTCAAACGATTTTTTTGTATAGCCTATTCTTCTGAATTTCTGGGTGTGCCCTCTTCAGAAAACTATCAAGATGGTATCGGTTTTTATCTTGGTTTATACATCACTTTCCTAAATAGTTTTCTCTCTTCTTTTAATTCAAACAATTAGATTTTGAAACGGTTTTGTTTTTAATATTAGTTGAACCCTTTTTCATATCTTTCATAGGAACCGAGTTGAATTTGCTCAAAATTAGGAGTTGGCGGTTTTATAATACGGTTTACTGTATTTGAAGTTTTGACATAATGTTCTTCTGGTTACTGTACCATGTGTCAGCTCGAATATTGAGCTCATCTGAGCGGATCTAACAAATTGTAATTGATAGTTTTTTAACCTGGTCATTTGTCAACAAAGTATCAGATTTCAATACTTCGATTGATCCCACTGTAAATTGTTTCCTTTCCCCTCAAAATGTTCTTGTGCTTTGAACTCGGTCGGTATTCTCTGTTTCTGTTCAAATACTTTATTTTGATATTTCGAAAAGTGTTCAATATCGAAAGAAGAAAAACAAATGAAGTGCCAAAAAGAGAAGATACAGGTGAAGAAGAACATGTAATTGTTATTTTTGTTTTGGATTCGGATAATCTCAATTTCTCCTCTCTCCTCCTCTTTCAAATCATACAAATCGCATCGTATCCCCCTTCTATGTTCTTCTCCCGACTGATAACTCTGGTCTGTCTTTATTATTGCCGACTTGTTGCCGATTTGAAAGCGAGGGATCAATTCAAGGTCGAGCGGTCGGAAGCCGACGAAATAGTGTAGGAAAAGGAGAGGCGTAGAGATACGATTCCGACCACCGATGAAGTTAATACATTCCTCTCCATTCTCTTCAATTATATTCGTTTGGACTTAATTATATTTCATCTCCCCAACGACTACCAATCCCTCGCTTCTGAACGTTTATTCTTTTTTGGTTTGATAAGGAACTAGAGCTTTTTGGTTTTAATCTTTTCCTCTTCTTAATTTTTTGATTACTGCTAATAATTCCAAGTCCTTCTATTTCCTTGCTCTTCTAGTCTAGAAGAACTATCAACCCTAGTTTATATATTTTTGCACTCTCCCCCCTGATGACTAAATGATCTGATCTGTCGACCACTCTTCTAAATTTCAGTAATGAGCCAGCAGCAACCAAAGACCTATTTCCAAAACGTGGATACACATGACGAGTACAATGACGAAGGAGCTGCTGGCCCAGAAATGACTGGAACACTTTCCAAACAATTTCAACCGAAAAAGTACAAGGATGGAAATAAAATGTGGAATGCTGAGCAACCGGAAGAGACCTACTCATACACTCCTTTCAAGGCAGCCACGTTGAACAGAACCCCAAAACCAACGAGAGATTCAGTTCATAGTGGAACTCTTCGGCCTCCGAAAATGACTCAATCACCATTTATCTACAGTACCGATGCTCCAATGGCTGCTCCTCCATCAGCTCCAGCCACTCCAAGAATGGGTAGACGTCCTGAAAGTGCAGCTGGAACAATGACAAGAGAACAGAAGCTCACTTGGGGAAGACCACCAGCAGGTCAACATTTCCGATCTGCATCTTCAATGAGTCACGGAAGACAACCAAACCATGGAAGTGAGTTCGTTCCGATGACTGCTGCTCCACCAATGCACCATCCCATGGCTCAACGATTCCCATCATTTAATACTATTCCAAGAGGAGATCCACATCAGATGGAAGTTATGCATGCTGCCCCATTCTATCCTCATGGACCACCACAAGTTAGTTTTCTAATGACTCAAATAGTTATACCTTTACTGTTCAGGAATTCCAAATGCATTCAAGACCGGCATCTGCAGTACCGTCAATGGGCCATCCAGTTCCATTATCTCAAATGGGAGCATTTGTTCCACCAATGCTCGAACAGAAGCCGTCTCCAAGAACAGTTGCAAACCAACTTGCACAAACATCCAACTATCTCAACTGGAACATGATCAGCATTGTTTGCTGTCTCCAAGTGAGTTTAATATTTCGAGTGTCTGGTTTTATTGTCATTTTAGGTAGTCGCCTGTATTGCAATTTTCTCAGTTGGTGTTCTTCGAATTCTATACGGATCTCTTTGGGCTATTGGAATTGAGATTATCTTTGCCACCTTCGCACTATTCCCACCACTCGTTGGAATCTATTCGGTTAAGAAGTATAACTACTCCGCAGCTCTGTTTTGTTTTTCAACGAACGCTCTTCAAACTGTTTTTGCAGTTGTTCCTTTCCTTCTTGGTCGGTTTTTTTAAACACAAACTCCGTTGTCACAAACCAGAACTTTTTCAGGTCTCTTCCCAGTTTTCCCATACATATTCCCAAAAGTTGACGAAAAGTTGATTATCTCAGAAACTGAGCCAGTTCTTACTGACTTGGTTCTCAGTTTTCTTGTCATTCTTGATACGATTTTGGCCTTCTACATGGCAGTCCTTGGATGCAGAGCAGGTGGATCCCTGATGAGTTCGGTCGATGAGATCAAACTCCAAAAAAATATGAAGGAGGCCTTTGAGAATGGACATGATGGTTTCCCATTCAAAAACATCTAACAACGTCACTTCGATCCTAAAAATCTTCATTCACACATTTTATTAACTAGACAATAAAAAGATAATAAAAAGTTTTAAATTTCCATTATTGTTCAAAACGCCATGCTGACTCTTGACCCATTGAGATTATTTACATGCGAGTTATGAGGTGCGATATCAGAAGACTTGACTCGAAAGATATCACGACAAATGTGATTTCTTATCTGAAGAAAAGTAATTGTCACAGAAAACGGTCGTTTTGAACTCACAGGTTTGCTCAGTCCATACAAAAGCCACGGGTGCATGATTGTAAATAAATCACTGATTAAAGGAAGAACGTAGGTGTGGAAAAAACTGTAGAAGGATGCCTTTGGATAGCTGCTCAAAATGAATGATATGATAGCTCCAGCTGCCAATACTGTAGATGTTACTGATATGAGATAGAAGAAATTGGTTTCTAGAAGCACATTTTTTGGGATAATAAGATCGCCTAGGAAGAAACTAGCCCATTTTCGATTTGAGTTCTTTCGAAGCTCTCAGCAATAAAACCAAGCTTGTGATGTTACACGCGAATGCACAGCATGTACATACGATTTGGAAAGCGATCAACGGAGTAAAGAGGATGCTTGTGGGCTGAAATCAATATTCATGGATTGATATGGCATACTAGACTACTTACCAGATCACATGATAGAACAAATGTACCGTCGGATCTGTTCCCGAAAGTACAATCACTAAAGAATAGTTTTCCAGTGCTGATAAATGGAGAAAAATAAACTACGAATATGAGTAGAAATGAGTAGTTTCGCCACCAAGGTTCAAAACGCAAATGATCCCAGAGAATGGTCAAACGGTTGATCGAGATGATTGTTGTGATGGCGTACTGTACATATGACATGTGGTACATCATACAGTACAGGAAATTGGCAATAATATTATCATTGAGTGAAATGTACAAAGGGGACAGAAGACAATCCTGACAGGTTACTGATGACAATTTCAGAGTAACGAAAGTGACACAAGTAGTCAGCAAGTTCATGGAGAAGTCAAGAATGTACCACACAAAAAACGATGATTTCAGTTTTGCCCAATACTTTATTATGACATAAACAGTACAGAAATACAGTACAAGGGAAGGTATAGAGTAAGAAAGAGCAAAGAGAAACAACCACATGTTGACCTGAGAAGGAAGTAGTGGATAATAAAAAAAAACTAATGAGATCAATTTAAGAGGAGGAGTTCATTAGATAAGAGTATGAGTACATGGTCCCCGGTGGCACAGAAAACACAGATTTTGTGTTCCAGGAGAAAGTTGAGTTAGTAGAAGTAGTCTAGGAGACCGAAGCTGCAGCCACTCTGCTAACTGACTGGGGGATCAGACAAGTACAACAGTTGCCTCCGCAGATAATGAAAAAGACACGTTTTCGAACCTGAAACAGTTTTTATACATGGTAATATCCCTTCAACAGTATTCTCTTGAAAAACGTTGTTTTGAAGTTCTAGATTAGTATAAGGAAGTTTTAGTACAATCTTATTTGTTTATTCAGATCTATTTTTTAGTTCTTGTGGTTGTTACAATTAAAAAAAACCCGTCTCGGAAGAATCCGATGGAACATCTTTGGAGTTAAGATGATGTGAGTCTCAAGAAAATGTGGCTCCAGGTGAAACATTCCAAAACTAATATTTTTCTTAAACTCTCCTTCAAGTGCAGTAACCTACTACTTGACACAAAATTATCAGCCTGCCCAAATAAAAAAAAATTATCAGCCTGCCCAAAAAAAGATCGTTGCACTTTTTTGTCCCTGAATGAAATTTCTAGGCTTTTCGCACCTTTTCATAAAATTGCTTATTGCTCATTAGTAGCTAACTTTGATATTTTTCTGGTTTCCAAAATATATTACATCATCTAATGAGTAGACACATCCCAGAGTCTCCAGCCTACGTTAGCAATCCAGCAGGGATCTTTTTACTTTTATTATTTCTCAATTTTCTAATATTTCCTGATTGACAACTCACCGGTTCAGAGAACAAGAGAAGCGCATATGGTTGAATCAGGGACAGAGCATCACTGACAAAAGGGAGAGCTAGATTGGTGAACTTGAACAATTCAGTGCCTGGTGTGGCATTTCTCATGGCTAAAGTCAATAGGGTTCCCGAAATTTGAACAATACTCGACACAAGAGAGACGAAGCAGAATTGAACTTCTGGAAAAATACATGCGGTTTAAAAATCTGTTGAGGTAGAATAGAGCTACCTAGATTTCTTGGTTTGAATGGGAGAAGGTGAAACTTCACAAAAGTCACAATGTTGGCAATAAAAGTGATCGGTGAGCAGACACACATGAAGATGAATAGTTTGGAGAAGAGAGCAAAGCTTGACTGAAATTACACTTTTTGATTTTCAAAAAAAAACAAAATTAACATACAGATTCACTCTGCAAGTAGTAGCTATTTGCAGAAAAGTTGTATTTATAGAAGGCTTCGTTCAGGAACACGTCATAAGTTACAAGAAGTGGTCCTATCAAAACAATACTCATCACAACCGTACTGTATCGTCTCCACCGCTGAAACAAAGAAGTTTTGAAAACAGTTTTTATGGACGCTGGATACCTTTTCAAAATATTCCGCATTCAGTATTATGGTCATTCGGTTAAGAGCTACTACCGTAGTTGTTGAATATTGCACAAAAGCCATGTGGAATTGCATTGCAAATTGAAATTGAAGCATTACGGTGGTTTCATTTTGACTGTCATAATGACTAGACAGGTAACTGTTCAAATTGGTGATATTTGGTATTCTGATTGTTATAAGGGTGTTGTAAAATGTGAAGATGTTCATGATAAACTCAAAAATGTAGAAATGATAAAACGATGATTTTACAGTTTTCCATTTGCAACATATGATCGCTACAGATAGAAAATACACAATTATGGAAGGAATTTCGTAGAAGAGAGCGATAAGGAAGCTCATCATGCCCCTAAAAGAATGAATGAATGAATGAGTGAGACTCCGAGTGAAGCGATGACAAACTTCCAGCGTCGTTGTCTGGGAAGGTCCCCCAGGGGGAAACTGGCAAGAAACTGATTAAGGATTTCAGACCACCCGCACTGTAAATCAATGGGTGTAGTGAATAAACAGACATAAGAAGTTCCTGAATGTGAGAATAATGGAAATGTAGTTTTCAGAGAATAAATTAAAAGGATGCGCGTGCATCCCACCTTCTGACACAATAGATGAGGCAACAGCTCAGTAGAATATATAAATCCATCTTCAGGAATATGTCATTCACATGTGTGATCAACCTTGCAGGATTGATGTTCCCTTATTGAAAGAGTTCTCAGATAAGCATCGTTGATAATGTGCACACATTTTGTGCATTTTCAATACTGAAAACGTTCCCAAGAACTAGCTGACATTATTTTATTCTGATTCTCACAGTCCTTTGCTTTTTCACAAGACATTTTCGAGTGGATTTTCAGGAACAGGAAAAGTCTGAAAACATTCCTTGTCTGAAATATTTATTTATTTTACAATGGGTCTTTTGATTGTTGACTTCTCAAAAATTTGGTTCCTTGAGCTTTATGTACCACAATACACTGCTAATTTGTTTGTGTGGATATCCTCGAGCTAGACGTATTATGTACTTTTATTTAATCAAATCGACTAGACAGGCATGATGATAAATGTTCTCATCCGAAGCAGTGCGTCACATCCAAAAGTGCGTCTGGATTAACTTCAATTGGTGGTAGATCGTACTTGGAATATTGACTTTTGAGGTTTTTTAAATCCAAATATAGATTTTATTTCGTTTTTGCTCTGGAAACCGAAAATTTGGAAAATTTTACATACTAAGAATTTACAGATTGACTGAAGCAAACTAATAACCAAGGTTGTACTAAAGAAAGTCCATCACTGGCATACGGTAGAATCATTCCAAGAATTAGAAACATTTCAGGCGATGTAGATAAAAACATGAGAGCAATTGTGATAAAAGTTCCAGCTATTTGAACACAACATGTGATAGACATTATAACAAGGAAATTGGATTCAGCCTTCTTCCTTTGAATACTTAAACTTCTTAGAAATATAACACTCGCCGTATTGCATATGACACACAGTACAGTTGTGAGGAACATAAATGGAATCAGAATTGCGTAGATGTCCCCGGCTGGCTAGAATTCGTTTTGTAGAAAAAACAACGAGTAAAAACAAACCACAGCAGGCGCCACCAGAGAAAATGAATCGTCTTCTAGAAGAACAATTTCAACTTCATGGTTAAAAACGATATGAGTACTCAGAAAAGGAAGAAAGTAGATCAAAAGAATGACAATCCAGGTGTGTTTCTTCCAAAGCTAAAAAGATGTTAGTTAGGAAGATCTTGGTTTTTTATGATTTTACCGGCTCAAAAAAGTTGAAGTTAAGGAGAACAGACAATCGATTCAAAGAGACCAAAGCACTGATTGAATATTGTACATAAGCCATATGGGTAGCCATAGTTCCAATGAACTTCAAAGATATGTAGTTACCTAAAACTTCCCCTAAACCCGGTTTCATTGAAAAATCTTACCAATATTTTTGTAAAAAGGAGCCATTAAGCAATCATAACATGTTACACTGTTCAATCTCATTGTGAAGAAACCAATTGTATATGTGAAAAGATTCATAACTCCGTCATAAAAATAAATATTGAAAAAGGAGGAATCAAACGTTTTCTTTTTAGTTTTGATAACATAAAATGTTAGAAAATAAAGAATAACAGACGGAAATCCATAGCAAACGGATGCTAAAAAAAATATAAACGGGGTAGACATTTTCAGCAAAACGAACCCAGTCGAAATGGATTCCAGTCAAAAAAATAACTGTGGGAAGATAAATTATTATAGGTAAAATGCACGTCAGACTGTGAGAGTTTTTCAGAAGACAGAACATATTCATGCATAAACTTATTAGTGCTCATCGAATCAAATATAAATTAACGAGGAAGTTATCAAAACAAGCTGAAATGATTTTGAATCAGTCCCTGGAATTGTTTTTACCTGAACATTCAGTTCAGACCCAATGTTAATTAGTTGGTGGTGGACCGCACTTGGAATATTGAGCTTTCAATATTCTGGAACCCAAATATAGATTTTATTTCGTTCCTCATCTGAAACACGAAAATCTGAAACACACGTTACATACTGATAAGTTACAGATTTTGAAGCACTGCTAATTTGTTTGTGTGGATATCCTCGAGCTAGACGTATTATGTACTTTTATGTAATCAAATCGACTAGACAGGCATGATGATAAATGTTCTCATCCGAAGCAGTGCGTCACATCCAAAATTGCGTCTGGATTAACTTCAATTGGTGGTAGATCGTACTTGGAATATTGACACTTGAGGTTTTTTAAATCCACATATAGATTTTATTTCGTTTTTCATCTGGAAACCGAAAATTTGGAAATGTTACATACTAAGAATTTACAGATTGACTGAAGCAAACTAATAACCAAGGTTGTACTAAAGAAAGTCCATCACTTGCATACGGTAGAATCATTCCAAAAATTAAAAACATTTTGGGTGATTCTGATGATAAAATAAGAGCAATTGTGATAAAAGTTCCAGCTATAGACATTATAACATGATAGACATTATAACAAGGAAATTGGATTCAGCCTTCTTCCTTTGAATACTTAAACTTCTTAGAAATATCACACTCGCCGCATTGCAAATGACACACAATAACGTCGTGAAAAACATATACGGAATCAGAACTGCATATATTTTATCGACTGGCTGAAATCCTTCTTGTTAAATGTTTTTATACATCTTTCCGAGAAAATATGAGTCGGTTTTTGCTCGCTGAAGCTAAACATCATTTCATGTGAATGAAAATAGAAAGTTTCTGGAATTTAAAGACACACCAAACCAGGCGCCAACACTGAAAATGAGTCGTCTTTTTCAACATAAACAATATATACATCGTAGTCATAAACGATATGAGTATTTAAAAAAGGAACACAATAGATTAAAAGAATCATGACCCATAAGAACTTGTTCCAAATCTGTAATCCATTATCATGGGAAAACTGTAATTATTCTCGTCTTTACCGGTTCAAATATGTTGAAACTCAGAAGGACTGACAATCGATTAAACGAAATCAACGCACTGATTGAGTATTGCACATAAGCCATATGATAAAACATAGTTAATACAAACTTCAAAGATATATAGCCGGCTAAAAATTTTGTCTAAAAGTCGATTTGATTAGGATATCTAACCTATGCTTCTGTAGAAAGGAGCCATCAAACAATCGAAGCATGTTATACTGTCTAATCTCAATGTAAAAAAGCCAAGAGTATAAGTGAACAGGTTCATAATCCCATCATAAATGTATATATGGAAAAAAGATGAGTCAAACGTTTTTTTGTTAGTTTTGATAACATAAATAGTTAGGATATAAAGAGCAACTGACGGAACGCCGTAAAAAACAGATGCTATGAAAGATATAACCGCAGCAGACATTTTTTACGAAATGCAATTTATTTTAGGTCGAATAAATAACTGCTGGAGAAAGAGCCTTTTGTGCCTTGAGGCACGTGACACTTTCAGAATATCTTAGCAGATATTGTCTAGTCAAGCACAAACTTGCTTGATTAGTAGAACGAACCGAATCGGATAACAAACTTTTGGGGCTGTATGGTTCAATTTGTAAAAGATTCTGATCTGGAAAAGTTTGTTTCTTAATATCTAGCAGTGATACTCACTGCAGTGCTGAAACACATCAAAAGCCATGGTTGGACCAGAGACCATCCATCGCTAGTGAATGGGGTAATTAGAGAAAATTTCATGAGCAAAGGAGACACTTCTAGAATAGCCAAGGGTATTGTAATCATGGTACCAACCAATTGAAAAATACAAGTTAAAAAACACACTAGCGATGTTGAACATAATGGTAATAGCCATTGTGATAACCATGAATGGGATTAAGACCGAAAATATGTCCAAGACAGGCTGGAATGACCGAATCGATTACAAACATCTCTCAAGACTACCATACCATTTGTGAAGAAACCAGGGAGTACTGATCTACATTTTCTAAACATGTTGTTTCTGCTTGGTAATGAAACACCACATTCGTATTGAGAAACGGAGAAAAGTAGATTGCAATAATCAAAATCCATATGTATTTTTTCCCTAACTACAAAATGTTATTGCATAAAATGTGAGTTTCATAAACCTACGGGTTCAAAAATATGCGATTTGTGGAGAACTGTTAAACGATTCAAAGACACGAACATGGTTATAAGATACTGTACGTAGGCCATATGATACATCATTGCCAGAACAAAGTTCAGGGAGATGAAATTTCCTAAAAATTGGGAAGCTATAATTACGACAACCGTTTCTGAGTTAAAGGACCAATATTTTTGTAAAATGGTGCCAAAAAACAATCACAACAAGTGGTACTTGTGAGGCGTAGTGTGAAAAATCCGAGAATATAAGTGAAAATATTCATGAATCCATCGAATATGTATAGGTTAAAGAAAGAAGAACCGAACGATTTTTTTGTTTTTAATAATGATGAAAATAGTTAAAAAGTATAGTAAAACTGATGGAATACCATTAATAATGGATAGAACTACAGTGATCGACGAGTAAGACATGAATAACAATTCTGTGGAAAATGAAGTTTCAGAATCTCTTATAGCTGGATTATCTTTTTTCTCACACAATGACCTTTATGTAAACTTTTCTGTGAAGAAAACAACAAAAAAGGAACAGAAAAGAAAACCATTCCGGAAAATCAAATTTTCTTTGGCTGATGATCAAACTTTTAAACGTTGGCACGCTGTGTCAGGAAGCCTGGCCGAAAAACGCGCCTCAGCGAACCCCAAAATCTCGCTTAATTCGCTGCCGAGTCTCGCTGGCTGAGGATCAAAGTTTTAAACGATGAGCGAAAAAGAGCGCGCATTGATTTGATCTATTGATAATAAATAGATCAAATCTGCGTCCACTTCAAAATTATAAAGTTTCTTCTGGCACAGGGTTTTGTTCAACTAGCTATGCAATATATAGAAAAAGGGGCGTGACCGTAGCCAAATTGATGGCTGAGGATCAAACGTTTGATCCTCAGCCATCGATATGTGTCTGCGTCTCTTCACCTAAATGTTCTGCGTCTCTTCACCGAAACGAGATCTCTCGTTTTAGGGGAGAATTTTTTCATTTTGAAAATTTGAAAAAGCTTCGCCCCGCCCCCTTATCAATATAGCGCACTTGCATAGCTAGTTGAACAAAACCCTGTGTTCTGGCCTACGAGTTCGCTGGGGCGCATTTCCCGGCCAGGCTTCCTGACACACCGTGCGTTGGGCGAAAAAATCGCAAGTTGCAATGCGTTGATTAAAAATATATTTATAGGTCAAATCCACGTCAACTTTTAGATTATTAAATTTCGTTTGGCCTAAAAGTTATCTGGGGCGCGATTTTCGACCCGATGGTTTGAAAAACCGTGGACATTCCATGTTTTGCAAACTCTTTCTTTGTCAGCAACTTTGTTCATATTTTGTTCATATTTTACATTTTGTATTTGTATTGTATCTGCCCATTTATTGATCTTGAGCTCACCCTGGGGATGAGGTTGAAAAATTGAAGCCCGTGGGCTTCTATCAGTAAAAATTGTATTCAAAAAAAATGAAAAATGGCTGATTATGTGAATAAAACATTTTGAAACTTACAATTAGTTTTGATTTTTTTTTTCGTCAGTATCTGTTTTATTGAGACCTGGAAACCACAGAAAGCCCTATTTTCAAAATTTGCCACCGGAAAATTTTTTCAAATACCCTGAAACACCTGAAAACTCTCGCACATCCCTGCTTTAGACATAGGAATTTCGCCGGAACATTCTTAAATTTTCAACCCCAATTATCAAGTCCATCACTGGCTCTTGTTAATGTTTTTCAGATGTCCCATCATTGTCCTTTCCGTTTCGTTCGGTTTTAATTTCATTTTCTCGGTCCAACGCCTTCGAACATCGAACTTTTGAAACGTCATCCGAAGACATCATAATAATTGTGATTTGAATTTCTATCACTTAAATTTGAATTCGAAAAACTACGCAACTCATCAAAACGAAAAACTGTAAAATTTATCAATTTTTTACAAAAAAAGAGTAGCGAACAAAAGTTCTGATTTGGTCTGACTGTTCAGGTCGCAAGAAAAATCACACGGGGTTGAGATCATTTGAATGCCATGAGAGGAAAAATATGAAGCTTGAAAAGATCAAAGATGAAAAGATAAAAAATTTCATGGGAGAAAAAGTCCAGAGGTCGGATTCAATTGGTGACCGACCGAACAATCACAACACTTCCATTCTTGGTTGACGGAATCCCCATCATCTCCTTCATTTTTTTTCGCATCTGGAAATTTGAAGTTATTAGATAGAAAGCTTAAAAAAAAAGCTCACCAATGTACTGAAAGCACACAGGAGCCATGGTTGAACGAGGGTAAGACTATCGCTGACAAATGGAAGAATCGATGCAAGGAACCCAGAGATAGGATTATTAGCCCACATAACACGGATGACACTGAGAAAGCATCCGAGGAATTGAACGAAACATGTGATGACAGTGATGAAGATGAAATTAGTCTCTACATGGTTTCTTTTCTGACTTTTCAGTTGTCGGAGGGTTACAAAACTATGAACATTGACACCAACTGACATCAGAGTGATAATAACCATTGCAGGAATGAGATACTCAAAATTGTCACTGATAGGCTGAAAATTTAGACTGATATTGGCCTCAGAGGTTGAGAACAGTACCATAGGAGTAACTAATGCGTAACTTTCTGTTTCATTTTTATACTGTATGACAGTTTTATAATAGAAGCAACGATGAGTATCCATGAAAGGTACAGCGAATACAATGAATCCGATGAGCCACGTGAATCGCTTCCAGAGCTTAAAAGAAAAAAAGGATCTCCTGAATATTTTGAACAGAAATACCGGTTCAAAGAACTTATAGTTCCAGAGAACAGTCATCCGGTTGAAGGATATCAAGGCGGTTGTAGAGTACTGTACATATGCCATATGGTAGCTCATGGCGGTCAAGAAGTTCATTGGGAAATAGTCCGCTGAAATGAGGTCATAATGATTACTCATTCTCTTATTTGGACTCGAAGCAAAAATGAATTTAGGTTTCTATTATTGTTCGAATGTTATTAAGTTAGCCTCACTTTCTTTTTTGGTAATGTCTTTATATTTTCCAGGAAAATGCAGTTCTACTTACCAGCATTTTTGTATAAGAACGCAGTTCCGCAATTTTCGCAGGTGACACTGTTTAAGCGCATCATGTAAAATCCAACAGTATACGTGAATAGGTTCATTAATGAATCGTAGAGATATAAAACAAAGAACGAAGAGTTGAATGTACTACCGTACTTGAAAATGACTGTCATGGTTAGACAGTACAGGATAATAGATGGGAGAGAGTAGCATATGGATAAATAGAACACCACTTTAGCAGACAACATTTTGAGGCAACTGAAAGAAGCTCGAGAAGTTCTGAGATTCCGATTCGAATGAAGTCTTCAAAGAGGCCACGCCCACTTTTGAAGTCTGCTTATGGGTGAGTACCCTAATAGTGAGAAGAAAGCTGCGTTTCGAAGGAATTAGACAGAGCAAAAAGGACCTATACGGAAACAACAATTATCCGAATGATATGGAACGGAAAATTATTAGGTTTGTGGTAAGTATTCTTTGGAGACAGCCATACAACTGACGGCAACTGGAATAGATCACAGCACGCTTCAGAGACGTTCGAGGGAACTTTGTCTTCCTGTAAAACCTGAAAACATAATGAGATCATAGTTAACTTGTGTATATAGTTTCAAAGTGGGTGGGATTTCCAAAAACGAATAAAATGGTAAGGAACTATTGCGTAAGAGCTCAATATTTAGTGCGAAAGTTTTCTCAGGTTTAGACTGATCAGTTTGTTTTGCAATCATTTCTAATGAACTAACTCTATGGATTATGTCAATGTTACGGAACTAGAAATTGATGTTTGAAAAAATTAAAAGTGCATTAGAAAACTATACAAGTGATAAAAGTTACAAAATTCACTGGAAACCAGACGACCTTATATTTGAAATTAACCTTATCTAGAGTATAGTATGCAGACGATGTTTGAACTTGTCAGAATATTGACGCCAGCTAAACTTATTCATGGGGAACTTTTGACCATGGTATAAGGAAAGACGAAAACAAGGAAAAAATAGAATACATGATCATCTACTTTGGAACTGATTATCTCGAAAATAGGGAACTAGCTGGATAATGTTGTAATGATCCAAATATCAGACCAGAGTAGCTTTATCTTACGGGAAGTGCTGCAAATGCAATTAAACGCGAAAAACCGTAATACTACAGTAATATTAGCGTTGGTCTCGACGCGAATGGTTTGAGATTTTGAGTCGCTACTCAGCGATGCCTATATTCCATAGGAAAAATCATGTAAAAATTATTTCGAAAGACGTTCCGGAAAAAACACAGTGAATTCTTCGTCTTTTGCTATACTGGTTGAGCAATTCGCTGACAAGACCTTTCACTAAATAAGACTGACTTCACCACACATTACAACAACAAACAATAAGCAAATAAAAAAATGTAAAATTTATTGAGTATGAAATGACGGAAAGGAAGGAATATAAGATCTTTTTAAATGAATCATGAGTCTCGGAGGGAAAAATAATAGTCAGAAGTCTATGGGTATCAATCAGTTGAGTGTGGATCTGGGAATGACGACCGATTTGACTTGTGGCTGATTCTTCCGATAAATGAGCTCAGTGATCTTTTCGCGAACCTGGAAGACGTCATAGACGATTCGAAATAGACGGTCTAGAAAATAGCTTACTACATGACTGATGCAGATTAGCAACCATGGTTGAATCAGACTCAAGCCGTCGCTGATGAATGGAATGAAGGAGGCAAGTTTGACTGCTGCAGGAGTTCCAGAATACTTCACTCTGATGAAGCTGAGGGAAGTACCACAAAGCTGAACTGCACAAGTGATACATGTGATGATGATGAAGTTGGTTTCCGCTTTGTTCTTGATTTGGGTTTTGAGATTTCTGATAATGAACACACTGACAATATTGACAACCACAGATATCACTGTGAATGCTACCATGAATGGAATACAAACAGAGAAGACATCATTGATTGGCTGAAATTATTAAAAATAGGTTAAGTCGTTTCGAAAAGCAGAAACCATTTCCGATGTGATCGAGTAAGTGTCAGAAGTTGGCAGATATTCCAGTTTGATATCGTAATTTAAAACCACACGGGTATTAATGAACGGTAGACAGAAAATCAGGAGGATCGCTATCCAGGTGTACTTTTGCCAAATCTGCAATCCTAATTAATTACTGGTATCAATTCGATTTTTCTACCGGTTCGAAAAGAGTGTATTTGACAATAACAGTCAGACGATTCAACGAAACGAGAGTGGTAACTGCATATTGTACATAAGCCATGTGGAAATTCATTAACATGAAAATATCCATTAGGAAAGTGTTACCTGGAATAATTTACTGATAATTAGCAATCTGAAAATGAACTTACCGATGCTTCTATAGAATGACCCAAGAAGACAATCATGGCATGCAATACCGGGAAGTCGAGTTTTAAAGTAATTGTTGAAATAGGTGAGAAGATTCAGTGCTCCATCAAACAAGTACAGTCGGAAAAACGAAGAACTGAAGGTTTTTCCGTAACGAAAGATGATGAAGAATGTAAGCATGTAGATAACAAAAGATGGGATCCCATACGACAGATATACACAAAATAGTTCTCCAGCCGACAACATCTCGAGAGTTGAAATCATGAACTCTTGCAGAAATCAATTTTTCCAAAAACTGGATTTCTAAAATGCTATGAGAAATAAAATCGGCTAAAAGAAAAAAAAGAGAAAGATTGCAAATCCTAACTTGCAGTCCAGACTTTAATCTTAAACCTTTCGACCTTTTTCGTCGAGGTGAGAATAAAACTTTTCGTACTGGAAACACAAACTCGAAATCTATTTCGAACCCATAATTAGGGAAAGAGAAATTGAAAAATGTGTAGTGAATGAATAATAAGTCTCCTAGACGCCTCCCCGGGGAGGCGTCTGAGTAATCATCATTCTGAGAAAACTGCTAATTGTCATGATAACAGAGAGAAAGAGAGAGCTCAAACCACCAAATTGCAGAATCATTCCCGAAAGATCTCAGAAAAATGGTGAGACAGTCCAAAAAGATCAATTCCGTAGTTAATAATAAAGTAGGCATCAAGTGAGTAATATACCTAATTAGTCGAAACGTATGGTATGGAAAATATGCAAAAGTGACGTTTTCTGAGTTTGCACTCCTATAGGAAGGAAGATTTTTGAGTTCACAAAGATCTTAATCGAAGGGACCTAGAAGACATAATGATCATCAGAATCTAAACACTGTTGGGCTCAGAATTGAAGAGCAAATATCATTAAGCTTCCTAAAACTGTACAGGCATACAAATAAACATATTCGAAGGTGCACAAGTTATAAAATTTTTTTAAGAATAAAATATTTTCAAATTTCCTATTTCAGCACAATCAGGAGAAAAGTCGAAAGCATTTCAACATTCACTACTTCGTCAAAACGTCTAGATTATATAAAATATGACGTCAAGCGTCTTTTGGATCATCTCTGCTCTTACAACTGGCCCAGGCAGCTATCTTTCTTCTCCACCTTTGATTCGAAACTTGCCCATTTCTCCGCCATTTTCAACGAGCTCATAGTCCTCTACACCCCAACCGTCCGTGCTCGTCGTCCAACCTTCTCGTGTAGAAAACCCAAGATTTTCAGGTTCATCCAACGTCGCAACCCGTCCCTCCCTAGACCCCAGCTCAAACTGCTTGTTCGGCGACAGCTCAATCGAGTTGAGAGGACCCGTGCAAAGGAGGAGCTTTCTATTATAAACAACAAGAACCCCAAAGAACTCTTCCAATTCGTTAAATCATACACTGATCGCCTATCCCAGTTCTCTATGCTAACCACCCTTCATTGCCGCACCCTTCTAGATCTTCGTACCTATCACAAAATTGTTATAAACTCATACCATTTTCCCTCTGTGCCGTCCTACATTCTTCCCAGCCATTCTAACAGAGCCCCGTATTTGTTCAAAATCAACGGTCAATACTTTGACTGCTTCCTTCACAGAAACTGAAAGGCATATTACATCTCTGAAAGACTTTTCTGGTGAAAAAACGAAGAGGAGATTCTAGTTTATTGGCAAGTGTGGCATTAGATGGATGGGAAAGTGCACAACCGTATTCGAGGACCGGTCTAATGTAGGTGTCGAAGAGACGGAAATATAAACAAGGGTTTTTCGATTGGAACGTTTTCAGTATTTGCCGGGACTTGAGTTTAGCAGAGTAGGCAATAAGATTGATGTGTTTGTCGAATTGAAGTTGATCATCAACCAGTATACCTAGGTCCTTGAATGAGCGATGCGGAGTAATGGGGGAACCCTTAATAAAATAAACTGTCTTAGGATTGCGTTTACCATAATGCATAACGGCCGTCTTATTTTCGGCTGTTTTGAGTCTCCAGATGTCACACCAGTTCTCAACGATTTCGATACTTTTCTGCATATCCAATGGGTCAGAACCGGTTATTTTCAGGTCATCGGCGAACGCTGTGACATGAACATTGGGAGGAAACTGGCCGAGTAAGTCGTTAATGTAGATCAGAACCAAAAAGGGGCCAGTGGCACTTCCTTGGGGGACTCCGGATTTGACAACAATCTCGCTGGTTGACAATAGGCCATTAACCTTGACTTTGGATGACCGGTTGCTTAGAAAGGACTCGAACCAATCGTAGCATCGTTCATCAATACCTAGTCGCCTCATTTTGAGCAGCAAGAGATTGTGTGGGACAGTGTCGAATGCCTTGCGAAAATTGAAGTAAATAACATCTACGAATTGTTGCTTATTTGCTAAGGTTTTCTGTATTCTGGAAGTGGACTCAAGAACGGCTAGAACACAGGATCGCTTACTGACGAATCCGTACTGATTCGGAGAAATACTCGGACCGATAACCCGTTTTAGCTCTTCAAGGACTAATCTTTCGAAGAGCCTGGAAAGTGCATGAGTGAGCGTTATGGGTCTTTAGTTATTAGCGTCATATTTGGATCCCTTCTTGAATATTGGACTAACAACCGAGTGCTTCCAGATCTCAGGAAATTTGGCGGAGGAGAAGGATTCTTGGAAGATGAGCGAAAGAGGGATGGTTATCGCATCACTGCACTTTTTGATTACAAGGAAGTTGATAAAATCCGGGGAGAAACCGACTTTAGAGGGTAGAGAACCGATGTGCTTTGCAATATTTAGAGGAGAGAAATCAGGACAGACGGCAAAGGGAGCGATAGCAGGGAGGGCGGAGAAAGGAGAGCTAGGGGGCGAGAAGGCCTCTTGGAAGACGGAAGAAAGTTCGTTGGCTAGTTCTGAAGCGTCTGTGGATAAGGTGCTATTGACCAGGAGAGAAATGGGACAGTACGGGAGACGGAGTCTAGATTTAACGAAATGGAAGAGTTCTTTGGGGTTCTTGTTGTTTATAATAGAAAGCTCCTCCCTTATTCATGCATGCATGCGAAAAAACGAGAAAATTGGTTGTTACCATTTGACATCGATAAATTCCACCGGAGCTCTCGCCGCTTTGTTGGGTCCTGACACGCTGAAACATTACTGTAGGACAAGTCTCCATCTGCCACTGATCATGTGCTCTCGTACGGGTTTAAAGGAGGGCAGACAGCAAAAATTTCGGGGAAAATTTCAGGGAATGTGTATTTTGCCGTCGCGGTGTTAGCACCTAAAGCGCGCAATCCCACGCGCAAACATTTTTATTTTTTTATTTCCCGACTTTATTTTTTTCAATTTTTAACGACTTCAAACATTAAAAAAGCTCTTTTTTCTTATTTATTATAAAACCCATATAAAAGTGAATTTTTTATGTAAATTTAAAGTTCTATCGACCGATTATTTTTCCAGTCGCCGGTGTTTTTTATAGGCATGCGAAAAAAACTATTTTCTCTTCGATAACCGTTTCTTCACTGTTCCTATTTATCTCATTACTTCTCGTTATTACTCTAGGAATAAAAAACTGTTTTATGACTGGGGTTTTCAGAGACGTCTCCATTTTTACTGCTTCCTTCACCTTCCGACGACCAGCCCTGCACGAGGATTGTTTTAATTATGTGGTTTTTCTTTCAATTGTTATGTCTCTTTTTAAAAATTAATTGTAGTTTTTTTTCATAATTTATTTGTTAACATAATGAAACACGTTTCTTCATTTTCAACTGATTTTGATACCTCGGAGCGAGGCCTCGGCGGCACGCTGGTAGCCCTTCAGAAATTCCGAGTTCAAAAAGTTCAATCCGAAGGAAACAAGGGAAGAAAAAAGTAAAAACACCAGCAGGGATTGAACCTCTGACCTCCTGAATACTAGCCTAGAGCGTACCCACTACACTACGCGTGTACGAGGCGACCATCGCGTTTTTCACATTATGAAGCGACGCCGCAGCAGCAAGCTAGTGAAGAAATTAGGGCGACAAAAAAGAGCATTTTTTCGTCCTTGAAGTGTTTTTTTCAGGTTTTTAAGTACATAGCTATATTTATACTTCAGAGTTATATCTTTTGACTAAAAATGAAATTTTTCAAATTTTTGATGTCTACCCTCCTTTAAACTGATTTTTTTTGCTAAAAGTCCGGAATGAGAAAATGAAGATATCGAAATAGATTTTAACAGACTATGTGAAAAGGGAAAGGGGCCCAGACTTGCATTAAGTACTCGGCTCAAAGCCTTTAAAGTTAAAAATTTTTTTTGGCCTACGAGTTTGCTGGGGCGCTTTTTCTGACCCGCTTCCTGGGACCCAAGTGAGTCCTCCAAAACTTCCTGGAATTCATATAAAATTTTACCACAAATCTCGATAACAGAGAAGAAAGTTATGGAAAATTACAAATTTTAGGAGGTTAGGAAGCAAAAATTTTAAAAAATGAAAATATAATGGAAGATGATCCAATTTAAACCAGGTTAGTAGATCAGTTTACAGACTGAGCGCTAAAAAGCTCCGAGAAATTAGAAACTCCCCTGGTCGTCCAGTTGTCCTTCTCTTGCCCACCTCTTGTCCTCCCCTTCTCCTTCTAATGCCCCGCTCTTGCCCATCCCTGACTCAAAATTTTGATTAATCGGAAATTCAAATTTTTCCATTTTTGAATAGTACCTTGAGGCAAATAGAAGTCTAGAAACTTTTTTCATGGAATTTTTTTTTGAAATACTGTATTTTTGAATACTCCATTCTAATCCCTCTATTATAGCTCTTGTCCTGTTCTTGCCCTGCTCTTGTCCTGTTCTTGCCCTGCTCTTGCCCTGCTCTTGCCCTGTTCTTGCCCTGCTCTTGCCCTGCTCTTGCCCTGCTCTTGCCCTGCTCTTGCCCTGCTCTTGCCCTGCTCTTGCCCTGCTCTTGCCCTGCTCTTGCCCTACTCTTGTCCTGCTCTTGCCCCTGCTCTTGCCCTGCTCTTGCCCTGTTCTTGCCCTGCTCTTGTCCTGTTCTTGCCCTGCTCTTGTCCTGTTCTTGCCCACCTCTCGTCCTGCTCTCTTTCTAATGCCCACCTCTCGTCCTCATATTGTCCTTCTCTTTCCATCCTCTTTTCGTTCAATTGCTCAAATTTGGTATTTCTCGATAATTTAAAATTCCTCCTTTGGAAAAAATTTCAGATTTTTTGAATTTCTGAATACCCTATTCTAATCCCTTTATTGTATTATATTGACCTGATTGATTGACAAGGTGAAGAGGGAACTGGGTGAAGACTTGCCTCGAGTAAACATATTTTCCCTGGAGGTCAATTGTTGGCTCGCGTCGCGATCGCGTAGCGTGCGCTGTCCACCCCCGCGAATGTCCTTGCAAATTGTCCTCCTTCGGTCTATTTTCATTTTTTGGAGTTTTGGGACAAACGGAAATGCTTCAAGACCTCAGAAACATTCCTTGCCCTGCTCACGCCAACCTTGATTTTTATTTTGTTTTACCCCTTTATGCTCTTCTCTCCCTGCCTCCGATCAATCCAGTTCCATGTCCCAAAATTAGAAACATTTCCAGATACACATTTGGAGGACCGAGAAGTTTGGATCGGATTAAACAAACGATGGATCCAGGAACAAAATAATATAAATAATTTGAAAGATAAGTTTAAATATGGTTTTTGTGTTCTAACATTTGATTTGAGTTCCAGAAACAGCGAACGGAATTCAACCCGGAACGACGAAAATTTTCAACAGGAAATGAAAATCAAATTTCCGAGGCTTTTTTTGAAACTCCAGATGAACAGAAACCATTGATGGATTGTCAAATAAATTGAATTAGAAACAAACACCAATGAGGATCGATGAAACAGGAGAGATCAAACGACCTAGAAGAAGGTGGGTCTAAAATTTTCAACAATTCTTCTGACTAGACCCTCTGCCCGCAGCGTACTATCCTTGCAGCTCTAGGTCCCCCAATGCTATTCTTCAAATTTTATGTGTTTTTAATGTTTGATATTTTTCAGAAATCATCGAAATCATCAACAACGCTGGACCAATGATCAATGATGTTTGAGCCGAGTACTTAATGCAAGTCTGGGCCCCTTTCCCTTTTCACATAGTCAGTTAAAATCTATTTCGATATCTTCATTTTCTCGATTCCGGACTTTTAGCAACAAAAATCAGTTTAAACCCGTACGAGAGCACATGATCAGTGGCAGATGGAGACTTGTCCTACAGTAATGTTTCAGCGTGTCAGGACCCAACAAAGCGGCGAGAGCTCCGGTGGAATTTATCGATGTCAAATGGTAACAACCAATTTTCTCGTTTTTTCGCATGCATGCATGAATATGCTTGAGAAACACAAAGATAAAAAAGTTTGTCAATAATTTCATTACAGAAACTGAATCATTAAATCTCAAATGTTAAGCTCAAAGCGGATCTTAAAGATTAAGCTGTAATGACATTATGGGGTTATTCAGGGAGTCGAGTCGGCAAAAAAGGAAAAAAAAACTCCGCGAAGACTCGGAGAGTGTTCCAATCTGGTTGAAACTTTGGGGAAAACTGGGGAAAACTAGAGGAAACATTTTGCCAAAGTTTGGGGTCAAC